GATAGTTTATACTTAGATATAGCGAATTATATGCCTTTCAAAGGTGGATCTTATATAGATTTACCCCCGTATTATAAGAAGAAAAAAGCCATAATTAACGTAAAAAATAAATGCGATGACTGTTTAAGAATGATGATAAGATCTGCATTGTTCCCCGTAGACAAAAATCCGGATAGACCTTCTAGCTATCCCCAAAACGATGGACTCAACTTCGATGGTATAGACGAACCTACACCAATATCGCAAATTGATAAGGTGGAAAAGCAAAATAATTTAGCTATAAATGTTTTCGGACATTCTAAAGGAATTGTTGTACACAGGATAAGCTCCGCTCCGGAAAATATCCCCAGAATCAATTCATTTCTGATCGAAAAAGATGGAAAATATCATTATACGTGGATAAAGAGTTTAAACAGGGTGCTATACGATCAAACAAAACATAAAGAAAAGAAATATTTCTGCGAAAGATGCCTACATGGGTACAGCAGACAAGATCTATTAGAAGCGCATAAAGAAGACTGTAGAGGTGTTGGACAGAATGCTATCAGGATCGATATGCCTAAAGAGGGAAAAAATATATTAAAATTTGAACATTATTGTAATCAAATGCCAGTACCGTACGTAATTTACGCCGACTTCGAAGCGCTTATCAAACCCATAGAAAATACCAACCATAGCAATACTGATATTAGTTTTACCTACAAAACTCAAGAACATATTCCTTGTGGGTTTGGATATATATAGTTGTAAGGTATGATGGGAAAACAAACCCGCCCGTGATTTACAGAGGTCTCGATGCAGCTGGAAAGTTCCTAGAATATCTACAAAATGAAGAGAGAATAATCAGGGAAAAATTATCAGGGAAAAATTATCGTGTAAGAAACCCATGCGTATGACGAGGGATGATTGGAGGGCCCATAAGAAGTCAACGAGTTGTCACGTTTGTAATAAACCCCTGGATGGGGATTTCGTAAGAGATCATTGCCACGTCACCGGTAATTATCGGGGGGCCGCTCATAACGAGTGTAACTTGAAACTAAAAATGAATTCTCAAACAATACCCATCCCCGTTGTGTTTCATAACCTTAGGGGATACTATTCACATCTCATTATGCAAGCTATCTCAAAGACCGACGGCGGTTTAACGTGCATTCCTAATAATATGGAAAAATACATATCGTTCTCGTTGACTAAACCAATACATTATAGGGACAAGGATGGGAAATCTAGAATAAAGCAAAGTAATGGGCTTAGATTCATAGACTCCGTACAGTTTCTGTTATCTTCCCTGGACAATTTAGCTAATGCGAACAATCCCGATGACTTAGCGATAACAAATAAATATACCGATAAGATAACTCGTCATTTGTTGCTGAGAAAAGGTGTATATCCTTACGAATATATGGATGATTGGTCTAGATTCGAAGAAACTGAATTACCACCCCTGGAATCATTCTATAGTAACTTAACAGAATCTAGAATAACCCATGCCGATTATGAACACGCTCTGACGGTCTGGGATAAATTAGGTTGTAAGAATTTAGGCGATTATCACGATCTGTACTTAAAAACCGATGTACTGTTACTCGCCGATATATTCGAGATATTTAGAAAGACATGTTTCAAACAATATGGCTTGGACCCGGCATGGTACTATTCCAGTCCCGGACTATCGTGGGATGCATTGTTGAAGAAGACCGGCGTAGAAATAAAACTACTCACAGATTACGATATGCACTTGTTTATTGAGAAAGGATTAAGAGGTGGTATATCGATGGCAGCTAAAAGGTATTCTAAGGCTAATAATAAATTAGTGGAAGGATACGATCCGAGTAAACCCGACACGCACATATTATATCTCGACGCTAACAATTTGTACGGATGGGCTATGAGTCAACCTTTACCCAAGGGTGGTTTTGAATGGGTCGATGATATCCATAATATCAATGTGAATGATATCCATAATAATGATGCGAATAAAGGGTACATACTAGAAGTTGACTTGGAATATCCAAGTTCATTACATAAAGACCATAACAGTTATCCGCTAGCTCCCGAAAGATTAATGGTTAATAAAGACTGGATGTCGGAATATCAACGCTCCTTGATGGGTAATAGTAGGTTAGCTAACGTAGAAAAACTCGTACCAAATTTGATAGATAAAACAAAATATATAGTTCACTACAGAAATCTCCAGTTGTATCTATCGTTAGGTATGAAACTTAAGAAAATACACAGAGTTCTTAAGTTCGATCAAAGCCCTTGGATGGAGCCCTATATAAGGTTGAACACAGATTTAAGAAAGATAGCTACCAGCGATTTCGAAAAGAATCTATATAAGCTCATGAATAACTCGGTATTTGGTAAAACTATGGAGAATCTAAGGAAGCGTGTTGATGTTAAATTAGTCAGATCTAATGAGGAAGAAAGACTCAGGAAACTTATAGCCAGTCCGGCTTTTAACAGAAGCAAGATATTCGATAACGACTTAGCCGCGTTGCATATGCAGAAGAGTAATATAAAATTCAACAGACCGGTGTACGTCGGTATGAGTATTCTCGACTTGTCAAAACACTTAATGTATGACTTTTATTACAACGAACTTAAGAAGCAATACGGCGATAGATGCGAGGTGTTATATACCGACACAGATTCTTTGTTGATGGAAATACAAACCGAGGATGTGTATAAAGATATGGCAGAAAAAATAGATATGTACGACACGAGCGATTACCCTAAAGATAATCCACTGCACAGCGTAGTAAATAAAAAGGTGTTAGGTAAGATGAAGGATGAATGTGCTGGGACCCCTATAGCGGAGTATGTAGGATTAAGACCTAAGATGTATTCTATAAAGAAGTCCGATTATGGGGAGATAAGAAAAGCTAAGGGCGTTAAGAAGTATGTTGTAAAAAAGCATATCAAACACGAACAGTATAAAGAACATTATTTAACGGTAGAACTTTCAAACACGAGATGAACTCTTTAAGAAGTTACGATCATAGGATATATGGATTAAGAATGAACAAGACATCATTATCCCCCTTAAATACAAAGAGATGGATTGATAATGATGGTGTAAATACCTATGCTTATGGTTATGGTGGTAATACCGTACCGTCGGGGACTATGAACAACTCTTCTCGTACAAATGCCCTACCCAGTCCATCTTGAAGATAATAAAGAATAGGCTCTCCTTCTTTCGTAACCAATCGACTAATGTTATACGTCTTAAGGGACCATATGGGATCGGTTGCGCGACGTAGGCCTCCTTCGAGTTCACCTGCCTGGTATAAATATCTTACCCTTACTCTATCCGGAAGTTTTTGTTCTTTGCCTCTCCTCGGTGCTGAAGATTCGGAAGTCACGGATTTCATTTTAATAGCATGGGATAGTTTCTTCCCTATTAATCTCGTTACTTCATTATTCAGCGCTGATACAACGGCTGATAATCGTGTCACCCATTCGGTTGATCTCAATCGTTCCGATTTCATTTCGATCCCATACTGATAACCAAACAAACGTTCCGCTAATGTCCGGTTAAATCTTTCGACGATAGCTTGACTGCGGTGGGCCTCTCTTTCACCACGGACGATTTCGACATCGTTCTTTGTTAACAGTTTAGTTACCGATCCCATAAACTCGCGACCTGGATCTACTTGAAATAGCTTAGGCCATTTTAGCGGTCCGCGTTTATATATGCGGCTCAGTGCATTAGCTACCTCTGTTGATTCTTTCGATGTTAATGGCTCAGCCTCTTTGTATCGACTAGCCACATCTACTACGGTTAAAGCGTATTTATACGTTTTGCGTTTTACCTTATCGTGGGGAAGAAACAAGAGGTCAGCCTGATGAACTTCATTCGTTGTAAAAATATCAGACTTCTTCCTCGGTATATAACGCGGTGCCGGTAAATATATCTGCCACATCGCTCGTTTCTTTAACCAATCCTTGGCCACATCTTTAGATACCTTAGCCGCGGTGGCTAATTTTTTTATTGCTCCTACACCTTTCCAATATCCTCGTGGGCTATAGTAAATTTTATCCATTATTAATTAATATTGATATTTCTTTTAAAACGACTTTCGTTGAATCGCATAATCATTTTTATACTAATAGAAGCATTGATTGGCCCCAGGTGGTGGTAAGCTAGAGCCAATCTCATGACTATCGTTAAATCGCTTAATCATTTTGGCATAAAAAATGCCACCTGTAGTAGCAGTATAGGTATATGAATCCGTCTCCAGTGGAAGTGGTCCAGAACCCCTATTACCTATAAAAATTTATATCATTGGCTCCAGGTGGTGGTGCGCTAGAGTCAATTTAACTTAATCTCATGACTATCATTGAATTGCATAGTCATTTTAGCATAAAAAATTCCTCCTGTAGTAGCAGTATAGGTATATGAATCCTGCTCCAGTGGAAGTGAGCCAGAACCCCCATTACCTATACTACTCACAGTGATGTGTAATATAAGTCTATTACCACACCCAGTGATGTGTAATATAAGTTGATTACCACACACAGTGATGTGTAATATAAGTCTATTACCACACACAGTGATGTGTAATATAAGTCTATTACCACACCCAGTGATGTGTAATATAAGTCTATTACCACACCCAGTGATGTGTAATATAAGTCTATTACCACACACAGTGATGTGTAATATAAGTCTATTACCACACCCAGTGATGTGTAATATAAGTCTTTTACCACACCCAGTGATGTGTAATATAAGTCTATTACCACACACAGTGATGTGTAATATAAGTCTATTACCACACCCAGTGATGTGTAATATAAGTCTATTACCACGCCCAGTGATGTGTTATATAAGTCCATCCACACACACACACACACAGACAGACAGACAGACAGTCAGACACAGACACACACAGACACACACAGACACACACACACACACACACACACACACACACACACACACACACACACACACACACACACATACACATTATGTAATATAAGCCGATTACCATACAAAGAGATGTGACGCTGCCAAGGTAGGAGTCCGGCATCAAGATGGTTCCCGTGACAATAGGTTCCTGGAAATCTTCAATAATGGCAGTATCTGGTAGCTGTAGCATCAAGAAAACAAATATAAAGTTTTCCTCCTTTGAAAGCCTTACATAACATAGAGGCTACCATCTGTACTTGAAACTAACATAGTGAGTTAACTAAAGGCTGTTTGACAAGTCTTGACTGGCAGGTTTGATTTTAATTATTCACTTTTGTATAGGTAGATCATATCACCAAGAATGTTTGGGGATCTATTCAGTGTTGTACAGGAAGATCAACTCAACAGGAATGTTTGGGGAACTATTTGGTGTTGTACTGGAAGATCAACTCACAAGGAATGTTTGGGGAACTATTTGGTGTTGTACAGGAAGATCAACTCACCAGGAATGTTTGGGGAACTATTCAGTGTTGTACAGGAAGATCAACTCACAAGGAATGTTTGGGGAACTATTTGGTGTTGTACAGGAAGATTAACTCACCAGGCATGTTTGGGGAACTATTTGGTGTTGTACAGGAAGATCAACTCACCAGGCAAGGATTCAACAGCGTTATTTCCGGGGCTCCGTATTTTCTAATGTTCTTGGAACCCGAAATCTTCACTGGAATGAAAAGCAGACAGCTCATTATGATGAGCATACAACGGAACAACACTAGACAGACAGACATCCAGAACACAACCAGACAGACAGACACAACACTGCCAGACAGACAGACAGAACACTGCCAGACAGACAGACAGAACACTGCCAGACAGACAGGCAGAACACTGCCAGACAGACAGAACACTGCCAGACGGACAGACAGAACACTACTAGACAGACAGACAGAACACTGCCAGACAGACAGACAGAACACTGCCAGACAGAGGGACAGAACACTGCCAGACAGACAGACATAACACTGCCAGACAGACAGGCAGAACACTGCCAGACGGACAGGCAGAACACTACCAGACAGACAGACAGAACACTGCCAGACAGACAGACAGACAGAACACTGCCAGACAGACAGACAGAACACTGCCAGACAGACAGACAGAACACTGCCAGACAGACAGGCAGAACACTGCCAGACAGACAGAACACTACCAGACAGACAGACAGAACACTACCAGACAGACAGACAGACAGATCACTACCAGACAGACAGAACACTACTAGACAGACAGACAGACAGATCACTACCAGACAGACAGAACCCTACTAGACAGACTGACATCCAGAACAACCAGACAGACAGACAGAACACTGCCAGACAGACAGACAGAACACTGCCAGACAGACAGACAGAACACTACCATACAGACAGACAGACAGAACACTACCAGACAGACAGACAGAACACTACCAGACAGACAGAACACTACCAGACAGACATCCAGAACAGACAGACAGAACACTACCAGACAGACTGACATCCAGAACAGACAGACAGAGTACTACCAGACAGACAGAACACTACCAGACAGACATCCAGAACAGACAGACAGAACACTACCAGACAGACTGACATCCAGAACAGACAGACAGAACACTGCCAGACAGACAGACAGACAGAACACTGCCAGACAGACTGACAAAACACTGCCAGACAGACAGACAGAACACTGCCAGACAGACAGACAGAACACTGCCAGACAGACAGGCAGAACACTACCAGACAGACAGACAGAACACTGCCAGACAGACAGAGAGAACACTGCCAGACAGACAGAACACTACCAGACAGACAGACAGAACACTACCAGACAGACAGGCAGAACACTGCCAGACAGACAGACAGAACACTACCAGACAGACAGACAGAACACTGCCAGACAGACAGAACACTACCAGACAGACAGACAGACAGAACACTACCAGACAGACAGACAGACAGATCACTACCAGACAGACAGAACACTACTAGACAGACAGACAGACAGATCACTACCAGACAGACAGAACCCTACTAGACAGACTGACATCCAGAACAACCAGACAGACAGACAGAACACTGCCAGACAGACAGACAGAACACTGCCAGACAGACAGACAGAACACTGCCAGACACACAGACAGGCAGGACACTGCCAGACAGACAGAACACTACCATACAGACAGACAGACAGACAGAACACTACCAGACAGACAGACAGAACACTACCAGACAGACATCCAGAACACTACCAGACAGACAGACATCCAGAACAGACAGACAGAACACTGCCAGACAGACAGACAGGCAGGACACTGCCAGACAGACAGAACACTACCAGGCAGACAGACAGACAGAACAGTACCAGACAGACAGACTGACAGAACACTGCCAGACAGACAGACAGGCAGGACACTGCTAGACAGACAGAACACTACCAGACAGACAGACAGAACACTACCAGACAGACAGAACACTACCAGACAGAGAGACAGAACACTGCCAGACAGACAGACACAACACTACCAGACAGACAGAACACTAACAGACAGACAGAACACTCCTAGACAGACAGAACACTACCAGACAGAGAGACAGAACACTGCTAGACAGATAGAACACTACCAGACAGAGAGACAGAACACTACCAGACAGACAGACACAACACTGCCAGACAGACAGAACACTACCAGACAGAGAGACAGAACACTGCCAGACAGACAGAACACTGCCAGACAGACAGAACACTACCAGACAGACAGAACACTACCAGACAGAGAGACAGAACACTGCGAGACAGACAGACACAACACTGCCAGACAGACAGAACACTACCAGACAGACAGAACACTACCAGACAGAGAGACAGAACACTGCAAGACAGACAGACACAACACTGCCAGACAGACAGAACACTGCAAGACAGACACAACACTACCAGACAGAGAGACAGAACACTGCGAGACAGACAGACATAACACTGCCAGACAGACAGAACACTACCAGACAGAGACACAGAACACTGCTAGACAGACAGAACACTACCAGACAGAGAGACACAACACTGCCAGACAGACAGAACACTACCAGACAGACAGACAGAACACTGCCAGACAGACAGAACACTACCAGACAGACAGAACACTACCAGACAGACAGAACACTACCAGACAGAGAGACAGAACACTGCTAGACAGAGAGACAGAACACTGCTAGACAGACACAACACTGCTAGACAGACACAACACTACCAGACAGACAGACACAACACTACCAGACAGAGAGACAGAACACTGCTAGACAGACAGAACACTACCAGACAGAGAGACAGAACACTGCAAGACAGAGAGACAGAACACTACCAGACAGAGAAACAGAACACTGCAAGACAAACAGAACACTGCTAGACAGACAGAACACTACCAGACAGACAGACAGAACACTACCAGACAGAGAGACAGAACACTGCTAGACAGACAGAACACTACCAGACAGAGAGACAGAACACTGCTAGACAGACAGACAGAGCACTACCAGACAGAGAGACAGAACACTACCAGACAGAGAGACAGAACACTGCTAGACAGACAGAACACTACCAGACAGACAGACAGAACACTACCAGACAGAGAGACAGAACACTGCTAGACAGACAGAACACTACCAGACAGACAGAACACTAACAGACAGACAGAACACTACCAGACAGACAGACAGAACACTACCAGACAGAGAGACAGAACACTGCCAGACAGACAGACACAACACTACCAGACAGACAGAACACTACCAGACAGACAGAACACTGCTAGACAGACAGAACACTACCAGACAGACAGAACCCTACTAGACAGACTGACATCCAGAACAACCAGACAGAGAGACAGAACACTGCCAGACAGACAGACAGAACACTGCCAGACAGACAGACAGAACACTACCATACAGACAGACAGACAGAACACTACCAGACAGACAGACAGAACACTACCAGACAGACAGAACACTACCAGACAGACATCCAGAACAGACAGACAGAACACTACCAGACAGACTGACATCCAGAACAGACAGACAGAGTACTACCAGACAGACAGAACACTACCAGACAGACATCCAGAACAGACAGACAGAACACTACCAGACAGACTGACATCCAGAACAGACAGACAGAACACTGCCAGACAGACAGACAGGCAGAACACTACCAGACAGACAGACAGAACACTGCCAGACAGACAGAGAGAACACTGCCAGACAGACAGAACACTACCAGACAGACAGACAGAACACTACCAGACAGACAGGCAGAACACTGCCAGACAGACAGACAGAACACTACCAGACAGACAGACAGAACACTGCCAGACAGACAGAACACTACCAGACAGACAGACAGACAGAACACTACCAGACAGACAGACAGACAGATCACTACCAGACAGACAGAACACTACTAGACAGACAGACAGACAGATCACTACCAGACAGACAGAACCCTACTAGACAGACTGACATCCAGAACAACCAGACAGACAGACAGCACACTGCCAGACAGACAGACAGAACACTGCCAGACAGACAGACAGAACACTGCCAGACACAAAGACAGGCAGGACACTGCCAGACAGACAGAACACTACCATACAGACAGACAGACAGACAGAACACTACCAGACAGACAGACAGAACACTACCAGACAGACAGAACACTACCAGACAGACATCCAGAACACTACCAGACAGACAGACATCCAGAACAGACAGACAGAACACTGCCAGACAGACAGACAGGCAGGACACTGCCAGACAGACAGAACACTACCAGGCAGACAGACAGACAGAACAGTACCAGACAGACAGACTGACAGAACACTGCCAGACAGACAGACAGGCAGGACACTGCTAGACAGACAGAAAACTACCAGACAGACAGACAGAACACTACCAGACAGACAGAACACTACCAGACAGAGAGACAGAACACTGCCAGACAGACAGACACAACACTACCAGACAGACAGAACACTAACAGACAGACAGAACACTCCTAGACAGACAGAACACTACCAGACAGAGAGACAGAACACTGCTAGACAGATAGAACACTACCAGACAGAGAGACAGAACACTGCGAGACAGACAGACACAACACTGCCAGACAGACAGAACACTACCAGACAGAGAGACAGAACACTGCCAGACAGACAGAACACTACCAGACAGACAGACAGAACACTACCAGACAGACAGAACACTACCAGACAGAGAGAAAGAACACTGCTAGACAGACAGAACACTACCAGACAGAGAGACAGAACACTGCGAGACAGACAGACACAACACTGCCAGACAGACAGAACACTACCAAACAGACAGAACACTACCAGACAGAGAGACAGAACACTGCAAGACAGACAGACACAACACTGCCAGACAGACAGAACACTGCAAGACAGACACAACACTACCAGACAGAGAGACAGAACACTGCGAGACAGACAGACATAACACTGCCAGACAGACAGAACACTACCAGACAGAGACACAGAACACTGCTAGACAGACAGAACACTACCAGACAGAGAGACACAACACTGCCAGACAGACAGAACACTACCAGACAGACAGACAGAACACTGCCAGACAGACAGAACACTACCAGACAGACAGAACACTACCAGACAGACAGAACACTACCAGACAGAGAGACAGAACACTGCTAGACAGAGAGACAGAACACTGCTAGACAGACAGAACACTGCAAGACAGACACAACACTACCAGACAGACAGACAGAACACTACCAGACAGAGAGACAGAACACTGCTAGACAGACAGAACACTACCAGACAGAGAGACAGAACACTGCAAGACAGAGAGACAGAACACTACCAGACAGAGAAACAGAACACTGCAAGACAAACAGAACACTGCTAGACAGACAGAACACTACCAGACAGACAGACAGAACACTACCAGACAGAGAGACAGAACACTGCTAGACAGACAGAACACTACCAGACAGAGAGACAGAACACTGCTAGACAGACAGACAGAACACTACCAGACAGAGAGACAGAACACTACCAGACAGAGAGACAGAACACTGCTAGACAGACAGAACACTGCTAGACAGACAGAACACTACCAGACAGACAGACAGAACACTACCAGACAGAGAGACAGAACACTGCTAGACAGACAGAACACTACCAGACAGACAGAACACTAACAGACAGACAGAACACTACCAGACAGAGAGACAGAACACTGCGAGACAGACAGACACAACACTGCCAGACAGACAGACAGAACACTACCAGACAGACACAACACTACCAGACAGAGAGACAGAACACTGCGAGACAGACAGACACAACACTGCCAGACAGACAGAACACTACCAGACAGAGAGACAGAACACTACCAGACAGACATCCAGAACAGACAGACAGAACACTACCAGACAGACTGACATCCAGAACAGACAGACAGAACACTGCCAGACAGACAGACAGGCAGGACACTGCCAGACAGACAGAACACTACCAGGCAGACAGACAGACAGAACAGTACCAGACAGACAGACTGACAGAACACTGCCAGACAGACAGGCAGGACACTGCCAGACAGACAGAACACTACCAGACAGACAGACAGAACACTACCAGACAGACAGAACACTACCAGACAGAGAGACAGAACACTGCCAGACAGACAGACACAACACTACCAGACAGACAGAACACTACCAGACAGACAGAACACTGCTAGACAGACAGAACACTACCAGACAGACAGAACACTGCTAGACAGACAGAACACTACCAGACAGAGAGACAGAACACTGCTAGACAGACAGAACACTACCAGACAGACAGACAGGCAGAACACTGCCAGACAGACAGACAGGCAGGACACTGCCAGACAGACAGAACACTACCAGGCAGACAGACAGACAGAACAGTACCAGACAGACAGACTGACAGAACACTGCCAGACAGACAGGCAGGACACTGCCAGACAGACAGAACACTACCAGGCAGACAGACAGACAGAACAGTACCAGACAGACAGACTGACAGAACACTACCAGACAGACAGACAGAACACTACCAGACAGACAGAACACTACCAGACAGAGAGACAGAACACTGCTAGACAGACAGAACACTACCAGACAGAGAGACAGAACACTGCGAGACAGACAGACACAACACTACCAGACAGACAGACAGAACACTACCAGACAGAGAGACAGAATACTACCAGAGAGACAGAACAATTCCAGACGGACAGACATCCAGAACACTACAAGACAGACAGATAGAACACTACCAGACTGAGACAGAAATGCAATATGTAAATCATTTTTATATCTCACCTTTGTATGGAACATTTGGGGCGGTGACAATGATGGAGGCATTGTATTCCTGTTCCAGTCTCTGGTTGAAGACCTCCATGTGCAGCAAGCCAAGGAAGCCCAGCCTCCAACCTTGCCCTAGTACTGGACTGAAACAGGCAGGTCAACACAGCTGACAACAACTCACAACTCTAACAAAGCTAATCAAATGGACACAGCAAACACGACATTATAATCGCATCTAATGATACAATAATGCTACAGAATATGACATGACACACACCTGGTGTTGATGTGACAGACACCTGTGTTGATATGACAGGCACCTGTGTTGATGTGACAGACACCTGTGTTGATGTGAGACACCTGTGTTGATGTGACAGACACCTGTGTTGATGTGACAGACACCTGGTGTTGATGTGAGACACCTGTGTTGATCTGACAGACACCTGTGTTGATGTGACAGACACCTTTGTTGATGTGAGACACCTGTGTTGATCTGACAGACACCTGTGTTGATATGACAGACACCTGTGTTGATGTGACAGACACCTGGTGTTGATGTGAGACACCTTTGTTGATCTGACAGACACATGTGTTGATGTGACAGACACCTGTGTTGATGTGAGACACCTGTGTTGATCTGACAGACACCTGTGTTGATGTGACAGACACCTGTGTTGATATGACAGACACCTGTGTTGATGTGACAGACACCTGGTGTTGATGTGAGACACCTGTGTTGATGTGACAGACACCTGTGTTGATGTGACGGACACCTGGTGTTGATGTGAGACACCTGTGTTGATCTGACAGACACCTGTGTTGATGTGACAGACACCTGTGTTGATGTGAGACACCGGTGTTGATCTGACAGACACCTGTGTTGATGTGACAGACACTGGTTGAAGACCTCAATGTGCAGCAAGCCAAGGAAGCCCAGCCTCCAACCTTGCCCTAGTACTGGACTGAAACAGGCAGGTCAACACAGCTGACAACAACTCACAACTCTAACAAAGCTAATCAAATGGACACAGCAAACACGACATTATAATCGCATCTAATGATACAATAATGCTACAGAATATGACATGACACACACCTGGTGTTGATGTGACAGACACCTGTGTTGATATGACAGGCACCTGTGTTGATGTGACAGACACCTGTGTTGATGTGAGACACCTGTGTTGATGTGACAGACACCTGTGTTGATGTGACAGACACCTGGTGTTGATGTGAGACACCTGTGTTGATCTGACAGACACCTGTGTTGATGTGACAGACACCTTTGTTGATGTGAGACACCTGTGTTGATCTGACAGACACCTGTGTTGATATGACAGACACCTGTGTTGATGTGACAGACACCTGGTGTTGATGTGAGACACCTGTGTTGATCTGACAGACACCTGTGTTGATGTGACAGACACCTGTGTTGATGTGAGATACCTGTGTTGATCTGACAGACACCTGTGTTGATGTGACAGACACCTGTGTTGATATGACAGACACCTGTGTTGATGTGACAGACACCTGGTGTTGATGTGAGACACTTGTGTTGATGTGAGACACCTGTGTTGATGTGACAGGCACCTGTGTTAATGTGAGACACCTGTGTTGATGTGAGACACCTGTGTTGATATGACAGACACCTGTGTTGATATGAGACACCTGTGTTGATGTGACAGACACCTGTGTTGATGTGAGACACCTGTGTTGATATGACAGACACCTGTGTTGATATGAGACACCTGTGTTGATATGACACACACCTGTGTTGATGTGAGACACCTGTGTTGATATGACAGACACCTGTGTTGATATGAGACACCTGTGTTGATGTGACAGACACCTGTGTTGATTTGAGACACCTGTGTTGATGTGACAGACATCTGTGTTGATGTGACAGACTCCTGTGTTGATGTGACAGACACCTGTGTTGATGTGACAGACACCTAGTGTTGATGTGTGACACCTGTGTTGATATGACAGACACCTGTGTTGATGTGAGACACCTGTGTTGATGTGACAGACACCTAGTTTCGTGTGTGACACCTGTGTTGATATGACAGACACCTGTGTTGATGTGAGACACCTGTGTTGATGTGAGACACCTGTGTTGATGTGACACACACCTGTGTTGATGTGAGACACCTGTGTTTATATGACAGACACCTAGTGTTGATGTGACAGACACCTGTGTTGATGTGACAGGCACCTGTGTTAATGTGAGACACCTGTGTTGATGTGAGACACCTGTGTTGATATGACAGACACCTGTGTTGATATGAGACACCTGTGTTGATGTGACAGACACCTGTGTTGATGTGAGACACCTGTGTTGATATGACAGACACCTGTGTTGATATGAGACACCTGTGTTGATATGACACACACCTGTGTTGATGTGAGACACCTGTGTTGATATGACAGACACCTGTGTTGATATGAGACACCTGTGTTGATGTGACAGACACCTGTGTTGATTTGAGACACCTGTGTTGATGTGACAGACATCTGTGTTGATGTGACAGACTCCTGTGTTGATGTGACAGACACCTGTGTTGATGTGACAGACACCTGTGTTGATGTGAGACACCTGTGTTAATATGACAGACACCTGTGTTGATGTGAGACACCTGTGTTAATATGACAGACACCTGTGTTGATGTGAGACACCTGTGTTGATATGACAGACACGTGTGTTGATGTGCGACACCTGTGTTGATATGACAGACACCTGTGTTAATGTGAGAGACCTTTGTTGATGTGAGACACCTGTGTTGATATGACAGACACCTGTGTTGATGTGAGACACCTGTGTTGATGTGACAGACACCTGTGTTGATGTGAGACACCTGTGTTGATGTGACAGACACCTTGTGTTGATGTGACAGACACCTGTGTTGATGTGAGACACCTGTGTTGAAGTGACAGACACCTGTCTTGATGTGACAGACTCCTGTGTTGATGTGAGACACCTGGTGTTGATGTGACAGACACCTGTGTTGATGTGACAGACACCTGGTGTTGATGTGACAGAGACCTGCTCAACTCACCTACTGTCAATGTTGATGGAGACACTGGAGTCGTTGAGTGTCAGCCTCTCTATTGAGTTACGCAGTGCACTGTATTCTGACTGGTCACTGGGATATACTCCTGCAAACACCTGAAATGTTCATGTCGGAAGTTTACAAAATGTTCCTGATAGTCAACAATAAACAGTACATCATTTTTTGATACGGAATGTGTTGTGTAAAGAAAATGGTTTAAAGCCAGGCACAAAACTACCTAGGCCTAGATGGTTTAAAGTCAGGCAGAGGGGACTCGGGTCTACCTACCATGGGTCTAGCTGGTTTAAAGCCAGGCATAAGTCTACCTACCTACCTACCTACCATGAGTGTACCTGGTTTATAGTCAGGCAGAGGGGACATGGTTCTACCTACCATGGGTCTGACTGGTTTATAGTCAGGCAGAGAGGACATGGTTCTACCTACCATGGGTCTGGCTGGTTTATAGTCAGGCAGAGGGGACATGGTTCTACCTACCATGGGTCTAGCTTGTTTATTGTCAGGCAGAGGGGACATGGTTCTACCTACCATGGGTCTAGCTTGTTTATTGTCAGGCAGAGGGGTCACGGTTCTACCTACCATGTGTCTAGCTTGTTTATTATCAGGCAGAGGGGTCATGGTTCTACCTACCATGGGTCTGGCTTGTTTATAGTCAGGCAGAGGGGTCATGGGTCTACCTACCATGGGTCTGGCTTGTTTATAGTCAGGCAGAGGGGTCATGGTTCTACCTACCATGGGTCTAGCTTGTATATAGTCAGGCAGAGGGGTCATGGTTCTACCTACCAAGGGTCTAGCTGGTTTATAGTCAGGCAGAGGGGACATGGTTCTACCTACCATGGGTCTGGCTGGTTTATAGTCAGGCAGAGGGGACATGGTTCTACCTACCATGGGTCTGGCTGGTTTATAGTCAGGCAGAGGGGACATGGTTCTACCTACCATGGGTCTGGCTGGTTTATAGTCAGGCAGAGGGGACATGGTTCTACCTACCATGGGTCTGACTGGTTTATAGTCAGGCAGAGGGGACATGGTTCTACCTACCATGGGTCTGACTGGTTTATAGTCAGGCAGAGGGGACATGGTTCTACCTACCATGGGTCTGGCTGGTTTATAGTCAGGCAGAGGGGACATGGTTCTACCTACCATGGGTCTGACTGGTTTATAGTCAGGCAGAGGGGACATGGTTCTACCTACCATGGGTCTGGCTTGTTTATAGTCAGGCAGAGGGGTCACGGTTCTACCTACCATGGGTCTGACTGGTTTAAAGTCAGGCAGAGGGGACATGGTTCTACCTACCATGGGTCTGACTGGTTTATAGTCAGGCAGAGGGGACATGGTTCTACCTACCATGGGTCTGGCTTGTTTATAGTCAGGCAGAGGGGACATGGTTCTACCTACCATGGGTCTGACTGGTTTATAGTCAGGCAGAGGGGACATGGTTCTACCTACCATGGGTCTGGCTTGTTTATAGTCAGGCAGAGGGGTCACGGTTCTACCTACCATGGGTCTGACTGGTTTATAGTCGGGCAGAGGGGACACGGTTCTACCTACCATGGGTCTAGCTTGTTTATAGTCAGGCAGAGGGGTCACGGTTCTACCTACCATGGGTCTGGCTGGTTTATAGTCAGGCAGAGGGGACATGGTTCTACCTACCATGGGTCTGACTGGTTTATAGTCAGGCAGAGGGGTCACGGGTCTACCTACCATGGGTCTAGCTGGTTTAAAGCCAGGAAGAGGGGTCACGGTTCTACCTACCATGGGTCTAGCTGGTTTATAGTCGGGCAGAGGGGTCATGGTTCTACCTACCATGGGTCTAGCTGGTTTAAAGCCAGGAAGAGGGGTGACAGGTCTGTCAACGAGGTGGAATGTGTCGCCCATCTGGGCCTCCCTGGTGTTGCGCATGTTGGCCATCACAAAGCCCACCTGCCCCGCATACCTGAAACATCACAATGACATTATACAGTACATTTTCCCCTGGAGACCGGTAGTTCCTAAACAGTACCATAGTCTATAATGATCAACGGAGTCAATAAAAATTGTAAACAGACATAGGTTACATGCAATTTGTGATTCCATCAAGATGGACACTTATGGATTAATGCATACAATATAATTTCAATACATGATCTGTCATTGGGTAATTTTTCTAAAACCAGCCTAAGTTTTGTGAATCTTATCTCGCATATTAGCCTAATTCGTAATCCTGGAATAAGTACAGATGTGAAATTTTCCCAAGAACCCTCATTATTCCTCTATTGTTGTCTAGGTAACATCTTATAAACTTCTTTCTTACCTATTGGAAATATTTCCCAAACACGACCAGGGAATATACCAGTCAAACATCCCATTGAAACATTTATTAAGAAAAGACATCAACTCAAATTTGGAACTTTTTATCATTTCAACCACAGTATTGTCAGGACAAGCATCTTTTCCACTTTTTAGGTGCATTATGGCGTCCAGATATGGGTGTCTCAAGAATAAGTTTGTCAACATCAGGATAAGGTGCAGAGGAAACATTCATTCGTCTAACACATCGTCCAACAAACCAATGAATGGAAGGATTAGCAGCCATGCTTGTTGTGGAGGCATGACATCATGCAATCCCACCAGTCACCGAGGCTACCACTACACCCTCTAGCCAGCTCTCAAGACACGCCTGTGGCGCTGGGGTCTTGGAGTGAGTGAGTGAGTGAGTTGGGTTTAACGCTGCTTTTAACAGTATTCCAGTTATATTGCGGTGTGTCAGCTTAATGTTGGAGGAAAGCCCGAAGGGATGCAGGTCTCAGACGTTTACCACTTCGGTGAAACCCACGAGCACGGGTATGGTGCTGACAAACCTAGAAACATAATTGGGGCGAACCGGGATTCGAACCCACAATCATAGGTTTCTGGCGTTCCCAAGGGACGCAACTCTGCACAGCGAATCGCGGCGCCTTAGACGACTGGGCCACCTGTGCCCCCCTGGGGTCTTAGAATGAAGACAGGATGCTATGAAGTCCTCCCCCCTCCAGACAGTGCCTGGAATCACCAGAGATGTATACACCACTATTAGTGCCTTACAGATATACAGTCAAGTTCCGTTAATCCGACATGGTTGGTTGCATATGATTATGTCGGATTAACGAGCATGTGAGATAAACGAAACTAGTTGTTGTTTGTTGTTTTACACCTCACTCAGGAATAATCCAGCTACATGACAGTGGTCTGTAAATAATCAAGTCTGGACCAGACAATGCAGTGATTGACATCATGAGCATCGATCCATGCAATTGGGGTACGATGACATGCATCAACTAAGACAGCGAGTCTGACCACCCGATCCCGTTAGTCGCCTCTTGTGACAAGCAAAGTCGCCTTTTACAGCAAGCATGGGATGCTGAAGACTAATTCTACCCCGGATCTTCACGGGTTTAAATGAAACTAAGTTGTGTCAACGTTCGTGATCGAAAATCAGACAAAAACACAAAAGAATAGTCTGGAAAGGAAGTCGCCAGTTTAAAACTAGTGCCACAAAGCTCAAGAAAGCAGCTTTCTTAGCTGCTAATGTAGACTTCCTGTTCGTCATTTTATTGGTCCATCAAAGTACACAAAAGGTCGTTCTGACATGAGCTGTAATGAGATGTACTCAGCGGTAGCAAGAACCTGTTTCTGATTTATATGAGATTGAGGTAATCGAGGCATGTGATTATTCCTGATTTGTTTATTCAAAGCATTAATTGTTTATTGTTAAGCAAGTTTAACTCTGCAGCCATTGTAATATGCAGCTACTAGCCGACTTGTCTCGCATCATAACACGTTGATGTGTACTCGCGAACAGGTGACCACAGAGTACGCTGATCACTATGTTGGATTAATGAGTGATTTCCGTAATTCCCTGCAAATTAGGTGTATCGGAGTCGGAGTGCAAGACTGTAGGATTAACGAGTCTAAATAGCACTAATTTAATTGGTTCCCATCATTTGTGATGGATAAAGCTGATTGTCGGATTAACGAGACTTGACTGTATACACCCAAGTTAGCACCTTACAGAGCAGACGTGGGGATCTCCGTGGGGTGCATTATTCCAACTTCCTGGACCTCGTACGCCTTCTGGCCATGACAGGACTTGATCTTGTCTCCTGAGGGCAAAGCAGACATTACATGTTATGTGTGTTGCCCATCCTCCGTCACCCATCAGCCTCTAAATTCTGTGACACACTAACCCAGCCATGACACACATTACACCTGCCATGATCCACAACATGGTACAATGCTTATGATACATCACATGGTACAATGATTACGATACATCACATGGTTTTGTTTGTTTGTTGTTTAACACCGCACTCAGCAATATTGCAGCTATAGGACGGCAGTCTGTAACTAATCGAGTCTGGGCCAGACAATCCAGTGATTGACATCATGAGCATCGATCCACGCAATCGGGATACAATGACATGTATCAACCAAACCAGCGAGCCTGACCACCCAATCCCGTTAGTCGCGTCTTACAAGCATAGTTGCCTTTTACAGCAATCATGGGTTGCTGAAGCCATATTACGATTACGATGTAATCTCATTAAAATCAGACCTCAGTTCTCGCTACCGCTAAACAATGATCTGAGCACACTTTCATCCGACCAATCAGAGCATCGCTTACCATATTATGAAAGTGACAGTCGGAATGTGATTTCTAATCATGCAACCTCGAAAACTCCCAGCGATAGTTATGGATTTAACAACTGAATCCATACAATCTAGACCATCTGTTAGCCATTCCAGAATGTTCTTTTGTTCAGGTTTCAAATTTCTAATAAAAGAATTGTCAAAATATGTTTCGAAACGTAGTCGCCAATTTGAAATAAGTGCTGTAAAGCACGAAAAAGCTGCCTTCTGATTGGTCATTCCATTGGTCGGTGAAAGTTTGCGCAAGGTCGGTCTGACGTGACCCGTAATGGGATGTCCTCAGATCTTTGTTTAGCTGTAGCAAGAACTTAGATCTGATATTAATGAGATTGCATCACATGGCACAATGATTACGATGCATCACATGGCACAATGATTACGATGCATCACATGGTACAATGATTACGATGCATCACATGGCACAATGATTACGATGCATCACATGGTACAATGATTACGATACATCACATGGCACAATGATTACGATACATCACATGGTACAATGATTACGATACATCACATGGTACAATGATTACGGTACATCGCATGGTACAATGATTACGATACATCACATGGTACAATGATTACGATACATCACATGGTACAATGATTACGGTACATGGCATGGTACAATGATTACGATGCATCACATGGTACAATGATTACGATACATCACATGGTACAATGATTACGATACAACACATGGTACGATGATAACGATGCATCACATGGTACAATGATTACGATGCATCACATGGTACAATGATTACGATACATAACATGGTACAATGATTACGATGCACCACATGGTACAATGATTACGATACATAACATGGTACAATGTTTACGATGCATCACATGGTACAATGATTACGATGCACCACATGGTACAATGATTACGATGCATCACATGGTACAATGATTACGATACAACACATGGTACAATGATTACGATGCATCACATGGTACAATGATTACGATGCATCACATGGTACAATGATTACGATACATAACATGGTACAATGATTACGATACAACACATGGTACGATGATAACGATGCATCACATGGTACAATGATTACGATGCATCACATGGTACAATGATTACGATACATAACATGGTACAATGATTACGATGCACCACATGGTACAATCATTACGATGCATCACATAGTACAATGATTACGATGCATCACATAGTACAATGATTACGGTACATCGCATGGTACAATGATTACGATGCATCACATAGTACAATGATTACGATACATAACATGGTACAATGATTACAATGCACCACATGGTACAATGATGACGATGCATCACATAGTACAATGATTACGATGCATCACATGGTACAATGATTACGATGCACCACATGGTACAATGATTACGATACATCGCATGGTACAATGACTACAACTCACCTCTCTTGATATGTCCGTCACAGACTGCCATGTGGGCTATCACACCCTTGTACTGGTCATACCACGAGTCAAACAGCAACGCTTTTAGTGGTTGGTGAGGGTCACCTGATGGGCTGCAATTAACATTAATAGTTTCATGATGAAGGAAGAAAGGGGACACAGGTTGTCGACGTTTACCACATTGGTGACATATGAGTGAGTGAGTGAGTATGGTTTAACGCCGCTTTTAGCAATATTCCAGCGATATCAAGGCGGGGGACACCTTAAATGGGTTCACACATTGTACCCCTGTCGGGAATCGAACCCGAGGTTTTCAGCGTGACGATGAACGCTTTAACCACTAGGCTACCCGACCGCCCTGCTGACATATGAAGGATAATATACAGGTTTCACCTGGGATTATGGCGACATTCAGGGATGCAACTCAAGGCACAGCAAGGCTTAGGGAACAACTCGGCACAGCAAGGCTTAGGGAACAACTCGGCACAGCAAGGCTTAGGGACCAACTCGGCACAGCAAGACTTAGGGACCAACTCGGCACAGCAAGGCTTAGGGACCAACTCTGCACAGCAAGGCTTAGGGACCAACTCGGCACAGCAAGACTTAGGGACCAACTCGGCACAGCAAGACTTAGGGACCAACTCGGCACAGCAAGGCTTAGGGAACAACTCGGCACAGCAAGACTTAGGGAACAACTCTGCACAGCAAGGCTTAGGGAACAACTCTGCACAGCAAGGCTTAGGGAACAACTCGGCACAGCAAGGCTTAGGGACCAACTCGGCACAGCAAGACTTAGGGACCAACTCGGCACAGCAAGACTTAGGGACCAACTCGGCACAGCAAGACTTAGGGACCAACTCGGCACAGCAAGACTTAGGGAACAACTCGGCACAGCAAAACTTAGGGACCAACTCGGCACAGCAAGACTTGGGGACACAACTCGGCACAGCAAGACTTAGGGACACAACTCGGCACAGCAAGACTTAGGGAACAACTCGGCACAGCAAGACTTAGGGACCAACTCGGCACAGCAAGACTTAGGGACACAACTCGGCACAGCAAGACTTAGGGACGTAACTTGTCACAGCAAGACTTAGGGACGCAACTCAGCACAGCTAGACTTAGGGACAAAACTCAGCACAGCAAAACTTAGGGACACATCTCCACACAGAAAATGATGACTAAATCATCATGAAAACATTATATCCAACATGCAGCACATGAGCTTCAGAACATTCCATGTTATACACAGTTGCCATGGTTACCTACGGAGGAATCCGAAGTATGACCTCTTGGAGTAGCTGCTCGATGCCCGTTCCCAGCTTGGCCGAGATCTGCAACACAGACACGTATACTGCAACACAATATCAGACACTTATACTGCAACAAACATCTAACACGTATATACTGCAACACACATCTCACACACATAAAAACTGCAACACACATCTCACACACATATATACTGCAACACGTATATACTGGTGATGAGGTGATGGTGTTTTAGGTGTGTGTGCTGAAATGGCAATGACCTGGAGCATGTCAGAGGGGGGGGATGTTAAAAAGGTTGCACACATTTGAGGAGGGGGGAATGTCAAACAGGTTGTTGCACACGCGCTGGCACTGACCTGCAGCACGTCGGCGGGGGGGATGTCAAACAGGTTGTGCAGCTGCTGCAGGACCATCTCCGGCTGGGCCCCCTTCAGGTCGACTTTGTTCAGCACCGGTAGAATCACCATGTTCGACTCAAACGCCAGGTAGAAGTTGGCCATGGTCTGTGCCTGCACACCCTTCATTCAGAGGAGAAATATCATCGAGTATTTCAGCAGAGATTTAGCCACAACTGATGTTCACAGGGCTATTAGGTAACATTTCTGTTAGAGCTTTTCTAGACTTAAGTCAGCAATATGACCACCATATATAGGCTGACTGAAATGAGGCATAGAGTTGGCACCAAGAGTAGGCACCAAGAGTAGGCACCAAGAGTAGGCACCAAGAGTAGGCACCAAGAGTAGGCATAAAGTGTCGGCATCAAGAGCATGCACTTAGAGCAGACACCAAAAGCAGCCATCAGCTCCCATCAATCTGATGATTGCACTCCAGTGGAAACAAGGCATACCTGATTGGCATCGACCAGAAGCACGACCCCCTGACATGCCCCCAGGGAGCGGGACACCTCGTAGTTGAAGTCCACATGGCCCTGTAACACAGACAGACACCCTGTAACACAGGCAGACACACTGTAACCAATAACACAGACACCCTGTAACACAGAGACACGCTGTAACCAGTAACACAGACACCCTGTAACACAGACAGACACGCTCTTACCAGTAACACAGACACCCTGTAATACAGGCAGACAGGCTGTAACCAGTAACATAGACACCCTGTAACATAGACAGACACGCTGTAACCAGTAACACAGACACCCTGTAATACAGACAGACACGCTGTTACCAGTAACATAGACACCCTGTAACATAGACAGACACGCTGTTACCAGTAACACAGACACCCTGTAATACAGGCAGACACGCTGTAACCAGTAACATAGACACCCTGTAACATAGACAGACACGCTGTTACCAGTAACACAGACACCCTGTAATACAGGCAGACACGCTGTAACCAGTAACATAGACACCCTGTAACATAGACAGACATGCTGTAACCAGTAACACAGACCCTCTGTAACACAGACAGACACGCTGTAACCAGTAACATAGACACCCTGTAACACAGACAGACACGCTGTTACCAGTAACACAGACACCCTGTAATACAGACAGGCACGCTGTAACCAGTAACACAGACACCCTGTAACACAGGCAGACACGCTGTTACCAGTAACACAGACACCCTGTAACACAGAGACATGCTGTAACCAGTAACACAGACACCCTGTAACACAGTCAGACACGCTGTAACCAGTAACACAGACACCCTGTAACACAGGCAGACACGCTGTAACCAGTAACACAGACACCCTGTAACACAGACAGACACGCTGTAACCAGTAACACAGACCCTCTGTAACACAGACAGACACGCTGTAACCAGTAACATAGACACCCTGTAACACAGAGACACGCTGTAACCAGTAACACAGACACCCTGTAACACAGACAGACACGCTGTAACCAGTAACATAGACACCCTGTAACACAGACACCCTGTAACACAGAGACACGCTGTAACCAGTAACACAGACACCCTGTAACACAGACAGACACCCTGTAACACAGGCAGACACGCTGTAACCAGTAACACAGACACCCTGTAATACAGGCAGACACGCTGTAACCAGTAACACAGACACCCTGTAACACAGGCAGACACGCTGTAACCAGTAACACAGACACCCTGTAACACAGGCAGACTCGCTGTAACCAGTAACACAGACACCCTGTAACACAGAGACACGCTGTAACCAGTAACACAGACACCCTGTAACACAGAGACACGCTGTAACCAGTAACACAGACACCCTGTAACACAGAGACACGCTGTAACCAGTAACATGGACACCCTGTAAAACAGTCACCCTGTAACAGACAGACACCCTGTAACAGACAGACACCCTGTAACACAGAAACCCTGTAACACAGACACCCTGTAACACAGACACCCTGTAACAGACAGACACCCTGTAACACAGACACCCTGTAACACAGACACTCTCCAACGGGCATCACATATATTTGGTGTCTTATCAACATGGTATGTATAGATATCACATCTTCTTGATCAGTCACACTCCAGCTAGTGAGCTCAACATACTACAGCAGAAAATCTTAAAATAAACAGGACCCATAAATTGGACACTGCTGTTTTAGGCTGATTACAAGTATGTAAAATCATCTGACCGGTGTGTCTATGAGGTTAAGCAGGTACGTGACTCCATGAAGCTGGTAGAAAAGTGATGCTGTCTGGGCCTTGACAGTGATGCCACGCTCTCGCTCCACCTGCAGTCGATCAAGCACCTGCTTGTTGCTGCCAGTCTTCGGTATCACACCTGTCACAAATCACAGAAACTGATCACAGCTACCCCTCATCCTGACAACGAGGTGATGAAACAGTGCTGAATTATGCATGATAACGAGAATATATATACATAATGATCTAGGTTTTTATGCATGAAATTACCAAGGATTCACTTGGATTCGTTTGTGACAAGCAGTGAGTGAGTGAGTGAGTGAGTGAGTGAGTGAGTGAGTGAGTGAGTGAGTGAGTGAGTGAGTGAGTGAGTGAGTGAGTGAGTGAGAGTGAGCGAGCGTGGTTTCACACGGCTTTTAGCAATATTGCAGCAATATCACGGCAGGGGACACCAGAAATGGGCTTCACACATTATACCCATGTCTGGAATCGAACCCAGGTCTTTGGCGTGAGTGACAAGCAGTATATAGCGAGGCACTTGTGTTTAGGTACCTCCATCATTCCTCCCAGAGTCCTCATCTCGGTACTGCCTCTCTCACCGATAGCTAGGGGAACTACTCAAGTTACATGTGATCTCCACTAGACAGAGTTCTCTCCCCTTGATCCACCTACCTGTGATCTCCACTAGACAGAGTTCTCTCTCCTTGATAAACCTACCTGTGATCTCCAGTAGACGATCTGCCAGAGTTCTCTCCCCATGATCCACCTACCTGTAATCTCCACTAGACAGAGTTCTCTCCCCTTGATCCACCTACCTGTGATCTCCACTAGACAGAGTTCTCTCCCCTTGATCCACCTACCTGTAATCTCCAGTAGACGATCTGCCAGAGTTCTCTCCCTATGATCCACCTACCTGTAATCTCCAGTAGACAGAGTTCTCTCCCCATGATCCACCTACCTGTGATCTCCAGTAGACAGAATTCTCTCCCCTTGATCCACCTACCTGTAATCTCCAGTAGACAGAGTTCTCTCCCCATGATCCACCTACCTGTGATCTCCAGTAGACGATCTGCCAGAGTTCTCTCCCCTTGATCCACCTACCTGTGATCTCCAGTAGACAGAGTTCTCTCCCCATGATCCACCTACCTGTGATCTCCAGTAGACGATCTGCCAGAGCTCTTCCCATGATCCACCTACCTGTGATCTCCAGTAGACGATCTGCCAGAGCTCTTCCCATGATCCACCTACCTGTGATCTCCAGTAGACAGAATTCTCTACCCATGATCCCCCTACCTGTGATCTCCAGTAGACGATGTGCCAGAGTTCTCTCCCCTTGATCCACCTACCTGTGATCTCCAGTAGACAGAGTTCTCTCCCCTTGATCCACCTACCTGTGATCTCCAGTAGACGATCTGCCAGAGTACTCTTCCCATGATCCACATGGGCGATGATGCTGAAGTTCCGAATATTTTCTGCAGGAAAGTTTGAAAGCTCCAACTTTGTCTGCAGAAGTCAAGACAGTTCAATGTTAATGATTCTGCGGACAAGATTATACAGATAACAATGTTTCTGTAAAGCATGCAAAATACAATATGGTACAAAATACAAAAAAATGATAAAAGGGTGTTTGCATTCCATGCATCACCAGAAACAGCTCTATCACCATGTAACTCTTCTCCACTCTGGAACCAGGTGAACATAAACAGTTTGGTCAAATGCCTATTAACGAGTGAGTGAGTTGAGTGAGTGAGTCTTAACACCACTTTAAACACTTTTCCAGTTATATAACAGCATGTCAGCTTACTGTGGGAGGAAGCCCGAAGTGATGCAGGTCACAGATGTTTACCACTTCCGTGAAACCCACAAGCATGTTTAATGTGCAGACAAACCAAGAAACATAATCGGGTCCAATTAATTGTGGCACCCAACACCACTGGTGCCCACCCACTAACAAGACTCACATGAGTGAGTGACCTTGATTGTTATATCAGGGCATGTGAGTTTGCTGGCGAGCCAAGTGGTTCAGATTGTCGGCTTCACTGTGCAGGGCTCTTTTCTTTGGGTTTTAGAATTAAATCAGGCGCATGTGATGGCCATCACACACTGAAATTATTTCATGCATTATTTAAAAACACACAGAACCGTTGATGTACTATCTCTTTAAAGTGGCCTCAACAGCTGACACAACCATGACGTGACAGGTGCTGTTACAGTCCATAGTTTGAATGCTTTGATTTCCCATGACTGAAATTAGAAATGCCAGACGTCTGAGACACCTAATTCCCAAAGAGTGACCTTCAAGGTCAATACTTACTTTCTTTGTGATCTTTTCGTTGGAATACCATCGAACCCCCCGAGTTGACCTGGGAACAAACGTGAAGGTCGACGTCAAGGACTTGAGGAGATGCTTTCATGAATGACTTAGGACTCACGCTGCTTTGAACAGTATTTAGTTACCGGATATATTGGACTAATGTGATGCAGGTCACAAACATCTTGAAGTTGTATGCTGACAAACTGAGAATCATAACTGAGGCAATTCTTTGGATTCACAAAATCATGTTGTACAAAGTTAACAATGACATAACCCTGTTGACAAAGGTACCAAGATTAAGGAGTCAATACAAAAGCTGAAATCCTCAAGGAAGCTGGGATACCCCTTCACTTCTACTCCTGCTGGTAGTAATGCAACTCTACACAGTTATGGCAACCACGTGTCATGTTAAGGGAGTCAAGATGTTATTCAGAACGTTCTTTCTTGTCTGTGCTGCTAACATATAGGTATCACCAAGGGTAACGTGATCAGGGCAAATTATGAAAGTCATTTTCTCATTCTGTCAATATTCATATTCATATATGATTCTATTTCTGTATCTATATCTACAACATGATGGTATACAAATTTCATTCATGATAACAAAGTATTGACAATAGACTAAATTCATTACGAACACGTTTATAAGAAACTGACAGATATAACGAACTGTTTTGTGGTCCAGTCCATCTGCTGTGTGTTTGTTGTATATATGCTTACAACTACAGCCATAACCAACCAAAATTAGTGGTTCCTTTAAGTTCGTTATAACTGTAGTTTACTGTATTATTCTTATCTTAGAATCGATTCTTGATCGGCAACTCCATGAAGATTAATGACCTGGTAAATAGTTGTAACTTGTAATTGTAAAATATAATTTAACATCAGATACTTTATTCCAAGGTTTAACCATTCATTCCATCAATATATAATCACACACATAATTACAAATAAACGCATGTACAAAGTAGCATAACCATGGGAAGTGTTTATTTCTGAGATAAACATCCTGTGTTTGCAACGTAGAGCTGGGTTACTTGTAGATCTAACTACACTATACTGAATTTGGAACTGAATGTCGGCATAAAAATTAAGGAAGCCTTGTAAAGTTTAGTTCAAAAACGCGTCACGATTACAATGTCACACATGGGGACACAAAATGTAATGCCACCCATCCATTGACTATAGCAGTAACCCTAACTCTGAAATTAATTGTTATCTATAGTTGCAGATATCATTATTTAAACATGTCAAATGACAACGACTGCAGAATAAGTATTTTTCCGTAAACATTAGCTTTCACAATGGTGCAGCCATCAAATCAATTAGTGGCAGTTATTGTGATTTGAACCCTCCAAATGACCAATCAGAATTGAGTAATTTCCAAGTTTATGGTAGAATGTCACTATTTGTGGTATTGTGAATTCTGTCCACATTTATAGCCATAGAAAATGAAAATGAACACCTTAAGCTTTGGATTAATATGATTACTGCACAGCAAAGTTGAGAAAATCTGGACGAACACAGCAATTTGGGGGAAAGATGCTTTGCTGGTAACTTTTCTGTTGGGCAGCATGAAATTTCCCCCACCTGCCCGACTATAATTTTAAGACTACTTGTGTATTCAGTTTTATTATAACTTCTTGCAGTTTGTTTGTTTATTTGTTGTTTAACGCCACACTCAGCAATATTCCATCTATATGGTGGCGGTCTGTATTTAATCAAGTCTGGACCAGACATTCCAGTGATTGACATCATGAGCATCGATCCATGCAGCTGTGATACGATGACATGCATCAACTAAGTCAGCGAGCCTGACCACCTGATACCATTTGTAGCCTCTTACGACGTGCATAGTCGCCTTTTACGGCAAGTATAGGTTGCTGAAGACCTATTCTATGGACTACCCCGGATCTGCCTGGGTCTAACCTCTTGTAGATTCTCAAGTAGTTGTTTGCATTATTTCAGCTGAATCAAGACATGATTTGTCTCTTAGTTTCAGTGACTTTTCATCTTTGAAGATGGACAGGAAACACTTACGGGACTGCCCGACTTTCTTGTTGAGTTTTAAAATTATTTCAACACTGGAACCTACCACCCCTAGCTGCTTTTTATAGGCTGCATCAATTGTGCAGATCTACAGATTCAATTGTCAGATATTTTTTCTCAAACTGTTTAGGATACTAGGAATTTTGATAAAATCAAAATTGTGACAACATGTGTCGAGACATTGTGATATCTGGACAGAATATTATCAGGCAAGATTAATTCTGCTATGGCAACAACACACTACCACACCCATTTGAACACATTGTGGTGTTCACCAAATTATAGCTCAACTTTAAATCCTGAAAATCTTGCCTCTAATGGCCAAACACAACAATCAAAATATCTTGTTCCGAAATCTCTTTGGAACTTCTATCCTATATATTTAGATCTAGACATTTTCTAAAACTTACATGAAGAAATAGTATTTGTATATATTGTCAATTACTACTGAGACACCATAAGGCGACGGGTCTGCAATGATGGGTGAATGTCTTAGGTAATATTCATGTGGTTAGTGTTCCATGTATCACTGTCAGTGTATCGATATGTGCATGCTGAACTATTCAGTGAACATTGAAATATCGTTGATTATTTATTCGCACCTTTCAAATATTGTCTTCCTCACAGACCATGATATGAATTTTCTACATAATGGACACAGAGACTGAAAGATATATTTCATTTTGAATCCATTAACATTTCCAAACAAAACTTGTTTTAAGATGTTTGTGTCGCATGTCAATTCAAGGGCGCGGCCATTTTGTTTTGAAACCGAGGCCACAGAGTACTCGTTGTGAAGTTAATGACAATACACTATTTTCATATCCTACAGACGAACAGAGTAACAATTGTGAAAAGTAATATCGAAAATAACATGTTTAAATAGTCATACGCATTTCACCCTTAATGTCTTAAGAATAGCGTGTACAGATAGCAAACAACATTTGTCTAAATCAGCTGCTCCCTTAAATGTGATTCTATGGCGGTAAATTTAAAAGTGCTAGATCGAAGTGAACTCTTTTTTTAGTCGATCTTGGTATCAAAAGGTTGACGACAGAGCCTACATCACGTTGAGTACGGAACGGGAATAGCTATCGTTTCACCGTGTTATCTGCAAACCAATAATGTCAACAGGGGATACATGGACAAACAGATTTCCTGGTTTCGTTGTTTACGGCGATGTACGACTAGTGCGCGGTAAAATTATACATGTTCTAATGAAATCATTTTATTTTCATGTCAACAAACATCTTCAAAGGATATTCACTCACAATTTACTAACGACACTCTTCGAATTTAACTGTCGCTTGCCGCAGAATAGAGAAATAATACACTGGACTTTCGAATTTACCTTGTTGTTTTGATAATCAGATTGGTTCGAGATTGCAGACTAACGGAAAATCATCCAACTTACCCCTTACATTATCAATAACACGATAGTTTTAATGACACAGAAATTCAAATTGACAAACGAAGAAAGTAATTTAGCAGCGATAGGTGTATTCGGCGTCTCGACAGTCGTCACTTGTTTGTAAACATAACGGTCATTCGGTTGCGAGTTCAACTCCAAGCATGGTTGTGGCCACCTTTTCTCAGTGGGGAGTTTTGACTGGTGGCAGCGATAGTATAGAGAGCTCCGGGAACGTACTATCGCTGTGAGGAGCTTGGATCATAGTATTCCAAGGGACGCAACTCTGCACGGCAAATCGCGGCGCCTTAGACGACTGGTCCCCCCCCCCCCCCCGTGCCCCCGTGCCCCCGTGCCCCCGTAGGCTTACTAAGAAACATATCCTTATAAAGATGATTTAAGATGTATTTTGTCATAGCCGTTTTGAATGTAGTTTAGTGCTTACATTTAGATGTAATTCAATACTGCAACCTGAACCTTCCTGAACAGACAGGACCTAACCTACAGTCAACATAATGAAAAATAGCCATCTGACCAAAATGATGTACATGAGTAGTATAGTCTCAGTCCGCAGAAACCCTTTTTGGTTGATCCGGTTGATCCAGGCGGATCCGAAGATGATTGGCTGATCCAAGTCACGTGATCAGATAGGATGACTCATGCATTAACAGCGCGTCGGAAAAGGGGTTTTTGAAAGGTGTGTGTTTATAAGGCAGAAAAGAATTCATAAGAAAACAAAAGTAAAGGGTTATGAATAGAGCTATGTGTATATCGTGCTGCCCTAAATAGACAGACCGTACCCGTCAGCCCAGTTTGAATTGAGCGTGCTTGACAACTCACGTGGCCTCGTCGTTTCAAATAACCCGCGCTCGCTAGAGCGTGCGACCTAGTTTGATGAATACAGGGTGTGTGTTGAAAGTACATCATACCACAATAGAGACGGGTTGTGTCAACATGATATACGCCGGGTAATGTAGGAATAAAAAATGTACGTCTAGCTGGATCAAATTCATCTTGTACGGTCTACAAGTTGTACACCATGAACGTTAGACAACCTGTATAGAAAAAAAAGACTATACACTCAGTAAGCTAGCAGTGACGTTTAATTACATTTAGCGCGCAAGAACGAGGTAGTCACGTCACCCTGCATTGACTATAACGCTGAAGACAGCCGGATTTTCGAATCACCCGCGCTGCGTACTATTGTGAACCATTTGTATAGAATTATTCAGCCCTGTCCCGACTTGCATATTTGATGTTTCAATGCTAGCGTTTCCTTTTAACGTGATGACAAATAAACCGTGCGGTTTGAGTTTTAACCGTGTAACATGATGTGCACAGTTTTACTTCAGAACGTGCTATTTTGAAAATAGATAGAAAACTGATAAGTACATGTACCAGTGTGACGGCACGAAGCTAGGTTTGTTGGGAAAGTGATGGAAGCAATATATAGGACATTTTCATGTTTACAATACTCACCCTTAATTCGAAGAGAGAACAGAGTTTATCATGGAAAATTGTTTGACGAGGAAAATGTTTTATTGGAAATATATGTCGAAGCAGGTTTATTCATAGCTAATGTATAGCAGAGAGACTAAGCGACCGACCGCCCATAACAATGTCAACATACCCCGGCCTTACAATTAATGTTAACATACCAGCCTCGCCTGAAGCTTCCCATTCATAAATTGTGTGACCAGTGTCCCGTATTTATGATATGTTAGGGAAGATGTGTTGTACATTTGTTATTTTAAAAGGGAGTTATTTCAGAGAGGATATATATGGGTATTCCCCTCATTAAACCTTCCTTTCGTTGGTGTAGATGTTGTACCTATATCCGAACACGAATGTATGACACCTTTCAATAGATCAGTTACGGTTCTAACCACGACACGCAACATGACTATGAGCGTGGTTAGCAGTTCATATTTATAAACACATCGTAAATGACAGATTTCTGATGAATGAACTCGCCCGCACACATGTCTAAAGGGTTATGTTCGCCCGAACTGTAAACAGTGACACATTGATAACAGGAAGGGTGTGTGGAATGCACTCGTCCTTGTAAGGGTAAAATACGCGTTTAAACGCACCATTTAACTGATGACATTACTTTTTAGATGTATTGGTATCAGTGAGTGAGTGAATTTAGTTTTACGCCACACTCGGCATTATTCCAGCTCTAGGACGGTGGTCTGTCAATAAACGAGCTTGGACTAGACAATCCAGTGATCAACACCATGAGCAGCGATCTGTGCAACTAGGAACCGATGGCACGTGTCATCCGAGTCGGCGAGACTGACCAACCGATCCCCGTCAGTCGCCGATAAGCATGGGTTACTGAAGGTCGATTCTATAACCCGGACCTTCACAGGTGTAGTATGACGAAGACTATATACTAATATGATCACTTTTTTAACATACAAAATGCTGTGAAGAAAAGAGTGTCTTCCAAGATTCCCTGCACGTGTAAGACAGTATAAACTCTACAGTAGTGTAGCCCGACAAACAGTTTTATTCTCGCCAGCAAACAGATTGGACGTGAACAACATGAAGAAAGCATCAGAGATTAGACTTGACCCTAGAGATATATTTAGGAAGACTACGTTGAGAATATCACAACAGAGAAAGAAACCACAAGCAGCCAAGAAGTCAACGCTGAAGACAAAGAAGAGACAGGTAACACCTAAAATGAAAACGATGACAACCAAACAGGGATTGAAGACAACACCCCAACCCGTGAAAATACAACATGTGTCAGAGGTGAAGGCTGTGGTGGAACGGGCACTTGCTGCCTTGAAGCGTCAACAGAGTCAAGGGTATAAAAGAAAGCTTCATACCCTCTAATCGCACACCGTATTGAATCACCATGGGGGTTGCCACCAGTCCGGATTGTGTAAAAATGTTTTCAAGGAGAGTTGTCATGTTACGACACAGGAGAAATAAACTTAGCATACAGCCGCCGTTACAAGCCCACCCGCCGCTGCAAGTCCACTCACCATTACAAGCCCACCCGCTAACGCCGCCGCCGCAAATCCACCCGCCATTACAAGCCCACCCGCTAACGCCGCCGCCGCTGCAAATCCACACACGCCGTTACAAGCACATCGCAAGTCCACTCGTGGCTGCCTCATTTACCATGAACCGTAATTGATCTATTGAAAGGTGTCATACATTCGTGTTGGGATATAGGTACAACATCTACACGCACATACTTTCCTACATCATTCAAATGTATTAAATACCGGATACGTTTAATAGACATCAACGAAAGAAAGGTTTAATGAGGGGAATACCCATATATATCCTCTCTGAAATAACTCCCTTTTAAAATAACAAATGTACAACACATCTTCCCTAACATATCATAAATACGGGACACTGGTCACAATTTATGAATGGGAAGCTTCAGGCGAGGCTGGTATGTTGACATTAATTGTAAGGCCGGGGTATGTTGACATTGTTATGGGCGGTCGGTCGCTTAGTCTCTCTGCTATACATTAGCTATGAATAAACCTGCTTCGACATATATTTCCAATAAAACATTTTCCTCGTCAAACAATTTTCCATGATAAACTCTGTTCTCTCTTCGAATTAAGGGTGAGTATTGTAAACATGAAAATGTCCTATATATTGCTTCCATCACTTTCCCAACAAACCTAGCTTTGTGCTGTCACACTGGTACATGTACTTATCAGTTTTCTATCTATTTTCAAAATAGCACGTTCTGAAGTAAAACTGTGCACATCATGTTATACGGTTAAAACTCAAACCGTAGGGCTTATTTGTCATCGCGTTAAATGGAAAAGCTAGCATTGAAACATCAACTATGCAAGTCGGGACAGGGCTGAATAATTCTTTACAAATGGTTCACAATAGTACCCAGCGCGGGTGATTCGAAATCCGGCTGCCTTCAGCGTTATAGTCAATGCAGGGTGACATGACTACCTCGTTCTTGCGCGCTAAATGTAATTAAACGTCACTGCTAGCTTGCTGATTGTGTAGTCTTATATATTTCTTCTATGTCTTTTCCATACAGGTTGTCTAACGTTCATGGTGTACAACTTGTAGACCGTATAAGATGGATTTGATCCAGCTAGACGTACATTTTTTTCCCCCTACATTACCCGGCGCATATCATGTTGACACAACCCGTCGCTATTGTGGTATGATTGTACTTTCAACACACACCCTGTATTCATCAAACCAGGTCGCACGCTCTAGCGAGCGCGGGCTATTTGAAACGACGAGGCCACGTGAGTTGTCAAGCGCGCTCAATTCAAACTGGGCTGACAGGTACTTCAGGGCAGCACGCTATACACATAGCTCTATTCATAACCCTTTGCTTTTGTTTTCATATAAAGGGTTTCCTGCATTAAAAACACACACCTTTCATTCCCCCCTTTCCCGACGCGCCGTTGATCCATGAGTCATCCTATCTGATCACGTGACTTGGATCAGCCAATTAACTTCGGATCTGCCTGGATCAACTGGATCAACCAAAAAGGGTTTCTGCGGACTGAGACTATACTACTCATGTACATGAATATGTTTTGATATACTATGTTGCGAAGTGCTATCAAATACGTTCTCTACATCGATAAAATGGCAAATTTGGATTTCCAAAACATGATCATGTATAATATAGTTTAAAGTATAAAATATGGGCAATTAGTATTTTGCTATTTACAGGCGTATGTTTGCTGACAAATTATACAATGTCTACTAACAACTTTATCTCGCGCAGTAACTGTATTACAAGGATCTATAATTATTTCTGCCCTACACTAATCTAATTCATCTTTAACTCCTTCAGGTAAGCAGAAAATGAAAATTTATCATCATATTCTTCTTCTTCTTCTTCTTCCCCACCTTGATAGTTATTGCTATAACTATAATATTGCTAAAAGGTGCGTAAAATCCAACTCACTCACTCACTCTTTTTTTCTGTGGAGATTGTAACAGTGTCTTGCCACAAATCAATTTCGGTTTGCAACGGATAAAAGACTCCTGTAAGTGTTGAAATGGTTTAATTTGCCATACTGTCTTCAGAAAATGCGTGATTTCATTTTTAAAAAAAGCGCGTGGTTGCGATGTGTGGCACCCCCTGGTTGCTGCGATGCAAGGAACACATCTTCGTCTCATGGAATGGACCAGGCGTCGCACAAAGTCCTTTGGGATATGTGTCCATATATATCTATCTGCTGGAGCATGTTTTGAAGTTCCTGGAGTGTCTGCGGAACACGTGGTTGACGCCGAAGACGCCGATCCATCTCATCCCACATGTGCTCGATTGGTGAGAGATCAGGGGAGCGAGCAGGCCAGGGGATGACATTCACGTTGTTTTGTTGAAGAGACTCCTGAACAAGTCGAGTAATATGAGGCCGGGCGTTGTCATGTTGAAAGGTAATGCCTGGACCATGTCGACACAAAAACGGTAGAACAACAGGACCAATGATCTCGTCGCGGTAGCGCTGTCCATTGAGTTTTCCCTCAAACGGGTCCTCTGTCTTGCTGTAATCCCACCCCATAGCATAACGCTGCCGCCCCCGAACCGATCTTCTTCCATGACACAATGATTGACGTAACGTTCACCTCGACGTCGGTACACTCGAATCCGTCCATCGCTGTGGCTGAGGTGAAAACGAGACTAGTCAGTGAATAGAAATTGTCCCGACTGCAAGGCTGTCGACCGTGGACGCTGTCTGCACCACGGTAGAGGTGCTTGACGGTGGTTTCCTGTCAAAGTGGGACGTCTGGAGGGTCTTCTGGCGACAATCCCTGCACATCTGAGGCGGCGACGAACGGTTTGTGAAGATATTCGTCGAAGGCCAGGGATGCTTCTTGCAGTCACTGTTGCTGGCTGGAATCGATTTCGTAGGTGTGTTGTTCGAATCGAGTTGTCTTGTCGATTATTGGTTACGCGTGGCCTGCCACTCCGAGGATGGTCTCTGACTGCATTCGTCCGTTGCCAACGTTGCCAAAAGCACCAAATGGTGTTTCTGTGGACGTTAAATTGTCTTCCAACACCAGGTTGACTCGATCCTGCTTCAAGCATACCAATGGCTCGCAGACACTCATTTTCAGACAGGCGTGGCATTTTGTTAATGTTAAATAATTGCGTAATTTTCTTGTTTTTCTGAGTGGTTGTCAGCACGATGCGAAACAATGCATATAGAATCCCGTTAACGCACATGTTTTTATACCCATTCTTGGGTAGTGAAATGCATGGGGCTGGCATAAAAGCATGGAATGCATGCTTTTCTGTAGCAGTTGCGTTTTTGTGACTTGATTCAATACATGTACTACAATATTGAAAACCAAACTTTACTTAAAATATTGGTGTCACGGGAACTTTTGTTGTTGAGTATATATTGGCCGTAGGCCTTTGTACAATAAACTTCTTTGACATTTGGCCATACTCACTCACTTACTCTGTTACTCCAGGTCGATACCCTTCTCTGCCAAACCTCTCGTTGTAGGCCATGTCAGGTGAAGTTACTTAATTAGCATGAAGGCTTATAAAGTATCGGTAGGAGCGAGCAAAGCCTTCAGAGCATACTTGCCTTCTGATTCTCTCGAAAACGAGTGAGTGAGTGAGTTGGGTTTAACGCCGCTTTTAACAGTATTCCAGTTATATCGCGGCGTGTCAGCTTAATGTGGGAGGAAAGCCCGCAGTGATGCAGGTCCCAGACGTTTATCACTTCGGTGAAACCCACGAGCACGGGTATGGTGCTGACAAACCTAGAAACATAATCGTGGCGAACCGGGATTCGAACCCACAATCATAGGTTTCTGGCGTGCCCAAGGGACGCAACTCTGCACAGAGAATCGCGGCGCCTTAGACGACTGGGCCACCCGTGCCCCCTCTCGAAAACGAAGGTAATTGGGCAGTTCAGAATGGATATAAATAATTTGACGCTATGTTATCGATAATTTACAGCCTGACTTTTAAGTCACGTAACGAAAATTATTATTTTGACGGTGGTACCATATTCCTACACCAATGATTAGTAAATCTATCCGTATAGTGCCGTTGAAGGCCGCGAAGATTGAAAAAGTAGCAAATTCGCTTTAGAACGGTTGCATCTGATTGGCATAATTTAATCCTCTTTACTATTATAGATTTAAAGAATAAGATTTGATCTTAAGTTTAAGTTGTTGCAATAATTTAAGGCTCTGCTCAGCATACTCATGAAGACTATGGACTATGCGAGGTATGATCTTCCCTAAGCATGTCCCGCAATGAGATGGTTTCACGATAGAGACGGAAATAATGTAGTTTGCTTTTATCGCAATTATTGCAAGGGCTAATAATGGCTGGAGGTGAATTTAATGAGGTCTCTGGTGAAGCCTGCACTATATCCTGTATGATATTCTGAAAGCCTGACAAACGCTTGGAATTCGAGGGCTTCATGCTGGGGCTTAAAGTCTGGTGGAGAATATAATTTTGTGGGCCTGCAATCAGACTTGTGTTTTCAGTTCAAGAACTATTCAGTAGAACAACATCTTCGGCGGATACTTCATTCATTGTTCATCATTTGTTTATTTTATTCATAATTTATTTATGTTATTCATCATTTATTGGCCTGTGTTCCTGGATGCCTTTGACATAATCTAGTTGATATACCGAATACCCAAGGTTCACGCCCTTCAAAAAAAACTATACAAAATGTTTATTATACGACCCCTCAAAGTGAGATGGGTTGTATCAAGAGCACATACCCATCTATTCAGCAATATATTTTTTATAATGCACAGATTTCAGCTGTGTGCCCTTGTCCATAGAAACTGCGATATCTCAAAATCTGTTAATTGGTTACCCAGGAACCACTGTTGGTCTGATCACGGGTGATGGCTCTTCACGCCTGTCACGTGGGTTTACACTGCTATACCATCCCTCATAATGTGGTGACGCGTTATCGAGATAACTTGAATCCACTTGTGCAACATCCACAATGGCGGGACCCACCTGGCCTAGTCTGCATTTGGCGATTATTTGTTTACCATAAGACTAATACGGCGTGCGTTTGATGTAGGCAGTGAATACAGTTCGGAAGGAAAACAACATTTTGGAGTTGGACATGTGTTGGAGTTAATAGCTAAACCGGTAAGAACGGTATGGATAAAGTAACGACCATGTCGACATTTCTAGTCGTTGATCTTAAACCGAAAGTATGAGTCACAGTGGTTTCACGTCCAATACCAGGAATACTATCACACGTAGCCCAGGTGGGAGTAAAAATTGTCATAGAATGACATGGAATATTTGGCAAACAACTGAGGGAATGTCCAAGGAAAATATTAAAGACTATTTCATTTTCAGGTGAGTCACAGGCTATCCAAATTGCAACAGACAAATGTCTTTTCCGGTCTGACTTACTACATTACCTTCAGCATGTAAACATTATCAGTTTCAATTATTTCACAAATGAGTATATATAAGTAACATGAAAAGTGAAGTTATATGTGGATTAAACTAGGAAGTCAACACAACATAGACTATAGGCTAGTAACACGTGAATATACTGCCTGAAAACATGGGTTTACACCATACAGGGTAATTACAAGTAACGTTGGTTAGTTTTAACAATAACATTCTGTTTAATGACTCTAATAGAGAAATGTTCACTCAGCCGCTTTCGGGCAAAATGGCTGACGTTAAACCCGGAAGTAGATTTGGCGTTTTTTTGGTCCACCTTATCAAAAGATTTCCGGGTGAACTGGCGGGTTGTTGAGACATCGGATACATTGCGTTATGGATAAAGTATTAAGTACTCAGATTTACCCCAACCAGTAATGTGGAATGGATGGCCAGACCATTGACGTCTATTTTACTAAATAATTAGCCTCCGTAGTGAGGCGAACTTATTTCTGAATAAATGTCAGCAAGAAATAAGTTGAAACAATGTGAACTGTGATGCATCAATATAAAACGCCAACGCCAGATAATTTATATGAAAAAGAAAGTGTTTGTTGACTAACGCCGCACAGAAGTAATCCTGACATGCGACGAGGACCTGTGAACATACGAGAAGGTACACGAGCCACAAGCCACTTTCAAACCCTACTCTTTGATTTAGGTAAGAGGAGGCAACAATTCCTGTATGTGCATGGTGGAAACGATTACTAAAAGCCACTTGATATACATTGATGATTTAGCTAAGCGTTTTACATCTCAATATGGAAACTGAGTAAATAAATAATGACATTCTATGTATTCTAGAGGTCTAAAGGATCCTGCATGCCTTTCACATTTGGGTCAGAAGGTTGTGTACCAACATTTTCATATACATAGGCGCACCAAAAATATAATCTCAACAAATCTTGATGTATTATCTGATCTCATTACAATCTTCTACTCTGATGCTCCATAGATGGAGAAATATTAAGCAGTGTTCAGTTCTTCGTGTGTTGTCATAAGCATGAATGATGAACAAAGAGGCGTTCAAAGTTAACCAATCATGAAAATGCTGCTACATTAAATGCAATATTACATACCGTATTCGACCCAATAAGCGCCGAAGGCGCTTAAAAAAAGACAGAAGAGGTGGGCGCTTTTTGGGACCAATTCAGAGTCAAATTGGCGTAAATTCATCAGTAAGCCTTACCGTATTTTCTTGAGAATAGTGCGCACTTTTTTCCAAAAAACACAGCTGTGTAGAAGGGGGTGCGCATTATACACGAATTAATGAGTTTTGATGTTTTGTCCCCCATGGAAAGACCTTACTGTGAGCACGTAACACCGGAAATACCATGTCAACAAATCCATACTGAAGTTCGCAAATTATTCATGTAATTACACTGTCTGGCTATAAAAAGTGTTCTTTGTATATCTGGACTTAAGTTTGTAACTTATTTCATTAATTTTATTCAAAATTCCTTTTAATATTGTTTTAGTTCGTGTGTGAAGCGATCGGAAGATCGCACAACTCGCCGTTATTAACAGCAACCACGGTCAGATTACCGCTATTGACGCCTTGAAACGAACTTTAGTTGACAGAGAATGGATACATATATCATAAATGCCATACTTTGATTCGTTAAAAGTCATATTTGTTTTTGTTGGACGGTCATATGTCAACACGTAATTCTCGCGATCACGCGTTCACGTGCACGGGAGCCTTGACGGTGACTGGTCAGACTGGTTCCATGTAAAAAATAATATTCGGCAATAGCGATCAGCTGCTTCGCTTAGGGTTATTATTATTTTAAATATGTTTAGTGAAAGCTGCATCTAAATTAACAAGATATTGGAATATATTATTCCTGATAAAAAATAGTTTCAGATACAACTTTTGCCGATCCTTGCATTTTAAAATCCTGTAAAGTTATATCATTGGGTGTGTCTTGATCGAATCACCGGTAGATTCTAAGAAAACGTGTGTACAGCTGATTGCTGTGTCCCACTTACTTTACGAGAAAATGCAGAAGGTAATCTTAATCCCCGGATATAAAAACAATGTCTAGCTGAACAAAAAAATACAATTTAAACGGTAAATCAACATGTCTGGGGATTTTTTATCTCAAATTTCGAATTTGTACTGACGAAGTTTCTCATCATCCGTTCGTTTGCCGGACTTCGCTGAAGGGGTATGGTGTAATTTTTCTGCGCATAATATTCAAAGTCACAGAATACAGTCATGCCCCGCTTATACGGACTTCAAATATCCGGAAACCTCAGTTCCCGGACGATTTTCATTTAAACCGAAATAATTACAAATTTTCGGAACGGGGTGTGTGTGTGTGTGTATTACCACATACAATATTTCATGCAGCATTAATATATGTAATATTACCTACATCGCTACATGAAACAATACACAACAATAATACATGCTAGATTATTACATACAATATTGAATACAACATTATGACATACAATATTACATGCTACATTATCATACATAGTATTACATACCACATTAGAACATGCACTATTATATATTATATCATGACATACAATATTGCATACTAACTTAGCATATACAATATATACAGTATTTGTTTGCGTGTGGAGGGCGTGGTTTGATTAACATAGAGGCTCTTCATGATAGAATTGTATTGTGCACTTTTACACACATTTATTTGTCTGATGATCTTGTGAAGCATCTCAAGACCCATGATGAAAACAAGGCATTCCACAGCTTTCTTAAACGAGCCAAGGATGTGGGACATAACCTCAATGTAAGTGTTGATTTTGTTGATGGTTCTGTACTGCTGGACGGTACAGAAATGAGTGTATATCCAACCGAAGTGCCATATCAAATCGGCCCAGACTCAGTTTTTCAAGGAGAGGCTATCTGAACGACCACTGCACCGAGTCTATGTGCAGTGTGTTGAGAAGATCAGCAGCCCTGAAGAAGTCGACTGGCCTGAAAAGTGAAACAGAATACTTTCTGTTTGCTGCTCAGAACCAGCCACGTCCCACTCGAAACCGTCAATGTGTGATTTTGCATCAAAATGTAAATATATAATGTAGATTATGCAATGAATTTAATGAGACTGTCCAACACATTGTCAGTGGATGCCCCGCTTTGGCACAAACACAGTATCTTAAGCGACATGATGGAATAGTTTGATCATTTTATTACTGTCTTTGCCATGCTTGTCGTTTTGACACAGATGTTCATCCATGGTACGACCCGGAATACGTAGAGGCCGTCATGGAAAATGAAAAATACAAAATTATTTGGAATAGGCCCGTATACAGCCTCAGACGTATCCAGGCCAACAAACCGGATCTCATCCTTTTTGATAAATTCAATGAAATCATATAATGTGATTGTCAAGATTCAGGAAAAACATTGCAAATATGTGGGGCTCGCTTTCGAAATGCCATGCTTGCATCCCAAATACCAAGTTGCCCGACTCCCCATTGTTCTCGGTGCCTTAGGTTTGGTACTTGCCAATTTGTTGACTGACATTGGTAGAGTATCCGCGTTTGCTACCAGGAATACAGCCCTTCTTACAATTTTGGTAATGCAGAAGGCTGCAGTGTTGGGGACTCTTCACATTCTCTGAAAAGTTCTGGATGGGTTTGACAAGGCAGCGCTTCCTAGGAGAAGTCCCATTTTCTGTCTGGGCTGCATGTAGAGGGGACAAGGGCCCTGAGCTGATGTTGGGGCAAATGCTCAAAGAAACTTTATTAAACACATTTTTTTTATTAAAGAAGCATCAGGAGATGAATTGGGGGAGTATCTATGTAAAGGAATGAACATCTTTTGTAGCAAATGGATTGTGAGGGCAGTGAATTTTCTGTTGCACTGTAGGTATCTCCATGGCTTATTTTGGCTCCATGGCTTATCTTTATGTTGTAGGTAAAACACAAGACAAACAACCATGCCTATGCCAAAAAATGAGTGGGAGGTGATTCTCAAATGCTGGCCTGAGCTTATTGACCAGTTGGTCATAACGAACAGATTCCTGGATAAGCTCATTGAAGGAGGTGTTTTACAACCTGAGGACCAGCAACGTATAATTGTAGAGCCGGTTGCAAATGACAAGATTGAAAAGTTGTTGAATATTTTAAAGCACAAAGATGCAACATGCCGACCTTACAGCAAATTGAAAGAAGTATTACTCGAACAGGACAGCAAGTTTCTCGTTGATTACTTGGACAAGGCTGCAGCAGATGTATCTTTGAAAACTAATGATGAACAAATTTCCTGTGAGGATTGTGTTGGTAAGTTTATTTGTTTAATGGATCACATATGCTTTGCCCTCCTTAAATGTTTTGTCCGTGTGTCAGTCGATCCATTTGGTACAATGTTTTCAAAATGTTGAGAGGATGTTCAAAATATTCTTCCAGTTATGAAAAAGAACATGTCACATTGGTAATCAGAAATAAAACCACATGGGATTCTGGATTAGAATTGGTCCACAGCCACCTCTGCCTCGTACCTATCCTAACTATGGTGAAGGAAGTAATGGTGTAACAAGGTAACAGACTGGGATAGTTATACATAAGCATTAAGTGAGTAACAATCACCTCTTAACTGTCGATAGGGGATCGCATATGTGTTATTGTATGTAGAACCTATGTGACACAGATACTGGTAGGTGTAGACGAAGAACTTAATATAAGCAATGAATATTATACAATTATATTTGAATGGACGTGAATAAATTGACTTTAGCTGATTGACATTTCTGCTTATCTACTTATCCTATCTCACACTATGCATTTCTCATCTTCTGTTGATCCTAAGTGGAAACATGCTTAAACAAAGGTTTCCAGCTTCTAAAATACAATTCACCCAAACACACCGATCATCACATGGTCAGCTCCCAATAATCTGGTTCATGCACGCTTTTCATGCCGAGCAACCTGACCTTCGTTGAACACGTGATTTCCCCATCAAACTCATTCTCTTTCTAGAGCTAATTGGCTATAGGAAATGTGATGCGGGGATGGACAGTTCTGACGACGACTTCAACATGAAAACAAAGTCTCTGCAGACGAGTAAATGCATCCTCCAACTGAATACTCAGTCTGGGAGAAAAACCCTAAAAAAGTATACACTCACATAATTGTGACAAGGTTTATTTTATATAGAGAGAAGACGTAGTAAAACGAACTGGATCGGGTACACGCCGTAAGAGAAGCAATGGCCCAAATTGATGCAGACCTTGGATGTCAGTCACAGAGATGTCTGGAAGGTAGTGGGATGCGAAAACTGTGCACATAAAGTGCATTTACTGTGTAAAGCCATAGTAGTGGCGACAGTGTGAGTTTCATAAGGGATGGAAGCGACCGGAGCAGGCAGGCCAGCAAAAGTATAAGCGAGGAGAAGGAGCAAAACCGAATCCAAAAAGAAATTGTGGTACGAACTGTGTAACAGCTGACATAGAAAGTTGAATAAAGAGCATCAAGATAGATCCCTAGCACACGTACAGGGCACAAGAATATGTCTTCAAGATCCTCAGGATTCAGGATGGACGTCAAAGGCAGGATAGTAAATAACCAATCAAGTTGTCCGGGGAGTTTATTATTGCTGATGAAGTCCAACCACAACCACAAGCCCAGAAAAGCTTTCTATGCAGAGCACCTTTGTAGCGAAGTCTGTTGACGTCTGAAGCATGAATCTCACTCACTCGAGCAGCTGTCACAAGAGCAAAAAGAAAGACTGTTTCAAACATGGAACCTTCAAACCTTCCCAGCCGAAGTTAAATTCTGAAGTATGACGTTGAGAACTTGAGATCCCTGGTCAGTGGTCGAAATGAGATTACTGGTCCACCAACTTGTAAGACCGAATTAGGTAGAATTGATCGTACCAAGATACGTAGCTAAGGAAGAACCCACTTATGGTTGAACAGGGACTTGGATGATGATCTATGAGCTTCCGAAATGGTCTTGGCTACTTTTCTGGAATAACAAGTGATTTCTGTAAATGTGACAAATGCTCAGATTGCGTGTTTTGTGCAACGAGTGGAGCAGCTTGGAGTGAGGTTGAAGAAGGTTTACCCGTGGTTGTAGATGATGAAATCTTATCTCTGCGAGTTGGCTAATAGGCCATGACCCAAAGCAGTGTGACCTGACTGGTGGATGCTATCTTCTGCAGGACCCGAGGTAGAAAGGCATAAGCGTGTAGGCCCTCTCACAAGATTGCTAATCCATCGTGGTCCCAAGCCTGAGGATTTCGGATGGGAGATAAGAACTGGGATTGCTGAGTATTGAAGTGGGTTGTAAAAAGTACTGGAAACAGGCACTGGATGGAGGCGTCTTTTCATCAGAGATGGCCTGTTGGGTTCGCACACGGAGTCGGCCATGACGTTGGAGACACCAGGGATTTTGATTGAGTCGATCGGCTAAAAGAGTTGGAGAGCCAGAGACAGTAGTGACATCGACTTGGTGGAGCCCATCCTGTCTATTTTACAGACGACTCATAGGTTGTCCAAATAGATCAAATAGACTGGAAGCACTGATTGGGTCGCCAGTGGAGTTGTCCTCTCCTGATGAGAGCCTGTGCCGGTGCCAGGAGACTGAGAAGTTGTTGTCTTTGATGCAGAAAGAGTGACTATCTGAGTGTTAAATCTTCACCCAAGGATCTTGGGGCATGAACAAGTTGCCTAGGCACAAGTTGAACAGGGCCTGATAAATTGAAGACGTTGAGTGGGAATCGTCTCAGAGTTTTTGGTGTTAACTAGCCAGCTGAGTTGAAGGAAGCGCTGCATGAAGTTGAGATGTAGTAGAAGGATACCTGAATGCAGTCATCGATGTTTGAATTAAAGACGATGCCTCAAACATGTAGGAACAACTCAAACATGCCTCCATTGGTAGTGGTGGCCGTATCACTTAGAATAACTTGTTTAAAGTTTTCATGTCTTTCTTTGGGATGGGTGAGTAGAAACCTGGGGTTGTGGGAGCTGTGCTCTATGTTATCCTATGGCATTCTTTGCAAGTACCATACCTATGGCATCATTGATAACCAGAAGCCACTTGTCTGAATACAGCTGCTGAAGAGTCTTGTTAGTCGTAGGAGGAATCGCAATGGTGGGTAGATGATAACCAATTTGTAGAAGGTGTCACATAAATGGGTCGTCCAGGATGGTACAATTCTTTGTGAAAACACCCAATCTTCCACCTATGGGCAATGTGACCACTCAGTGTCTAAAGAGGAGTCAAGTCTTCTGCTGTTCATATCTCCCATTCTGGGAGATTCCCCGCAACCTTTCGGTCCCAAGAAAGAAATGGTACATCCGATAGATTTGCCACATTATTGTCCTTGGTGACCACGACCACATGCATGAAAAGAACTGGATCTGCTACCAATAACCTTCCAGATATTGGGCGGAGTGGGTGTGGATGCAGGTCATTTACGTTCATCGAATCATGGTGGAACATCGATCCTTAGAGAGGTAATTGTGCGTCAATCCTTTGAGGTACTTTGATCCGGACAGGTACATGTAACCTTGGAAGTTTGTCAAGAGGTGCATCTTTATATGTTCAAAGAACCTGAGAACATTGTCGAAAGTATGGCGAGTCTGTGAAGATCGTCGAGCCCTATATTTTTAATCCCAATTTTGAGTTCATCGATTCTTCGAACAGCATCAATTTAATCTCCCCGAAATAACCGTGGAGGAATTCTTATTCGCCGAAAGCCCGTTCTACGCAAGCTGATCCTTAGCTGAGTACTCTCCAGCACTGATCCTTAGCTGAGTACTCTCGAGAACGTGACCTATGCGATTCTTGATTGAGAGAAGGGTCCGATGAGTCTGGGCACCCACACCGCGACGACTGATCCCCAAGAGAGAGGTCATTTAGAACGTCAAACAGGGGAACTGGAAAGTGGAGAGGTAGACATGGATCATAGGAGCAACTACAAAGGTTCAGCTGAAGCTTGACAACAGTAAATGAGTGCGATGAAAGAGAACAACGGTCTATGGCAGGCTTCGTGTGAGCAAGAGTGAGCACGACTGACTGTGAAGAAAATACCGTGGATTGGTCAGATCCAAGAACAATGAGAGAACTTTTAAAGGAGCAAACATTCGAAACGTGAATGTCTTTCGTGAGAAAGCCGTCAGATACTCCATCATCATTAAGACAGTGTAAGAAGTGAGGGGGTAAACAATCCGCTGATCGTTGGAGTTGTAGGTAGCGTAGTTGATTTCTTAGACTTCTTCGCAGGTGTTTTCTTCACCTTGGATAATTTGTCAGTGGATTAAGAGCTTGTTTTGCTCACTGCGTCGTGAGTTGTGTAGATAAATGCTGACATACTCGCCATTTAGGCAGACAAAATGTGAACAATGCGCAAATGAACTGCAGTGACCGTGGCAATCCGAGTAGACATTATGTGGGTCTGTAGGGGAAAACTCCGCCTACAAGTGAAGGACACAGATAAGCGTGTAGCTTATTCGTCCATGTGCGGAGAAAAAAGTCTTGAAGTCTTCAAAGAGGGAGATACTCAGAAGAGAGAAAAAAACAACAACCAAAATAGAAGTCTCTTCCAGAACACATCACCACATTGTGGCAATTAGAAAGACAATGAGTTTGGGGAAGCATGTGTTTAGCTCATGTAGGTCACTGGGCATGAAAAGCATGCATGACCCAGATTGTTGGGTGGTGACCATGGTGATCCTAGGTGTGTTCGGGTGAATTGTTTCTTTTAAGTAGGTTTCCACTTAGGATTGAAAGAATATGAGAATGCATGGTGTGAGATAGAGGATAAACTTTAAAATACATAAAATCCGACAGTGAGCATTTGGTACACCAAATCTGATATACAACTGATTACTTCCACGTTTCCACCACTGGGGCAAGTCCTAAGGATTAATGGCCATGGAAATTGCACCAAACATGATAGAAACCCATGGTAGTGCCATCAGTGACGCCATGTTTAGGCAGGTACTTTGAGTGATAACCAGCTGTTCTTTGACCTTATGTCATCATCAGGCATCTCCAGTGGTCCATGGCTGTAGTTAATTGGTGACATCACCAATGGCGGATCATCTTGTTCTCTCAGATGAAGGGTATTTTTTGTGTGTATATTTCTAATGGTCGTATGAGTGTAATAATGGAATAGTGACAACTGTCTTCTCAAACAAAACTCATGGAAAGGCCAGTTTGTCATGGTCTCCATTGAAAAACTGCCTTTGTCGTCTTTTAATTTGATGGAGCTAGTAGCAATAATGGTATGACAACGCAGGGTTTTTATCTATCAGGTTTTGGGGATCGCAGTTGCACCCTCATTGCCAGACATAAAAGTTTTAAATTCAGCACGATAATGCTTGACTGCACACTGATAGGATACCAATTGTAACCAGAGCATGATCTGCTCTTAGTCCAGAAAGGAACCCACATAATAGAACATCTTTGAGATGCAAAGACCCTTGCATGACCTTCAATATTGACTAATGTTTATAATGGTTCAATGAAATGTTGCATCTCACATTATGTCAAAACACTGGTAGATCAATAAAATAGTGTTACGTTTCTGGCAGTAGTCAACACACGAGTGGGCACATTTGTTACGGGTTTTTTTCTGTTGCAAAAATATATATACAGAGCTCCATCAGATGTCAATTTGTGAACTAATCAGTTAACTAATATCAGTAATCACCTGATCACTATATTTCACAAGGTGTCACCCAGCATGCACAACCACTGTAATTGTAGCTGTAACCGATAATCTTTTCATAACCTGTTGTTCCAGCAGTACAATGCACCTGCCCACAAGTATGTTTTCATCATGGCTGCAGGAGTGTACCTTTGAACTGATTGAACATCTTCCATATTCACCAGATTTGGTACAGTCATATATCCATCTCTTACAAAACTTGAAAAAAGAACTGTCTGGCAAGCATTATTCAAACTATGATGACGTAATTTCTACTGGGCAGGACTTTTCACACCCCCAGGAGAAAGCCTTCTACATCTTGGCACTATTTGTTAGAAGTGTGTGTGGGCATTAAAGGCATTTTTTTGCTCAGAACTTTTCAATCATGCCTTATGTATCTAACAAATTTGATGATACATCTTGACATTTTCAGATACATCGGAAGGAAACCTAAAGAAAAGGCTTCGAAGTTTGCTTGTGCAGTCATTTGACAATAAGACAGGTCTCACCTGTAGTCTGTCTGAAGTGGAGCATGTTGCGAAGCAGGTAGAGAATGATGGCATCAAATTCACTTGGAACGTCGACCAACTGAGGAACTTTGTTATCGAAGTATTTATTGGAGTTGAATACCAGAAAAGGAAAAAGAAGAAAAAGTATCCTTTATTATAATAATCTTTTTGTATTTCTACACAGACAGGGCTGTGTTATTACCGTTAGCTAAATTTGTTCTGAATAAGAGTGGCCTAATAACAAACACCCATCCACACAGAGACAAAGAGGAACAAATAGAGACATGAACACTAACAGTGAATTTGTGAGTCGATTGTAACGCTTCTTTGAAAACACAAAGATATGTTTACCTGGAATACAGTGGCACACATTGTGAGACACAAAATAACACACAAAAAGCAGAAAGTTAAATATACACACACATAAAACTGCACACAACGTGATGCACACATAGATTTAGAGACAAACATACAGACATAAACACATACACAGACAGAAATGCACACATTGACATGCATACATACACACACAGAAATGCAGGCTCGTTGTGCACTTAACACAATTGTTCAGTCCATTCTTTAGAAACATTGGTCTGAAGGTAGATCAGGTTTCTGATGTCAGCACACACATGGAAGAAGAAGGAAAACCTGACACAGCAAATTCTGATGAAACACCAACTGCAGGTGCTGATGGTAAGATTTAGTTTAGCCACTAATAGTTGTCTGACTAATACTAGCTGTCTTGCATTTTGAGCTGTGTGATGTGTGACCTATGTTAATTGAAACAATATCCAAGGATACATAAAATACTCCCGATATTTAAACGTCCACCAGTTAAGTCAGTCAGAAAATTGAAAATCAAAGCAGCAAATGAGAGCAGTTGTTATGACCCTATTTATAACAATATAATGTTTAAAAATCAGTCTCACTGCTTTGTTCTCACATCCATAAGTGCTGGAAAGCACTTTATGCAAGTAGGTCATCATAAGTGGCTCCGTTATTTGAGAAAGGAAAATTAGTAATCCCCTTTTACAATGTGGATGCGAGATCTCCCTTCTTTAGTTCTATCCAGTGTTTTATACTCTGGCCTGCGAACTGACACACTGTTCACTAGTGTGGATGATCAAGTTGTTTACGCAAGAAATATTTTCTGTCAGTGAATATAATGTGGTATGAGTCCTTAGGGTGTGACAACAAATAAGCAAAATGATACAATGTTAAAGGGGCACTGATCTAACGCCATTCCCCGGACTGGTTGTTGCCTTTGTTATTGTTTTTTCCCCGTGAGTACCCGGATGATACGCAAAGCAACTGAGTGTGACCAGAGTCTGGGGCTACCGTCTGCAAGGACAGCTAAATAAACTTGGAGGCTGGAGGCAATATTTGTTTTACGCATATTTGAACACTGGTTAACCGTGATCTATGAAGATTTCGACAAAGGGTGCATGTTAATAAATTTCTTCAGCCTAAACAAACAGACAAAAAGAACGGCGGAGCTCATCAGATGTCGTCATTTGGAAATACCCCAGATGGTTATAGTTTAATAATAATAAAAAGTATCCATGCAGTGAAAGCATTTTCGGATTTCGGATTGTGTCGATAATACGATTACTACTCCCTTGTTGTCATCCACGTTTTCTGGTATAACCCTACACAACCCTATTTGTCATCATTCACTTGATGCTCAGTTAATGAATTTATTACAGGTACAATAAGTGGGAGCACCACTTAGATTACCTGACAAAGGTTCCCATTTGGCATTTATTGTGTCTGGGGTAATTATTCAATCTAAATCCTGGTTTGAAGTGAGGTGAAATGTGTGTTATGTAATATGCACGTGGCAGTCCAGCAAGAGGTGAATGATCAGTTGATTTGCTTTTTTTGTAAATCAACGGATCGTTCCTACTCATCAAAGGATTAACAGAAAATACGTTGATTGATTAATCACTATTATCTTGCACAGTGGATATGTCAAAAGTGAGTGTTTACATGTCAAGGTTTACTAAAACAAAGGGAATACACTCATATCATGGCGTGAAGCGCCGATGTAAAAACAACATACTTTGTTCAAAGGGTTAACTGACAATACGTTGATTGATTGGTCATTGTTATCTATCACTCAATCGATTTTTTAGGAACCGTTGACGTTATGAAAATAGTTGTCACGTGGGCTTTCTTAGCCGGCGCCTTGAGACTTGACACCTATGTTAAACACCTGAATCAATCTAAGTGATCAGTTGAGAAACGAACACGGGTTATAATATCCCGAAACGATATATATCTTTTAAAATATTTGATTGTTACAGAGACACGTGACATCGAATAAGTTTCTTTGTACAGCTGCAGACAAGTGGGATATTGTTCCTTTGTGTGGATATTCAAGGATACTTTCCTCGAACAAGGAAGCTGCCTAAAATTTATACACATAAATTTTGCAGGTTGTAATTATGGTATTTGCATTTTGTTTTCCTTCATTTGCTGTAGCATTGAACCGATTCGTTCTTGTTTCTCTACGTCTTGGTTGGGAAATTCTTCAATGCACGATAGACGTTGTTTTCACGTCTTTTCCTTTGTAAGCGTGTATATATTACCGTCAATTGTAAAATGTGATTCTCTCAGGCAATTTATAAAATGTGTAAATATTTCAGTCATTTTGACTGAAAATCTGTCCAGATTGACTAAACTTGATTAAGACGATCAAAAGGGCCTAAAACATCACAACAGATTATTATGTAGGATTAGAAGCAAAACAACATAGAAATGTACTTTTCAACGTAACATTTTCAGTGTCTTGGTGATGACATTAAACATCAAAATGTTTGGAATTCATTATCATAATAATACAGATGGAAATGTTTTTCAGTCACTTTGTAAAATAACTGAATATTTAGGCGTTTAATAAATTTTAAAATGTTACACATTTTGACTGTAAAAAATATACACACTATAAAAAAGCAATGCTCAGGTGAAATATTTTCTTTGTGTTGCAAGTAAAAATAGTGTAAACGAAAATTGCAAAATTACCAAGCAAGTGACTTATCGAAACTTCGTCACCATTACCGATGCTACCCACAAATATACCTACATTTCCTTATTATCTCGAAAACTGTATTTCATTTTGTTGATCAATGTGACCATACGCCCTTAAAAAGTGACTAATGCGCTTACGAATGGCACAGCAGAGGTCGCGAACTAGTCTAGATTTCTGCTATACATCCGGGTACTCACTGGGAAAAAACAATAACAAAGGCAACAACCAGTCCCGGGGAATTGCTTTAGATCAGTGCCCCTTTAAGTGTGAGAGTCATGTGTTTACTTCGTGCACTATTCCGTCTTCAGATATTTTGAAGTATTTCACATGTACAGTTTGTACCATTGTGCCCCCCTCTGTTCAAAATGTCATCTTGCACACATAACAACACGATAGTTTCTTAAACAACTTCTTACAGTGATGGGAATAAAAATAACAATCATCAGATACTATTGGGTACATGGTATTCATAGCCGTGTAGGGTACAGACATTTAATAGACTATTCTCGATTTTGAGTGGTTTTGCAATTCAGTATTCTCATTTGGAGCCAAACAGACTGTGTTTTCACATGTACGTTATCTGATTACCTAGAATAGGAGCAAGACACAGTGTCTTTCCATGCTATACTGCCACTGTATTCACCCTTGGGATACCATATATACTTCATTTACTTTGGGGCAAAAGAATATTTAGGTCTTTGTTTTTTTATTGTATGAAAGTTGTTTAAGTTTTGCCTTATAGTGTTTAATACATTGACATTGTTCATAGGAACAACAACGATGAAGGACTACATTATGACAATGTCAGCCAGTCAACTCGGAGAGTTCCTCAGACCAAGACTCAAGGACGTAAACTTGGAAGAAGACATTGTTGATAACATGATAGCTGAAGACATTGATGGCCAGGCATTTTTGTTGTTAGAAGAAAACCATTTGAAAGAATACTTTTCTGAGATGACGCTTGGCAAACGTCTGAAGTTCATAGCAATGAAAAATCAACTTGAAGTGGAATCCTTTGTTCAACCAAGAGAGGATCTTGTATACAGTAGGACAAGCACACAGGATGACACTGCCTCAGAAGGAGAGAAGAATCAAATGTATCCAGATTCATTCCGCCAATTTGACACAAGTGTTTGTGTCACTGACCAGTACATAAGAGGGAGATTAGTTGAGGTAGACGGTCACTCAAGAGGTAATATGATTGTACCCAGGAGACACTTCATCTGCCCCCAGGAGGAGGGCACAGAGCTGTGCAGAAAAGTGGCCAGGGAGGTGGTAATATTTGCCTCAGCCTGCATGAATGACAGAACGAACGGGACACTTCATGCTGGAATAAGCCCATCAACAACCAACAGTGGACAAAAGGGAGAAATCATTGGACTTCAGATCGACAGAGGCCAGTGTGAGAGACTGGTGCAACAATACATAAACGAGTCATTTTATGAGGAACAACTTGATGTTGCTGAGCGGGCAATCAGTGATATCAAGTTCATACAAGTCACTGATCAAGAAACATCACCCAAGAAAGTAAAAAAACTGTATGTCGTAGAAGTTGATGTTATACCTAGTGCTGTCCTCATTGGAAACAATGCTTTCTTTGTAAAAACTAAATTACTTGGAGGACGGAGAAAGAAAAGAAAGCAAGACTTGTATCGATTCATTTCAGGAGAACTTCAACCACAGACAGAAGACAGCATGATCTCGTTTATGAACAAAAAGCAAAATCTAACAGAGCTTAGACGTGAACAAGAAACTAAACCACCAACTCAACCAGCAGTAAACCTTAGACAGAAATTACTGGATCTGGTTACAGGTGGGAGTGATACAATAGAGGATGATATCTATCCGGTGTTATTTACAAGCCCTCTAGATAAATATATGGATCAAGAGTTTATGAAAGAAAACCTCACCTTCATACAACATTTTGATACCAGTGCAGTATTTGATTTTGACCCAGAGAGTAGTGATGATGGTCTTTATAAGTTCTTGGATGAGGAGGAGAATCAGTGTTATGCAGTGCTGACTACTGACAATTTCAAGCAACGAGATAAGAAAACGCACAAAGAAGCCACTTCTGCTCATAAGGCTTGGATCTTCAATAATGGCTATAGTGGCCTTCATAAGCCAGGACTTCAGCCATTTGACTGGAAGCAGGAAAGGAGTGCAGGCTTTAAAGAAGCTCTGCATTTTTATCATCAAAACATTCCACTGGACAGAGGCCTAGCCATCATTTTCCTTTTTTCAAAGAACTATGAAGTACTGCTAGAAGCAGCAGAAGAGATTCTCTTGAAGTTTAAAGATCATTGGATGGTTATTGCTGAGAATGAAGCTATTGCTCATCTCTGGAACTCTGAGATGACAAGACGGAATGTTTTGAAGAAAGATTCTTTGGAAAAACGCTGTGTCATTGGTATGCCTTGGTCACACATCAATCAGACATTCATGGACATCTTTCAAACACAGAAGGTTCCATCATGCTACTTGCCATTATCAACTGGTGCATTCACAGAACTTTCTGAAAGAGAGAGAAACAACTTGTGTGGCCTGGAGATTCTCAGCAGTAGAGAATGTGATGTCATTGAGGACATCAATGACAAAGATAAACTGGAATCTATCAGGAGAAGGGTTGAAGAGAAGTTCTTTAGAGGAGGAACAGCTGAGTGGTGGAATTTTTGGTTTGGGGAGGATCATGTTAAAAAACGACAGCAGCATGCTAATCTGATTCAAGAGGTAGAAAAAGCCCTGAAAACTCCTAAAGCAGACGAGGTTATCCTTGTGACATTGTTACATCAACCTGGAGCTGGTGGTACAACAACATCAAGGCAAGTCCTGTGGGATCTCAGGCAACAATACAAATGCTTTGTTGTACAGAGAATTACTGATGAGACGGCAGAACAAATTGCATCTTTGAGAAAATTTGGAGAAGCTTCAAATCCTAAACCACCACTGATTCTAATAGACAATTATGACGAGGAAAGTGTTGACCGTCTTCTGGCAGAACTTGAAGATATAGCACGCCTCAGTGCCAGGAGAAATGAGGAATGTACAAATGTATTCTGTGTTTTACTTCATTGTGTGAGAAGAGCTAATTTACCACAGTCTCATGAAGGGAAGCAAATCCATCTACGCCATGATCTGTCACCACAAGAATTGTCCTGGTTTGGCAAAAAATATGATGACCTTCAGCGTATGTGTGATGAACACAAAGGTGTAGATCCTAAACTGCTAATCTCATTCAACATGCTGAAAACAAACTTTTCTGAAGACTATGTGAAAAGAACTGTAAAAGAACTGATGAATGACATCGATGATCCCAAAGAAAGGAAAATCCTCAGATATCTATCATTTTTGAACACATATGACATTGACTTTTACGCAATACCTGTATCATGTTTTGATCCTATAATGGAAGTGAGGACCAAGAAGACAGTTCTTATGCAAACAGGGCTCTACAGAGTGGAAAAAAGACCGAGGGGTTGGGAGACAACACTGGGGTCGTCCATTAGAGTACTCTTGAATGAATCCTCAAAGAGGATGGTGTATGGTGCAAAAACAAGCAGCATACAGATCATCAATTCCTTATTGTCAAGAGAGATTCTGGCTACACTGCTTGGTCCATCTAAGCTTAGTGATATTATTTTGGAACTCCTGGGATCTGAAATCTTTGAATTTGAAAATGCAAATACTGACTTTTTGCTTGGCCTCATAAATAACCTTGTGAAGAAAAGAGCAACACTAAAAGACAAGCGTGTGGAAAAGTTTTCTCCTCTAATTCTTGAAATCATGCAGAAGGAAGGAGAGGACAAAGCTGCTGAAGTCTTCGTAGAGGTGTTCAAGGTGACAAATGTTGCTATGGTTGCACAACAGCTTGCTCGCCTATACATACATTACCGCAACTGGTCTGAAGCTGAAAAATACGCTGCAAAAGCAACAAAACTCGTTCAGTCCAATTCCTTTTTGTGGGATACCTATGCACAGGTGTTTGAACAGCAACTCAAATGGAAAGTAGCAAACACAATCATTACAAAACAATGCTTGTTGGAAGTTCTGGAATTGGTTAAAAAGGCAATTGAAATCTTTAAGAAAGAACTGACTATCAGTGAAACAGAAAAAAATGCACCATACAACTACAATGGCTACTTGGGTGAAGTTCGAGTTGTTATTAAGCTTTTCAAAGCTTTGGAAAAATGTCATGATCAAGCTGAAGAAAGTGATTTGCATGCATTTCTTGTAGAACCAGATTTCATACCTGAGGCATTTTCCTTTCTTGATGAAGAACATGTTGAATTTGTTAAGGTATGTGGTAAAACTGCTTCAATGGTTATCCAGAAACTTGAAGATGAACTCCTCCAGTTAAAGGCAGACACCAAACATGAGTCTCTTCATACAAACTATTTCTTCAGTCTCAGTGATTTGCTTTCAGTCAAGGAAGAATTGTTTCGTTTTTATGGGGAAAACACAGATAAAGTTCCAGACAATCTGAACCAGGAAGACCAATGTGAGTTTAGGCGCCGACGTGTACGTCGTCTTGGTGGGACATCACTACAAGGTCTGTTGACGCTTCGATTAAAAAACAGTGATCACAGTTACCTTTTAAGGGTGTATGATTTGATCATGCAGAATGTGACAACACAGAACTGTAATGCCTTTGACCTGACAACAGTTTTGAATGCACTGGTTGCAATGTTTATGTGTGAGGATGAGTTTGTAAAAACGATACCCTTTTCAGAAATCATTGGCCTAAGTCAGAAGTTGATAGACCAGAATCAACCTGACAGACCAATGTTGGAATCCTTCCTCTACATATTGCTGTTCAATGTACCAACTCCATCACGACTAAAACACGGGTATGACCTGTGTCAGTCTGTTACTATCAGAGACACAATGAAACTTTGGAAGGAAGCATTTTACACCAGATACCCTAAACAGAAGGAGGAGCAAAAACGCTTCAGGAAAAAAGATACAACGTTGTTCTTTCTTGGTCGAGGGGAAGGAATGGATGAAATCGTTTATCAGGGACAATTGGTTGGAAGTGAAGATAAAATGCGAATAAATGATGATTTTTGGAACACACCGAGGGCCAGGCAAAGACTTCTTAGATATGAAGGGACATTGCTGATGGATGGCTGCAAGATCCTAGCCACCTTTAAGTCACCTGGAGGAAACCATTATGAAATCTATATCCCAACGTCACTGCCAATGAAAAAGAATATGTGGCAAAAGAAGGTGTATTTTGTACTTGGCTTCAGCTGGGTTGGACCAAAGGCCTATGATGTCACTTTGGATGATCCTTCCAAAGAGGAGATTTCATCTGTTGCTTCAACATCAAACTCTCCACAGCCACAGTTGCAGCACCATACTGGAAGAGACTATGGTACCCAAAGACTTCCGGTAAGGTCATCTGTTGTATGTAGGGTATACATTGCTTAAATACAGTCTTAAAGAACCACCAGGGGCTAACTTTCCAACATCTGTAGCTAGCTGGTGTTATTGGTTTTATCATGAGACCCCTTGTTTATATCTCAATATGGACCTGTCACACAAGGATTGTCACTTCCTAATTGTGTCAACTGTTGGTCCTGTTCTGGGATTTTGTGACCATCAAGAAGAATGTTTGTTGAATATATGAAAGAATAACAACTTAAAAAACAAACATTCTTAAAGGTATATTTAATACCAGATATATAGTATATATAGCATTATCACTTTAATATAAAACCAAATATACTAAACCAAATTAAAAACTTCACAATCCTAAATTCTCTTTCAGATTAAATCCTCCTTTGGGCACTTATTGCATTTTCCTTGCTCAAGAAAATCTACATGACATTGTTGTAAGACAGACGTCCCTGTGTTTTTCAAGACTAACAAAGTACAAGAATACAAGAATATCATTCGTACAAAAACCATGGCTGACCAAACTGTATGTATGGTACATTTCTTTCATGCAAAGGCGTAATACCTCGCATTGTAAAGTTATAAAGTTGTAATTATACGACATGTGTATGTGCCTTTGAATTAAAATGGCCGTAATGGCGTCCATATTGTAGTACTACATGTAACACCAAGGCCATTAAAAACGGCTGGTTTTTTTTGTTATATCATACGGCTTTGGTCTACAATTTTTTCCTTTACATAAACCCAAGGTGGTGTGTTAATTATAATTAAACTACACTTACCTTTTTTACGTTTTTTTTCCACCTTCGCGCGGAACACGCGGTTATATTTATAATACGACATTGGCTATTAGTATCGCGTTAACAAATCGCATTCTAAATTACGCCTTTGCTACTAGTTTCACAATTTCTGCACATATCTTTCCGATCTTTCAATTGCACTGATACACTTTAATACCCTTCCTGCCCACCTCAGAAATTACGGTCTTTTTTACAGACCTTCAAATTGTGTACAGGGTGTTCAGCATCCAAAGACCAGCATGACAGCTGCCTCAAATGTCTGGCAGAGGACGGGCATGACGATGGGTCGGGGGAGAAGGCTCTAGGGTCCCCGTAACAAACACTGCACCCTCTCCTGCACCGTCTTTATTAAAGTCGCAAATGGTGTCGATGATGGAGGAGGTAAAGTCTCAGCTCCGGCAGCAGCTGCGGGCCGAGCCTTCCCCATTGTCGGCGCCGGATGGGGTTTCGAGACCTTGTGATATGACCGGCGTCGGCCGAGGCAGGCCACTTGGTCTCGGGAACGATCTCAGACCAGGCTTCAGCGCAGGCTCAAGGTCGCTTCCCAGCGGAGGGGTGGCGGGCGCTGGCCCGTGCACTACCGATGCACAGTTTTCCCTAGCGGAGCGAGACGCCTCTTCCGAGGCCGAGGCTTCCTCTAGTGGATTCCTAGCCCAGAGCCAGATGGGTTCCCTTGAACCCCCGGCACCTTGGGACCGGGACTCGGCTTCGGGCCGGGTGCTGCCTGGGGATGCGAAGGCCCAGGCCTTCGGGCGTCCCCTTCCGACTTCGTCTGCCTCATCTGTCGGGGAAGAATCAATTAACTTCGGCTCGGAATCGAGAGAGGAGTGGATGGAAGAGGGGGGAGACGACTCAGAGACATCGAGAACATTTTCCTTCGCTTCCTCGTTGAGGCACGTGCGGGACAAGATTGTCCAGGTACTGCGTCTATGCCCAAACCGAGTTCCACCTTCCGGGGGACGCTTTTGCTCTTAGCAAAAAGCCCCAGGTGCGGCTCCGTGTTCTATCCTCCCTGGTGCATGAATTCATCAACCCTCTGTTGTCGGGTGCCCGCAGGAAGTTCGACCTGCCAGAACTTATTAAGCGGTACCCACTTGCAGAGGATGGTGACTTTGAGGTACCGGTGGTGGATGAATGCGTTAGGACCTCCGTTACCTAAGGTCAAGCAGGGCCGGCGGTTGCCACCCTTTCCCGGTGCGGTGTGGAGTTGAAGGCTGCTTACATATGTTTCGAGGAGCAATATCGTAATGCATGACAACAGCGGGTGTGTCCGTACACTCCGCATATCTGTCGGCAGAGGGAGTTAGCGGGAGAGGGGCCGACCGACTCTCCTGAGTTGGCCGCGTAACTTACAGAGGTTCACAGTCATCTTGCGCGGGATGCTGTTCATAGCTGTGCCTCGCAGATGATGTGGGCATGCGCAGGCTGTGGATGTCGGTATCAAAATACTCGGCTTCCACACGCCAGGATCTACTTGCTTTGCCTTATAAGATGGTAGCCACCCTCTTCCCTGGGGCTCAGCAGGTGGTCCGAGAGGCCGCGCAGTTGTATGCCTCTATCTAGGATTCTAAGGCCTTGTTGGAGGTACCCAGTGTTAAACCGCGTAAGCGGACCTCTCCACTTGACTCCTCCTATGCTGATGCGCCGGGTCAGAAGTCTGCACCTGCTTGGAAGCAGCCGCTTCCTACAGGTAAGGGGGCCGGGAAGAACAAGCGAGGCAGGGGCCAGGGCAAGGCAGCTGGTCGAGGCCAGCAGCCTTTCGCGGGGCCGGGAACCCATCGGGTTTCCATTAGCGCCCGAAGAGCCCCGGGTGGACCCACAGTCGCATGTTATCGACCTGCCGACAGCCGGGGTCCACTGCCTCAAGCCGGATGTCCCCGTAGGCGGCCGACTGGCTCATATCTGAAGGAATGGGAGACAGTCACATCCAATCCCTGGACCCTGTCCACTCTAAGGGATGGCCATTTGCCTCAGTGGAAACATCATCCGCCCCACTTCGGGTGCCTGCTACCCGAGAGAAGGTGGAATTCCTCCGTGCCAAGGTCGACACATTTCTAATGAAGGTTGCGATCGAACCGGTTCCCGTGGGACATGAAAGTGAGGGCTTCTACTCCACATATTTCCTAGTCACCAAAAAAGACGGAGGGTTCAGCCCTATCCTTAATCTGGCTGAACAAACTTATAGAGGTACCGTCCTTCAGAATGGAGACACTGCGCTCAGTGATCTCAGCTGTCGAGACAGAAGAATGGCTAACGTCAATAGACCTATAAGACGCCTATCTCCACGTACCCATACACCTTGAGTTCAAGAAATACCTGAGGTTTTCTTTCGATGGGAGGTGTTATCAGTTCAGGGTTTTACCATCTCAACAGCCCCGAGGGTGTTCACCAATCTGATGTTGATTCCTGCCTAAGTGGCCAGGTTGAAAGGTCGGTTCTGCGATCCGTACCTCGACGACTGGTTACTAAGAGCTCTATCGCAATCCCTAAGTCAGATAGCTACACAACAAGTGATAGATATTCTGATCACTCTAGGGTGGATAGTCAATCTCAAGAAGTCAGATCTGAGCCCTACTCAGAATCTAGTCTTCCTAGGGGCGAATTTCAACATGGTGAGCGGTCTTGTATCTCTTTCACAAGATCACATTACCAAGGTCAGAAGTGTTATGACCCAGTTCCTTCTGTTAGCAATTCACACTGCTCGTACATGGCTCCAGTTACTGGGCAACATGGCGGCGACAGTGGATGTGGTTTGGCGGGCCCATTCAACAAGCGCTCCGTCGACTTTGGGTGAACTCGGAAGATCTCGGGATTGTTCTCAAGACCCCGCAGTGGCTCATTTACACACCTTCAGTGGTGGACCGAGGTCGGGAATCTGTCCCGGGGACTCCCCCTCGACACTCCCGTTCCGTCTCTCACAGTTCAAACAGACGCGTCACTCTCCGGCTAGGGAGGCGTTCTGAACGATCACACTGGCTCGGGACTATGGTCCCAGCTGGTGATCAAATTGCATGTCAATGTGCTATAACTGAGAGCGGTCAGGTTGGTGTTCCAACGCTTCCTGGATCTGCTTCGTGGCTAAGTGGTTCGTCCCATGATTCAGTGGTGGCTTGGCCACTGTCAGGAATCGCCTCCAGAAGAGCGGTATTCCTGCACGAGTTGCAGACACAATACTGGCTTCGCGGAGGGATTCGACAAACGTTCAGTACGAGGAAAGATGGGCCTGCTATGCATGCTGGTGTGTCGATAAAGGGATTGCAGATCCCTTTTCTGCAGATCTTGTAGCCGTGCTTGAGTTCCTCCAGTCGCGACTAGATGACAGTCCGGGGGTACACTACAGCTATTGCAGCTTTTCACGTCCCTGTCAACGGGGCACTTCTGGGTGCACACCCATTAGTGCAGCGCTTTTTAGCAGGTGTGGACAGGATCCTACCGCCTGTCCGGCGGATCAGTCCCCCTTGAGACTTGTCAATCGTTCTTGATTGGCTGTCCAGTCCTTCCTTTCGGGATCTGTCGTCTCTCTCTCTTCAGCTGTTGAGCTTGAAGATGGCGTTCCTTGTGGCGGTAACGTCTGGCAGACGGGTAGGCGACATTCATGCAATGTCAGCCGATCCCGAACTAACTGTGTTCCACCGGGACAGGGTCAGTATTCGCCTGCTGGACTCTTACCGTCCTAAGGTCGCACACGCCTTCCACGTGACGGCTCCTATTGAGCTACCTGCTCTTTCACAGCCTTCCTCGTCAGGGACCACTACAAGACATGCTCATGTCTTGGATGTCCGCAGGACCCTCAAGGCCTACATCAGCAGAACTATGGGTATCCGTAAGGATAATCAACTATTTGCTGTTATGGCGGTAGGAAGGCTGGCTCACCTGCGAGCAAACAAACTATATCCAGGTGGATAGTGTCTACTATTTGAAATGCGTACACACTTCAAGGCAGGGACCCCCCTACCAGGTTGAAGGCTCATTTGGTTAGAGCAGTGGCTACGTCACAAGAGTACGCCGCAGCTCTGCCCATTGAAGAGATCTGCTCCGCGGCTATTTGGAGCCAGCCCAGCACGTTCATCAAACATTACCAACTCGACAAACACTCAAGCGAGCGTGCTCAGTTTGGTCAGTCAGTTCTCCGAACTGGGCAAAGTTCTAATCTCTAGCCGAATGAGCCTTTGAGATTTTAGACCACACTCCGGTTATACTGCTCAGTAATGGTCCGGATTATATCTTCTGCTGTCGATAAAATTACCAGTCTTTACTACTTGATAATACTCGTATTTGCACACGCACTCCTTCGATTCACGGGGACCCTCTGGCCTAGCGCAGCGCGGGTTTATGGTCTATCGTGATATACGCCCCTTTATCACTTGTTCCAAAAAGTGTGTGTAGGGGGTGGGGGGTCTCGAGTTCTCGATATGATAAGCCACAAATAATGGCTCTTTTCATTGTATATGGTCGACCACGCACTCTAGCCCCCGCCCTTCGACGGTGGTGCCTCACAATAAGGTTGGTTCCATTTATTGAACTCTTGTTTATTCTTTGAAAAAATCAAAATACGATGTATTTATGCACGCTTGTTGCTGACGGATGCCACTTCCTAGATTAGCTTTACGAGTCTATCTTGATGCAATAAGTGCCCCAAGGAGGATTTAATCTGAAAGAGAATTTTACAAACCTGTAGAGGTTATGATTTCTCTGATGAAATCCTCCACGGCCACCCACCTCCCCACATTCCGTCAGCATTAGACATATGGAAAGTGATTTGGGTGAGAGTTGCTCCCCCTGGCGTGACGCGGCGTGGAGGGTGAGGCCCCGTAGGGTGGTCATACATCATACAAAAACAAAGTTTTTTGTGTGGTAACATTTTTTATTAAGGAAAATGGTTACAACTATGTCATGTAGATTTTCTTGAGCAAGGAAAATGCAATAAGTGCCCCAAGGAGGATTTCATCAAAGAATTCATAACCTCTACATGTTTGTAAAAATTTTAACATTTTGACCAGTTATCATTGTGGGCCCTTATTGTGTATTTAAACAGTAATGGCCACGTATTGTCTTCAGATAACACCCGTTTTTGTGCAGGTGAATCGATCAAAATCATGTGCACAGCACTATAGTGGCATAAGTGTTTTTTCACGTGCAACTGGTCACGTGGCCATAATACTGCACGTGTTTTCAGCCATACTTGTTAGCAGTCATTAACAAAAAAAGAAAAACACAAGAAAATAAAAGTCTTTACGGCCATTTGTCATGCCACGCCTTTCAAATGTGCAACGTGAACGTGCCATCGGCATGTTGCAGACGGGGACGTCCGTAGCTGAAGTCGCAAGGACGATGGGTTGTAGTCGACGGACTGTTTATGATTTACAGACGCGTCTACAGCAAACGGGTACCACCGCTGATCGCCCTCGGCCAGGTCGACCACGTGTGATGTCACATGCAGAGGATCGTCAGATTGTCTTATGGCACATCCGTAACCGATTTTTGATGGCTACATCAACCAGAAAGGAACTGTTTAGGGGGAGACTGAGTGCGCAAACTGTTCGAAACCGTCTGAAAACTGCTCACCTTCAAGCACGACGGCCATACTGTGGGCCGATTCTGACTCAATTACACAGACGTCAACGTCAATTGTGGGCACAGCGACACTTACGATGGACTCAAGCCGTTGAATTGGAATCAAGCCGTCTTCAGTGATGAATCCCGATTTAATCTTCAATTTGCTGATGGTAGGGCAGGGGTGTGGAGGCGCCGTCATGAACGTTCCGCCCAGTGTTGTGTACAGGAAGTTGACAGATTTCGAGGGAAGTGTCATGGTGTGGGGTGCTTTCTGTGGCAATGCACGTTCCAGGCTTCTTGTCATCCGTGACAACCTCAACGCTGCTGCTTACCGCGACCAGGTACTGGCACCAGAAGGTCTGCCTTTTATGGCAGCACATGGACCCGGTTTGATCTTACAACAAGACAATGCAAGAGCCCACACAGCAATTTTGACAAGGAATTTCCTTCAGAATGCGGGAGTCAACATCATGGACTGGCCGTCAAGGTCTCCCGACCTCAATCCCATCGAACACGTCTGGGATGCTCTTGGCAGAAGTCTGCGCACTCTCCAGAACCAACCACAGAATTTGCAAGATCTTGGCACCATTTTGCAGCAACAATGGCGTCGTCTTCCCAATCATGTGTTCACAAGCATCACAAGGTCCATGCGGAAGCGTTGTGTGGCAGTCAACGCACATGGTGGCCATACACGCTACTGAACTTGTGTGCCATCAGATTCTCGTGCTTGGGACTTATGATTTAAACTGTTGATGTTATTACCAAATACCGTAGGTGCTTAGAACAAATGATGGTTACCACCATTAATTAAAATTCTTCTTTTGACATTAATGAATATAAATTACCTTCTCTGATACATTTGTCCATTGTATATCATATATGGGATTACTTTTAAAAATGTGAAGTTTTTAAATTTTATCCTCCATCTCACACTATGCATTTCTCATCTTCTTTCAATCCTAAGTGGAAACCTACTTGTAAGAAACAATTCACCCGAACACACCTAGGATTTGACTCAGTATATGTATTTCTTTCATGAAGTCCATGTATATTGAATATATCTATATACTGTGTTCTATAAGGACTATTTAAGAACAAAGAAAAAGCAAGACGTCTTTAGTTGTAGATTATCGTCATCTTCTTCCATCAATCCCCCCATTCCACTCCCCCGCCCCTACCAAGAACCAGTGCTAGACAGATCCAGCATTCCAAAAGACAGAGTGTGGTGACAAACTGAAGAGACATTACTGATAACAGTCAGTAGAGGGATGTTAATTAAGCTGTTTCCATGATAAAGCAGTCTTATGTAACGTAGTGTTAAGGTGAGATGGGTTGTATGATTCTGATTATATCATTATATCATGAGCATGTGTTTATGAATCACTATCAAATAGTGACGATAAAAGGTGTTCACGAAAAGGTGAGTATATCCTGCCCACAGGTAGCACTCGTCACAAGTAAATCAACTGCAGTGAGGTCATGTAAACAGACACAAATACATATATTAAAGAGTAACATTTATTCATCATCATCATCATCATCATCATCACGTGTCCATACATGTAACATCAGATATTAGTATATGACATGTGAATGCCATGTGAAATTTGAACCATTTCTCCATGAGCAAATCTTTTTGTTTTTAAAAATATCCAGTTATACAATACCACAGAACAATCATGAATAATTTTAAGTAGAACAAAAATGCTTATTGAAAAGAGGCTTAATAAAACAAGATAATCAATTTCTCAAGGTTTATGGAAACACATTTAAACAAAAAAGCTTTGTCAAATTTCTATACCTTGATATTATGTTTGAAGGCAAACTTCCAGAGTACATCCTCAATAAAGTGTTACTTCATCCAAGAAAGGTGAGCTTCATTACCTGCAGTATCTGGTTCTGAAGACTGTACATAAAACGATATTTCGAACTTAACCTGGTAATTGAAAGTTTTCTCAGTTTTGAAAGAATAATATTGAAGAATGAATGGCTTATGAGGCTGACTATAGCAAGATGACCTAAGTATATTTTTGTCTATAATCAGATTAACAGAGGTGGTCAACATTGGACACGACAATGGTATCCACCTCGGGATGTGACAAGACATGAGAACACGGCATCTGGGGTAAGTGGAGGTCCACCCCGGAATGTGACAAGACATAAGAACACGGCATCTGGGGAAAGTGGAGGTCCACCCCGGAATGTGACAAGACATGAGAACACGGCATCTGGGGTAAGTGGAGGTCCACCCCGGAATGTGACAAGACATAAGAACACGGCATCTGGGGAAAGTGGAGGTCCACCTCGATATGTGACAAGACATGAGAACACGGCATCTGGGGAAAGTGGAGGTCCACCTCGATATGTGACAAGACATGAGAACACGGCATCTGGGGAAAGTGGAGGTCCACCTCGGAATGTGACAAGACATGAGAACACGGCATCTTGGGAAAGTGGAGGTCCACCTCGATATGTGACAAGACATGAGAACACGGCATCTGGGGAAAGTGGAGGTCCACCCCGGAATGTGACAAGACATGAGAACACGGCATCTGGGGAAAGTGGAGGTCCACCTCGGAATGTGACAAGACATAAGAACACGGCATCTGGGGAAAGTGGAGGTCCACCCCGGAATGTGACAAGACATGAGAACACGGCATCTTGGGAAAGTGGAGGTCCACCTCGATATGTGACAAGACATGAGAACACGGCATCTTGGGAAAGTGGAGGTCCACCTCGATATGTGACAAGACATGAGAACAGGGCATCTGGGGAAAGTGGAGGTCCACCTCGATATGTGACAAGACATGAGAACACGGCATCTGGGGAAAGTGGAGGTCCACCTCGATATGTGACAAGACATGAGAACACGGCATCTGGGGAAAGTGGAGGTCCACCTCGATATGTGACAAGACATGAGAACACGGCATCTGGGGAAAGTGGAGGTCCGCCTCGATATGTGACAAGACATGAGAACACGGCATCTGGGGAAAGTGGAGGTCCACCCCGGAATGTGACAAGACATGAGAACACGGCATCTGGGGAAAGTGGAGGTCCACCTCGGAATGTGACAAGACATGAGAACACGGCATCTGGGGAAAGTGGAGGTCCACCTCGATATGTGACAAGACATGAGAACACGGCATCTGGGGAAAGTGGAGGTCCGCCTCGATATGTGACAAGACATGAGAACACGGCATCTGGGGAAAGTGGAGGTCCGCCTCGATATGTGACAAGACATGAGAACACAGCATCTGGGGAAAGTGGAGGTCCGCCTCGATATGTGACAAGACATGAGAACACGGCATCTGGGGAAAGTGGAGGTCCACCTCGGAATGTGACAAGACATAAGAACACGGCATCTGGGGTAAGTGGAGGTCAAGAACTCTGGAATACCACTATTGGAATATTGTTTGAAAATAGCAGTCAAAATAATAGAAATGGATCACTGAAAATCATCGATAACACCAGGTGTTTGCAAAAAGTGTAACTATATCCTGCCCTACATGTAGCACCCGCTACTCAAACAATTTGCATAAACAAATGTTTGTTTGTGGCCTGATGCCGATTCTTGCCCGCATTGTAACCATGTGATGAAAACTCAATAATGATGTCTATCGCTGAGAACTTGACAGAAAGGCGCACTTGGCATTTTTGGTTATTACTGTAAGTAATATTCCTTTTCGGCGGAATGGCTTGTTTTCACTTCAGTAGTATTCGCACACATGCAGCTATCTTCGTTAATTAATCATCGCGATATTACCAGACTCTTTCTCAAGTGGCGAGGACTCTAGATGACATATAAGGTAGAAGACCCTGATGTGATGATTGTGGACATTTTATGTATAACTGAAATAGCAAATTGTAGCAGTGGAAATGCAAGTAATATCACTCTGAAAATAGTCGTCAGGCAAAAATATACATGCTCTGAAATTTCACTTTCAGGAGATCTCCCCAAAACAGAGACAACCCGAGAAGCAAACAAGAGATCAGTAATGAGCAACACCTGTGGTTTCAGTCTCTCTCTGATACTGTACAGGATCACAGTATTCACCACAATGTCATCGTGCTCGGTGTATGGCTTACTGAGGCCCGGACAGCATCTCGGCCGGGTAGACTAGTGCTAGATGGTGTGGTGCGTGCTCCCGCTGTACAGTGGCACACTGTGACCTCATGTAAACGGCCATGTGCCAAACCTGACCTGAACTTTCTTCAGTATATTTCAAAGTTGATATTCAATGTCTTCTATTAGCTGATATTACCAGATAGAAAAAATGTTTGCTGGAGTTGGGTTTCGGCCTAGTGGTTGATGTCACAGACACTTACGTCAGCAAGTGTTGCTGGGGACATATTCTACTCTGGAATCCCCATGGCGATAAGAGGAATGAGAGAGTGACGGAGAGGATGAATGAGGAAGAAAGTGAGGGAGAGATCTTAAGACATCACATTCTTTTCTATGTGTGGTTTTGCAGCTGCTACTGCTGGGAAAAAGGTTGCTGTAGTGAGTGATATTATATTGATTTGATGTCACTATAGTTTATAGAAATACTGTTGATTGTTAGAAGTTTGCACTTTATCTTTTAAGGGTAAGTAAGTGAATAAAATGCTTTTCGATATTAATATAAATTTTCCAAAATACATTTAGTCAATTTTGGAGAGAGAAAAATTCAAAATATTCATACAAATTATTTAAATTTCCATGTGAAAGTCCTGAAATCACACGCTCTGTAATTGGCTTCCAAAACAAACCTATTTTGGGGTGTGGCTTAAAGCTACCGGCGCAGCCGTGACAACTGTTTTTATTAGGTTTGCCTTGTTTATTTATCGTGTGATTCTCAGCCGTTATACACACACTGTTTCTGCTATTTGTGTTAATCATAATATCATCATTGCATACATTATTAAATGTGTGAAACGACCTTTGATCTTAACCTTGTGAGTGATTAAAATAACAATTAATAATTAGTAACTAGCGTTTTATCACCAACATGTTTAGGTAATAAACCACCAGCTGCCCTCGGGCCTAATCCTCACGATAAATACCTGTCAGGGATTAGTCATCTGTGTAGACAACTGAAGGCATCTTCAGTGTTCTTACTAAGGTGACGACATAAGTTGTGGATACCGTAATCTAATATATGAGCAGACAGAAAAATATAATGTATTAAAAAGTCCTACTTAGCTAAAACATTTAGTCCATGAAAAATTAAATGACATTAACCTACAGTTTTGACAAGTGCAAGAGTTAAGTCTTCAAAAGGCGCAATGTATAGTTTCATAAAAAAATGATTACCTTAATTTTGAATATTATTTAAACCTATTGCAGCAAAACATTTGGCGAGTCTTACCTAAGTTTAAGACTTGTAACCATAATCTACCTATTGAAACTGGGAGATGGAGAAAAATACCTTTAACCAAAAGGAAATGCCAACTTTGAAAATTATCTGACAAAGGCAAGGAATTCCATTATTTGTCTATTTGTCCATGTTTAGAAAACATAAGAAAACAATTTTTACACAGATTCTACTACGTCAAACCCAAATGGCATAAAATAAATTTACTTTTCAATAATTCACGAGTAGGAACATTGAGAAACTGTCCAAATTCTGTAAAATCATCATGTCATTGTTTTAAACCTCTTTTTGAATTGCACATATATTACTACACTAGTGAATCTGTATAAATATGCATGCATGCTCGGCAAAGATGTTTGTGTATCTATTCCATATTTATATGTATATGTATTATGTTGTTGAGATAATTTTGTACCTCTGATCTATTCCATATTTATATGTATTATGTTGTTGAAATAATTTTGTACCTCTGATAGCGGCCTGAGTGTAAATTTCAGTTCAGTTCAGTCCAGTCCAGTCCAGTTCAGTTCATTACAGAATCCGAGGCAGAAGTAGGCAGTCTCGGCGTCGGCCAGATCACCATGATCGTTGTAATTGCGCAGCGCGTCAAACAGCTGGAACCTATTAACCCCACTAAGGGCATCCCCTTTCTGGTGGATTTTTTTCTTTTGGGGGACGCTATTGCCTGTCGTTTTTTTATTGTGTGTTTTTATGCTATATCAATTTTTCAAATTTTATGTTAGAAAAGCGTGTGTGATTAGGTATGCCCTAAAGTATTAAAACCTGCAAAGTTGCTACGACAGTTCTAATTTAGTTTAGCAAATATGTGTTTAGTGCCCGAACTTAAGGTTCACATTGGTTCGCGTCATGACATTCCATTACACTTCCATCCCTAGCTGACGACGTTGAGTTGAGAAAATGCATCACTGCTTAAAGCAAAACGCTGGAAGGCAGTTTTATAAACTGTTTCAGCAAATGTTCGTTGCAAAATGCTGTTATGACACTTATCTAAAACATATTTCATTGTTGGAAAATGCATTTCAGGAAGCCACAGAAATCTTGAAATCTGACACCAACTGACATCGTTTGTATCCCAATGATGTGGTAGTGGCAAGCTCTGTAGGACTATAACTTTCAGACTGATTAATTCTTTTTAGGGGTGCTGGTCAGTTATGTGCTGTCAAAGTTGCCAGTCGAAATAGTCTTTATGGTTCTGCCTGGTTGATTGGAGTGTTGGTTGTTTGCTCTGTGTACATCCATCACAAAATCCCCACGCATTACTCGGCCACCTACTCCAAATGTCATACTTCACCAATGTCCCATCATCCACAACTTCTATGAAAATACCAAGAACCTATGGCTCAACTTTGTCATGATGGCTAATGAATGCACTGTTTCAATTTTAGAGTTATGTTACCATAGATATGGTATAAACTTATACTTTGACACCTCATTTATATGCACTGACCTATAGAACTTAATATAGATGCACCAAAGTGGAACAACAATTCCTATTTGGAAAATACAGATTGAGCATGTCTTACATTGTCACTCCAACAATATATTTTAAAGGAATGGTCATACATGTAGTTTCATGTCAATATGCTTGTCGTAAGAGGCGACTAACAGGATCGGGTGGTCAGGTTCGCTGACTTGGTTGATGCATGTCATCGATCCGAATTGCGTGGATTGATGCTCATGATATTAATCACTGGATTGCCTGGTCCAGACTCGATTATTTACAGACCGCCGCCATATAGCTGTAATATTGCTGAGCGCAGAATTGAACAACAAACCAACCAAACCAACATGTCAATGTGGCACGTGACCCTTCACTTTTTTGCTTGACCACCGCTGGCAAGGAGCCCCACCATGTTGAATACAATATCTTCTTCATTCTTAATTAAATTTGTCACATGTAATGGCGTCTTTTTTTCTTTTGAAATAGCGGTATGGTGCATTGTACAATTTTCCTGGATATGAGGATGCTGACACGAATTTTAATACGGGCCAAGACCCCCCTCTCAGACAGCAGTGTAGTTGTGTGTGTGAGTGAAGTGGATTTATTGTGGCTGTGAACAGTATGTCAGTTATATCATGGTGTGTCAGCTGGGTGTGGGGGGGAAAGCCCATAGTGATGCAAGTTTTAGCCATTTACCGCTTTGGTTAAACCCACGAGTATGGTACCGACAAACCTTGAAACAGACGGGGCGAACCTGGATTCAAGAAAATCATTTAGCTTCTGGCATGCCCAAGGGACACAATTCTGCACAGTGAATTGCGGTGCCTAAGACTGGGCAACTCGTGTCCTGTAGTCAGAGGCACTGAACGAGCCCATGTATTACACACAATGATTCGTATGGGATATTTTTTGCGTTTTCTGCACATATTGTGAAAGACTTTTTGAATCTCGTCACTTTTGTGCTTTAAGATATTATTGCCAAGTCTGTTCCCACCTTGCTGTGATACCTAGGATTAAGCTTGATCAAAATTACATCACACAAACCAGAGTAACAGCTGAACTCTATTTACTCCTATACAACTTGAGGTAAAGATGTGCTATATACTGACACCAACACAACGAACTTGCATTGATCATTTTGAAAATTCTCTGGTCAGTTTGTGCTACCTGTTTTAGTGCTAGTTAATGGAGGCTGAGCGATCTGTGAAAACAAAGTATATACAATTGAGTGAGTGAGTTGGGGTTAACGCCGCTTTAAACAGTATTCCAGTTATATCACGGGAGTGTCAGCTTAATATGGGATGAAAGCCGGAAGTGATGCAGGTCTCAGACGTTTACCACTACAGTGAAACCCACGAGCACGGTATGGTGGTGACAAAGCCAGAAACATAATCGGGCCAAAATGGGATTCGAACCCACAATCATAGGTTTCTGGTGTGTCCATGGGACGCAACTCTGCATAGCGAATCACGCGCCTTGGACGACTGGGCCACCCGTGCCCCCATATTCAATAGATCATGAGCTGCAAATGTTAAGTAGACGTGCATGTGTTTGTTTTGCTGAATGCTGCATCTGAGCAATATTCCAGCTGTGTGACAGCAGCCTGTAAATAGTTGAATCTGGACAAGACAATCCAGTGATTGATATCATAAGCAACAATCAATGCCAACAGGGCATGTTGACACCATTACTGGCCATCCATTATACATAATTAATGGTGATGGGGACCAATTCTAAGTCAGACTCCCCATGCCTTGAGTAAACATGTAGCCTGGAGACCGTCAAACCAATAAGTTCAATGTCAGGCAGAACAGATAGATCCTTCCTGCTCTTCAGAGTCGGACAACAGCACAGTCACATCACAGCATGTCAAACGGAGGCGAGTCCTGTGATGCTGGTCCTTCCAAGTGCCCATGCTCTTCAGAGTTGGACAACAGTAAAGTCACATCACAGCATGTCAAACGGAGGCGAGTCCTGTGATGCTGGTCCAACCAAGTGCGCATGCTCTTCAGAACATATCTGGGAAGACTTTCCGACAGAGATCTTGTCCTTTGTATTGTAGGTTGAGGGGGAAAAGTTCTTACTGTGTGTCAGTTCCCATTTGTTGAGTCCACTGCGCCAGCTGAATGTGATTGATGAATAACATACACTTTTCTTCTGAAGTATTTTTGTATTTAACATTTCATAAAGAAGTGTGTTGGTCTGTTTATTTTCCAACAATCTAAAACAGTAGTAGGTCTTTGAAAGGCATTTAGAAGTGATACACATAAGGAAGAGAATTTATGGATGTCAACTTCTTTATTATGAGGAACACAACATTTCACCTCATGAAGGAGTAAGCACGTACTCTGAAACGTTGTGTTCCTCATAATATAGAAGTTGACCTCCATAAATTCCCATCCTTAAAACAGTAGTAGCCTGAAGGTCACAGCAGGTGAATTTAATGCCTTGAATGGGTGAAAAGTGATATGTGCTCAGTTATGGAGTAAACGTGAAATATTTTAATGCTGTGCAGGTGGCAACATCTATAAATAATCAACATACACATCTAATTTTCATATTTTTTTATTTCACGCAGTTATATTAGGCCATGATCTCGTATGGGATCGGTACCACCAGCTGGGGCTTGTTGTAGCGTGTCCTCACAAAGTGGGCAGTTCGGGGCTGCTTGGGCTGAAAAAAAACAATTTCACTCTTCAAGTAACTATTTAACTAGGCAATATGCCAGCTATATGACGGCAGTCTGGAAATAATCGAGTCTGGACCAGACAATCCAGTGATGGACATCATGAGCATCAATCTACGCAATTGGGATACAATGTCATGGATCAACCAAGTCAGTGAGCCTGTCCGTTTGATCCCAATAGTTGCCTCTACTGACAAGCATAGTCGCCTTTTACAGCAAGCATGGGTTGCTGAAGACCTATTCTAACCCGGATCTTCAAGGGGTTCCAATATTTATTACCCCAAAGGCAACAGGTGTATTTCTGTCATGCACACTTTGTTCAAAGTTGGCGGCACCCATGGTAAAACAGGCAATGGTTGATACCAATTTGAAAATATAGTTTGATGCGGTTATGCATTTGTGAAGAGATATGAACTGTATTTTCTTCCAATTTGAAGTAATAATAATTCATCAGTTGAAAACTTCATTTACATGATATTCTTAAAATCTATAATTTTTTCACCTGGATTTGTAGTCTGTGCTTTTATTAAAAATCTGTAGGAACTACAGTGAAACCAGAAGAGTAAACAGGTCTGTACTTGAGAAAACACAAAGAGACCCTTCATATCAGGTGAAATCATTACTTATCACAATGTATTTTCAGTCTCTCACGGTTACCTTCAGTTGGGGGACATACATGTATTCTACAACCTCCTACCCATGGACTGTCTGTTGTTTCATGAGTGAGTGAGTATGGTTTAACGCTGCTTTTAGCAATATCCCAGCAATATAACCGTGGGGGACACCAGAAATGGGCTTCACACACTGTAACCATGTCGGGAATCGAGCCCCGGTCTCCGGAGGGAACGCTTTAACCACTGGGCTACCCGACCACCCCTTTTGTTTCATGACGCATTCACATATATTTCAACTTTTTTTTACAGTGGTCTGTAAATAATAGAGACTGGACCAGACAGTCCAGTAATTGGCATCACGAGCATCGATCCACACAACTGGGATACAATGACACGCATCAACAATGTCAGTGAGTCTGACCACCTGATGCCATCAGAAAAGCACATGACCTAAATACTGAAATCACTAGCTAACATAATAAGAAAGTTCCACTCACTTGTTGTTGAATAATATCCTAACAAAATCCCTTATTTCAAACTACATTACTAGAAAATGCCCTTTCAGTTAAATGTCATCACATAAGACTGTTTAATAGAGTTCCACATGAGGTTCACCTCATTTCCCACACAGATCAAAGTGTTAACCTTCTGGCTTGCGCAACAATTAGACAGACATGCCAGCTGACTGTAACATGCATGAGGTCATGCATGAGGTCATCTTCAATGATTACCCATGTTTGGGACTTGATACAATTCCTCTGAAGTAATTTTCTGAGTTAAAGAATACCACTGTAGGATGCACCCAGGTGAACTATAATTACCTGTCTCTTGGACTCGATCCTGATGCCAGTGGTCTTGGCCTCCCTCTTGGCACGGTCGTTCTCTGCAGCACGCTTGAGGAAGTCGAGTCTGCAGTTGGAGTGTTTAACATGCTCCACTCGCACGTTGATCCTCTTGGGGATGATGCGGTTACTGCAAGAGGGAATGGCGTTATACACAGCCCGAGGGAATGGCGTTATACACAGCCCGAGGGAATGGCTTTATACACAGCCCGAGGGAATGGCGTTATACACAGCCCCAGTGAACAGCGTTATACACAGCCCGAGGGAACTGCGTTATACACAGCCCCAGTGAACAGCATTATACACAACCCGAGGGAATGGCGTTATACACAGCCCCAGTGAACAGCATTATACACAACCCGAGGGAATGGCGTTATACACAGCCCCAGTGAACAGCGTTATACACAGCCCCAGTGAACAGCGTTATACACAGCCCCAGTGAACAGCGTTATACACAGCCCGAGTGAACAGCGTTATACACAGCCCGAGGGAATGGTGTTATACACAGTTATACACAGCCCGAGTGAACAGCGTTATACACAGCCCGAGTGAACAGCGTTATACACAGCCCGAGGGAATAGTGTTATACACAGCCCGAGGGAATAGCGTTACACACAGCCCCAGTGAACGGCGTTATACACAGCCCGAGGGAATGGCGTTATACACAGCCCGAGGGAATAGCGTTATACACAGCCCCAGTGAAAAGCGTTATACACAGCCCGAGGGAATGGCGTTATACACAGCCCCAGTGAACAGCGTTATACACCATGATACACAGCCCGAGGGAATGGCGTTATACACAGCCCCAGTGAACAGCGTTATACACAGCCCGAGGGAATAGTGTTATACACAGCCCGAGGGAATAGTGTTATACACAGCCCGAGTGAAAAGCGTTATACACAGCCCGAGGGAATAGCGTTATACACAGCCCCAGTGAACAGCGTTATACACAGCCCGAGGGAATGGCGTTATACACAGCCCGAGGGAATAGTGTTATACACAGCCCGAGGGAATGGCGTTATACACAGCCCCAGTGAACAGCGTTATACACAACCCGAGGGAAAAGCGTTATACACAGCCCGAGTGAAAAGCGTTATACACAGCCCGAGGGAATAGTGTTATACACAGCCCGAGGGAATAGTGTTATACACAGCCCGAGTGAAAAGCGTTATACACAGCCCGAGGGAATAGTGTTATACACAGCCCGAGGGAATAGTGTTATACACAGCCACAGTGAAAAGCGTTATACACAGCCCGAGGGAATAGTGTTATACACAGCCACAGTGAAAAGCGTTATACACAGCCCGAGGGAATAGTGTTATACACAGCCACAGTGAAAAGCGTTATACACAGCCCGAGGGAATAGTGTTATACACAGCCACAGTGAAAAGCGTTATACACAGCCCGAGGGAATAGTGTTATACACAGCCCGAGGGAATAGTGTTATACACAGCCACAGTGAAAAGCGTTATACACAGCCCGAGGGAATAGTGTTATACACAGCCCGAGTGAAAAGCGTTATACACAGCCCGAGGGAATAGTGTTATACACAGCCCGAGGGAATAGTGTTATACACAGCCACAGTGAAAAGCGTTATACACAGCCCGAGGGAATAGTGTTATACACAGCCCGAGGGAATAGTGTTATACACAGCCACAGTGAAAAGCGTTATACACAGCCCGAGGGAATAGTGTTATACACAGCCACAGTGAAAAGTGTTATACACAGCCCGAGTGAACAGAGTATACAGCTATGAATTGAGTAAATTGGATTTTCTGGTATCTCGGATGTAAACCAGACCTGTCAACCCTCCCGCATTTTGTGGGAGACTCGCAATTTGATGAAATCTCCCAGTCTCCCGCATGATAGACTATTTCTCCCGCAAAACAGAAGTCTTCATTATTTTAAAAATTCGCCTCCATTGTCCCGTGAGGAAAAACAAATAAAGGGAAGTTTATGTCCCGATCTGTCCGGTAGGCTCCCGGAGATGAACTGTTGTCTTTGTGTTCTTAGTGTTTATTCCTCCATAATTTAAGAACGTCCAGTTATACATAACTTAATTTGTTTTCAGATTTGTCAGAAACTTTGTCAAAACATCAACATACCTCAAAGTTACGTCATTAAACTCTCGGAAATGAAAACAAAATATAACCTGCAAGCGTCGTCTTCAGAAACAACACTTTGCGTAATTGGTTGATTCTGTAGTCGAAATAAATGCGTTACACGATCGGGCTTCCACATAGCTAGGGTTTCAAAGTCAAAGTTTAAAGTGAAACTTATAAAAAAATTATTTTTGACTGACATCGTGACTTGTGTGCACAGAAATATCAACACAGAACTTTATCAAACTTAACGAGAATGTATCCTGTGATTATTTTACACGATTTGATTGGCTAATAGTTTGCTTGCGTCCCAGATCTGCAAATCTAATTTGCATACAACAGTACTAGTGAACCAATGAGATTAATACACGTCAAGGTCAGAAAGGTCAACAACGACAACGAGACTCATTTCATTTATAAATTGTAGTAAAACATAATAGTACTTCCAAATATGGCATACATTTCTTGGAATGGAATAACGTGAACATTTCTAGCGAAGTAATGGGACTGTCAACAGACAGAAATAAACAATATATGTTATTGAAATTAGGGGCGATCATGTCGCGTCAGGATAAATGCATCTGATATTTCTTTGGCGTATTTTGTAACCAAACATGTGTCGAAAACCTGCATCATAACGAAGTCTGACAACTGGTCAGATTGAACACGTCGTCAACTGGTCAAGCTACCGATCGTTAAATTTCAATATCTGTTTGCGTTTATCTGAGACTATTTTTGAACGAAATTGATATGGGTAGATTGTGCTAGGTTTATTCTTGGAGGTGGAAAATGCAAATGGAAATTAAGAAACCTGTACATATAAGAAGTTATTAATTATTTATTGTTTTTAAATATTTGGTTTTCTTAGTAACAATAATAAAAATAAAAGGTGGAAATTGTCTTACTTTCACGATTTTAAAAATCTCCCCCATTTTGGAGGCAAATCTCCCACATTGTCATGATGAGGGGTTGACAGGTCTGGTAAACCCCACAATCAGTGGATCCTCATGCACAAAACACTATAAACTTGTATACTTTGACACACTTTTGACAGCCGAAAGCTCATAAAATGGGAGATCTGCACCCAAACAAATAAAATGGATTTCGTTATCCTTCATTAAACAGCAGTAGCAACTTGATTCCCACTAAATTGACATGAATTGACTGAACAATATCATCTTGCTTAATTGTTGAGTGATGGCACAATGATAACATACATACCCAATCTGCTTGTTGACAATTACACCAACAGCATGGGGCGTGACATTGAAGATTCTGCCTGTCTTCCCATGGTAGAACTTATGCGGCATTCCCTTCTGAACAGCACCGTCTCCCTGCACAACACAAGATTCATCATAAATCCTTCGGGAGAAATTTCTACCAACTATTACTCATTTGCATCATGCACAATTTGAACAGGTTCTCCAAGGGCAACATTAGACATTTTGTACAAGTGATGTGTTTTCTTACTTGCCCAGTGTGGATGGGATAACTATCTGAAAACAATAACTTCTTGTCATCTTCCCACAATATTTCCCGGATTCAAGAATGGAGCATGTGTCTCAATCAAGACATCCAACGGTGACAAATTCTAGACATTCGTGAGCGCACTGACATTTAATACAGGGTCCTGTTTCTTATTGCTGCTGCCACATATTTGATCCACTGTATTGACTCTTGTGATTGCAAAGCCAATCTTGTATTTTAAAACAACTAAGGGACCAGTTGAAAAAGTTTGATGTCTGATTAAAAAACTTCAATTCCTTGAGGTTTTTATACATGGCAGCCTAACCAAGTGCAGATGTTGGTCAACTTGGTTCCTACGACTGTACAACCCTTCTGCATGTTGTTAATATTCTTCATCTTGCACGAGTACTTATGTAACGGCCATGAAATGTCAGAATGGGATTCCAACCATGGAGTGAGTGAGTTTGGTTAATCGTCGCTTTTAACAGTATTCCAGTTATATCACGGCGCGTCAGCTTAATGTGGGAGGAAAGCCCGAAGTGATGCAGGTCTCAGACGATTACCACTTCGGTGAAACCCAAGAGCACGGGTATGGTGCTGACAAACCTAGAAACATAATCGGGGAAAACCGGGATTCGAACCCATAAGCATATCCAACCATGGACCTGTTGATCCACATGACCAAAGACGTTAAGCCCGTCAGCAAGCTGACATGGTAAGGATCTCATCACTGGGATGACTCAAAACCCAACTACATACTCCGTCAACAGAACGTATGTCCCGGGCAGAAAAGTAGGGTACTGAGACTGATTTGGCTCAAATTTAATATGAACATGCTCAGCCCTATGTTGGGTGCCAATGTATGAGCCATAAAATTTCAGAGTCCTGTATTATGATTCGAACCATGGACGTTCTTGTTCGAAGTTGGACGCCTTATCCACATGACCAAGCTGACAAGGTAAACAGGATGACCCCATTAGAATTACAATACTACACACATACTTCCCTGAATATTGAGACAAGTGCAGTTGCACTGGACAGCACTCAGTAACTGACTACTCCCATTAGGGTATAATTTGACAGTTTGTATCAATGAAAAGGTTTTATGTCATTAAGGTATACAGTATATTTTTTGTGAATATCCCATTGGAATTAACAGGTGTATCAGTATACTAGTACACAAAAAAACTAAATCTGTACCTTAATATCCACAATGTCCCCTCTCTTGTAAATCTTCATATAGGTTGACAGTGGGATAACTCCATGTTTCTTGAATTTCTTCGAGAACATGTAACGCGTACCGCGCCTGTATCCCTTTGTGTTCGTCATGTTTAGGCCTGGAAACAAATGTTTACGAATTATTGTTGGTATTTCACACCTGAATCAGGATCCTATCATTAGACTGAATTTCTACACTAACATTAGCTCTTCAAGCCAAAGTGTTCAGGCCACCAGGGATAATTCTAGGGTGGGGTCTTGTGCTTTTAGCCCCTAAATTTAAAAAAGACACACATTTTCAAATATAATGAAGGCCTCAAAGTTGCGACTAAAACGGTAGCCAATGCGACCTAAATTTCAGTTTGTCTGTCTAAAATTCAGAGTTAGCCATATGACTACCTAAACTCTTGAAAAGAAATATAAATTTCATTACTTTACAGGACCCTCATATTCCTTGTAAGGACCCTTGAAATTAGTTTTGTAGGTAAAACCCTGCCACTGCATGGAGCTTAAGTGGCTGGAAGAGTACATATTAATCGTGCACAAAACCGGTTTTCGTTTCATTTGTGATGTTAAGTCTTGCATGATGCACAAGTTGATTGCTACAAAATGGCAACCATTGTGTCAACACAAAAATAGATTGTCAAATTTCATAATGATTCTCCAAATCCAAAATATATCATGCAGCCATGACTGACCACGATTTAGCATCCTGGAAGTCTTCTGAGGAACCAGTTTTGTGCATTGTTAAATGGACATATCTAATAGGTGCAAAACCTAATTATTTTTCTTTCAATTAATGTTTTCAAAACATTTTGATTTAGGGTGTGTGGGTTTTAGTTGGGAGGATACCAATTCAAAAGCACCCCAAAAGCATTGAAACGGAGAGTTTTCTAAATACAGAACTAGACCACCTGTAAATTGGCATGTCTAGCCATTGCACGTCGATGAAGGTAGCTCTCAAACACCACAATCAAGTGCTTTATGATTCTATGACGCTTCACTTATTCATTCTCCTGTAGGCCTAAAACACGTGGGTGATCTCGTGGACATTGAGATAGCCACAAAATCCATTCAAACAACGGATATGGATTGAAATTCGACATGTAGCTGTACAATGTGTGTTCATAACCGGAAATACATGCTAAATTTGACTTTTTATTGGATAAGTTGGAAACAAACGGCTTATTTGACACAACTACAAGAGACAAGCACCTGCTTTGAGGAATGGCCGTCAGGAAAGGATGTTACGCGTGATCTCGCGAGGCGAATTTCTTTTTGAGACTTTTATTAAATATTATAGATCGGAGGCAATCGGAATTGAATTATTGATGTGTTTGAGGCCACATCCCCATATGTATTACTTTGATGTGAAATATGATTCTCAAATAAATACCTGAATATTTCGCACGATATTTCTTTACCCATAATGCCTTTGACCAAAACAATATGGCGGTGTTGTAGTAAGATGGAAAATACCAATTTACACTGTATGTGTGAGTAAAACTGCAATCATAACGACCCTTACAACAAATTTCGGCTCTTGCTGCACGGTGAGAGAGATGGTAAGTCGGACAGATCGTGTTGGATTACTCGCAATCGGTCGCAAGGAAAAATGATTAGACACCTGACAAGACTCAGTCGAGTGTGAACAGAAAACAAAATATATTATTATTTCGATCTTCCAGATTCTTTGGTTATTATGTCATGTATATTATCTGTTCGAGTACTGTTTGCTCACTGTCACACGTGGAGAAGTACAAATGTAGTCTGGAGAGCATGAATGCCGTGATATGATACTTGAAGAGGAAGTCTGACTGTTATTGTAGTTCAACTTGTACTTCCTCACTATGATAGCTCGAGCTGCTTAATGTTGGTGAACCTAGTGATATGACAGTGTTGTATTCACCAAACAAGAAGACCAGTGCATATTTACCAGGGAGACACTGTCTATTACCTGGTCGTCTGCTATCAAGCTAAGTATCATACTCATCAATCATGACCACAGGGGTTTATGTGTGAGCTCTTTGCATGATTTTGACAGATTCACATATTCGTTATCACACTCTTTGAGCGATTGTGTCATTTTAATCTTATTTGTGTAACTGTGACTTTATTGTTATCATGAAAAAGTCAAAACTGCCATGAAAATATTTTAGATTTATTTCATAATTTCTCGATAAAGAATTGTTTCTGGTGCTTCACTGTGAGCTCCCTGTTGTAATCCCTACAGGTCTGTTCTACATCTGCGCACAAACCAGTGACAGTGGCTGTTTTTGTTTGTGTTAAAGAGTAATAGATCATACATGTATCAGAATTTAGAGACGTATTTCTCAGTTTTAGTCAATCAGCTTTAGCATGGTTAAGAACCATTTAGCATTTGCATCTACTACTTTGTCACAAGTACTTGCAGTGATCATCATGCTTGTAGACCTGTGAAGATCTGGGTTAGAATAGGTCTTCAGCAACCCATGCTTGCCATAAAAGGCGACTATGCTTGTCATAAGACGTGACTAACAGGATCCAGTAGTCAGGCTTGGTGACTTGGTTGATGCATGTCATCGTATCCCAATTGCGTGGATCAATGCTCATGATTCAATCACTGGATTGACTGGTCCAGGTTTGATTATTTTCACACAGCCATCATATACATGTAGCTAGAATATTGCTGTGTGCGGCGTTAAACAACAAACAAACAAACATCATGCTTGTTATGACCATGGTAAAGCTTGTTTTGGTAAGGTCAACTGCAGACCAGCACTACAAGCAAGTGGATTGTAATTAATGTGTGTGTCATTAATGAGGGGTGATTGGCTTTATGTGTGCAAATGAAAATTGATGATGCAAATAGTTTATTTGAACATGTTGAATAAATACATCGATAATGATGTCAAACATACAAATGTTTATGTATTTCCACATTCTAATCATGCTCTAATTTCCCCTATTTGAAGTTCATATTCATCAGATCATTTAAAGTATGGGCTGCTATGCGAAATGAAAGCCATGTTGCTTTTTTTAGTTCACCTTGACGTCATCACTGTCATTGGCATGATTGGCGTGAACTTTCGAGTATTCAGCCATCGGTTGTCCTTTGGTTCTCAAACTCGAAATCTCATCTCATCCAAACCTGCTGAACATATGGATATCATTTTCACATAAACAAACTCCTTATTACCCAGTCATTTGAGTTTTTGTGATAGAAACTAAGAAAAGGACGCAAATTGTCACTAGCACCTGAGCCCGAGTCAGTTTGTCTTATGTTAATGTGCAAGTAAAGTGAAATGAATGCACCTTTGTTACTACTAAAGATTTAGTCAATATCCAAGTGAGAAAAATTCAAAATATTCATAAGAAGTATTTACATGTCCAAGCAAAATTGCTGAAATCACACGCTTTGTAATTGTCTTCCAAAACAATCCTATTTTGGGGCGTGGCCTGAAGCTAGCGTTGCAGCGGTGACAACTGTTTTCAGTGGCTCATATGTTTACAGTGTCTATCTATCTTGTGATTCTCAGTCATTATAGATATGTACTGTTTGGGCTATTTCTGTTAATCCTACAAAAATAACAATGTTGCATAAATTGTTGAATGTGAGAAACGACCTTTGATCTTGACATTGTGAATAATTAAAATAACAATTAATAATCGGCAACTATAGATGTTTCATGACTAACATCCTGTTTGGTTAATAAACAACTAGCTGTCCTTGGCCCTAATCCACACAATATATGCCTGTCAGGGATTATCTACTGAGTAAACAACTGAAGGCATCTTCAGTGTTGTTGCTAAGCTGACATATTAAAGTTGTGGACATGGCAATCGGTTAATCGGCATAAGTTAATCCGAGGCAGAAGCAGTCGCTTTTTATCATCTGTTTTATGCTTTTTCCGTTTTTCAAATTTTTATTCTGTTCAAACAATTGTTATTAAGTATGCTCTAAAGTATTAAAATCTGCAAAGTCGCTATGTTGACTTTACTTGCCCTTTAAAGGCATCTCTAGTGCTTGTAGAATTTTAGGCTGTTCAGGAGATGTCCTTGTATGTTATCATTATATGCATGATAAGGGCTGTTAGTTGCATCCCTAGATAGGATGCATTATTTTCTTGTGCATCATGCACCAGAGCTCCAGATAAGCTGCGTATCTGCGTAAAATACGCATCAGAAATGCAGAAATACGCAGTAAAATAAAATCCAAGCGTATCAAATACACAACGAACATTACAGATACGCTACAAAAATATAACTTGTGCGTATCATCAAAATATTGTGAAGTAACCCTGCGTATTCGATTAGCAAATCAGCAACTTATTTTGAAATTATAAACGGGCATTCCGTCAACCTTGCCAAACTCCAAGATGACAGTTACATCATGATCATTTGCCATCACACTTTCTTGTGGAAGTATCGTAGTATAAAGCTCTCGAACCCACACGACACCAGTTTGCAGGGACTAGATGTATAGTGGTTTTAAATATTTAACTTAAATACCCACATGTGTAAAAACTAGTGGGTAACAGAAATTTGAATACCCAGATAGAATTACTGATACCCAATGATTTTAAAATGCATGGGTAAAATACCCACAGCACCAAAAGCTTATCTGGAGCTCTGTGAACGCTCAAGTACTTGGTACAAGTTTCGAGGAAAAGTGCTTTTTATACAGAATGATTATTTCCAATAATAATTGTACATGTATTTCCTGTTTTACTAGGCATTTTAGTATATGTGCAGATACAAATATCATTGTCTGTGATTTTCTTGTAAAATTAAATAGCAATCATCTGTTCATAAGGTTGCTCTTAGTGATTACGTTCCATATGCCACACATATGATAATGCAGATTATCGATGATGGTAAAGTTATCTCCCCTTTCCCTTCTCCCTTGTATTCACAAACAATTAAGCATAATCCTAAAAGTTTCAAATGGGTTTCAGATTTGTACAGTACCTAAATTTTGTTATTTCATTGTAATTTGAGTTTGAGATACAATAACAGTTGTGTGTACCATGATCTGTTGCCATAAGCTGGTATTTGTAGGGCAGTGGTAGAAATTGGCACTAGTCCTATAGTCCTTGCCAAACTGCCCAATAATTAAGGTATCATAAGGACTAGTAGAAATTGCCATTTGTATGAGCTTCAATATACTGTTTTCGACGTAATAAGCGCCCACGGCGATATTTGCTAATATATTGGCTAGTGAACAATCCCAATTAGCACCCCTTGCGATTGATCAATGTACACAAAACTTATTTATTTGCGTATGATACGCACTCGTGTGTTATATGCAACCTGAATTATGGGCAATTAAATTCTGGAAAAATATATCTGTCGTACATGAACATTCAGGCTGTCAGCATAAACCACGAAATTTATCTTTTTTTCCACCAAAATAACATTCTAATAAGAGCCTCCTTTATCTAATTTTGAGAGCGCCCTGGGCGCTTATTACGTCGAATACGGTATGTTATCATTATAAGGACGAGTGGACTAAAACTGTTAGTTTCTATTGCTGTAGTGTGGTGGTTAAAGATTTGCTCGTCACACCGAAGACCCAGGTTAAATTCCCTGCACAGGTTCAATGTGTGAAGCCCACTTTTTGGTGTCCCCAGTCGTGATATTGCTGGAATATTGCTACAACTGGCATAAACGATACCACTCACTGGTATTTGTATGACAAACAAAAGGTACCTGGTGTATGTAAAAGGCGAATTCCGGACACTGAAATCAAACAAGGCTTTTTCTGCATAGAGGTGTAACAATATGGTGGAGTCATGATAAGATACCTATCCCCATACTATGGGTCTGATGCGATTTGTATCCTGATACAGTACTTTTGTTTCATAAGTTGATATTCCTTTGCTTTGGATGTGAATCACAACCCTGAATCAAGAAACACCTCCAAACTCTTTAAACAGTGTTAAATATGTTTTAACATGATGTTGATGATGTATAGAGCACATCACCAAAGCCCATCACTGATTTACTGTTCCTTAACTAACTGATATTGAGAACATGTTCTTCCACCCACATAACTTGTGTTGTAGTGTATCACATGTATCACGATACAGAGGTTGTAAATCGATATGGGCCTTGTATTGGGATACAGGACTGTATCGTCATGTTGTCACACCACTATTTCTGCAAGTGGTTAGGATGTTTTGATACTTCTTTTCAATGATTTGATTCCAGGAAATGTTCCCTTACTCTATTAACAGTCTAATATTTTGATAAGGATGATTTCATAGTTTGTTTTGTTTACAATATTTTACACAATCTGATCACAAACAACTTAAGGTGACTTTGATCTGGAAAAACACTCTGTGCTGGTTGCCTAATTACTACCAGTATCTAGCATCACTCAATAAAAAACAGAAAATGTTCTGAGCATTTACAACAATATATGAGGTCATTAAAAAGGTTAGCACAAAATGTTTCGAGAACTTGAAAAATATTTTTTTTGACAATGTCTTTTCAAGAAATGAATAGTTATGTTTGTTTTATATTTGATAAAGGTGAGCTACTGTACCTGGTGTGCTCTGGTTTTAGAAACAGCAGCATGTTTAGTAACAAATATATTCAGTGTTTACATTGTGTGACCATATTGGATTTCATTTGTCAAGGGAGCGAATGCATCCCAGCTCGAGAAGGAGATTGGATCAGAACAGTTCCCAGCCAATGAGCACTACTTCGGCCTTGTCAATGTGAGTAGTTGTTTGTAGTTCTTGTCCATAAGAATAGATCTGTGCTACAGAATGAGTTGCCATCTTTAAAGATTTATCTAGACCGTCTCACAGGCAATTTTTGTTGATATAGATCATGATAGATATAGCAGATGCTGTGGCTTGTTTAGGTGACTTGTATTCCACTGACAACAAGACCACTATAGAGGGAGAGTCATTATTGTTTTTATTGCCATGTTAAACTAACTCCGAATATGAGAAAGTAAAACTTTCCCAATTTTGCTCAAAATAATAATTTTTACCCAATTTGCAAGGGGCAGTTTGTTTGGATTTCACGATAAATCCCTGATCTATCTGATGGTAACAATGGTAGTCCACAAGGAAATGTTTTTAGCATGTTTAGTACTTATTGAATTTTGCAAGTCTTGGACAAGCAGCAGTGTTAGAAATTGGCACTAGTCCTGTAGTCCTTGCCAAACTGCCCAATAGTTAAGGTGTCATAAGGACTAGTAGAAATTTGCCATTTGTAAGGGTTTTGCTATATGTTATCATTATAAGGACTAGTGGACTACAAATGTTAGTTTCTATCACTGATAGCTGCAGTCTTCTGTTATTACCAAGCCTGTGTAGGAGAATGCCACTTTGTTTCAGTTTGGGAACACATGTTACTGCAACTCGGTGCTGCAAGCTCTGTACTTCTGCCGGCCGTTCCGGGAGAAGGTCCTGCAGTTCAAGCAGCATCAGAAGAGTCAGAAGAAGGAGACTCTGCTCACCTGCCTGGCCGACCTGTTCTACAGCATCGCCACACAGAAGAAGAAGGTGGGAACAATTGCACCAAAGAAATTCATCACACGTCTTCGCAAGGAGAATGGTAGGTTGGCTAATTATGTTTGACTCTTGTGAGAGAAGAGCCCTCAGAGTCTCAACTTATCCTGCATTCTTTTCTGTATGTCATACATGTATCTGCACGGGGGATGGTAAGCTGGACTGAATGTAGTGGCCTACAGGGTTTTCAGAGTCCTAGGGGAAACATTTGGCACAGTGGAGAAAGAAGCTGACATTTACCATGTACAGTTACGCCCCTTTCCCTTGCAGGATCCAGTTGCAGATTGACACTGAATATGGTCCTTGGCCTGTCAGCATGGTCAGCACCATACCTGTGTCAGGATCAAGTCTTATGAATAGATTCAGTGGCTGAAGTCACATGTGGTTTTCTGATTTCAGAGCAGTTTGACAACTATATGCAGCAAGATGCTCATGAATTCCTCAACTACCTGCTGAACACAGTGGCGGACCTGGTCCAAGGTAACACTCCCAGCTGCAGTATATAACACTCCCAGCTGCAGTATATAACACTCCCAGCTGCAGTATATAACACTCCCAGCTGTAGTATATAACACTCCCAGCTGCAGTATATAACACTCCCAGCTGCAGTATATAACACTCCCAGCTGCAGTATATAACACTCCCAGCTGCAGTATATAACACTCCCAGCTGCAGTATATAATACTCCCAGCTGCAGTATATAACACTCCCAGCTGCAGTATATAACACTCCCAGCTGCAGTATATAACACTCCCAGCTGTAGTATATAACACTCCCAGCTGCAGTATATAACACTCCCACTCCAGTATATAACACTCCCAGCTGCAGTATATAACACCCCCAGCTGCAGTATATAACACCCCCAGCTGCAGTATATAACACCCCCCACTCCAGTATATAACACTCCCAGCTGCAGTATATAACACTCCCAGCTGCAGTATATAACACTCCCAGCTGCAGTATATAACACTCCCAGCTGCAGTATATAACACTCCCAGCTGCAGTATATAACACTCCCAGCTGCAGTATATAACACTCCCAGCTGCAGTATATTACACTCCCAGCTGTAGTATATAACACTCCCAGCTGCAGTATATAACACCTCCCACTCCAGTATATAACACTCCCAGCTGCAGTATATAACACTCCCACTCCAGTATATAACACTCCCACATCCAGTATATTACACTCCCAGCTGCAGTTTATAACACTCCCAGCTGCAGTATGTGACACTCCAAGCCCCGACTTCAGCATAGCTGGAAGTTATAACTTTTTAAAGACCTACTATGTGTTATTATAAAGTTTTCAAAGACCTACTCTATGTTACTATAAAGTTTGTAAAGACCTACTCTGTGGTATTATAAAGTTTGTAAAGACCTACTCTGTGATATTATAAAGTTTGTGAAGACCTACTCTGTGATATTATAAAGTTTTCAAAGACCTACTCTGTGATGTTATAAAGTTTGTAAAGACCTACTCTGTGATATTATAAAGTTTGTAAAGACCTACTCTGTGATGTTATAAAGTTTGTAAAGACCTACTCTGTGATGTTATAAAGTTTGTAAAGACCTGCTGTATGTTACTATAAAGTTTGTAAAGACCTACTATGTGTTATTATAAAGTTTGTAAAGACCTACTCTATGTTACTATAAAGTTTGTAAAGACCTACTCTGTGATGTTATAAAGTTTGTAAGGACCTGCTGTATGTTAGGTAGGTGTTTACAAGCTTTACAATAACATGAAGTTTGTAAAAACCCATACACAGTAATGAAGGTTATTATGTGAACATCAGACACCTCCAAAAACAACAGATGACATCACCGGAGGTTTCTAGAGACAACAGAGTCACATGAGAGGTCAACAACACTGAAGGACAGAACTAAAGTCATGTGCATCCAAGTTGTGAGGGGGGTAATGTTAGTGTGACTTACCCGTGTATTTTATTCCCAGCAGAGAAGCAAGGCAACAAGGCCAAGAACAGCGCCGTGGACAGCAAGTCCAAGCAGGAGGCCACGTGGGTCCATGAAATATTCCAGGGCACACTCACTAATGAAACACGGTGCTTGAACTGTGAAACGGTAAGTGTGTCAGCTTGTCAGTCCTGTATACACAATGTCGATGAACTCACAAACACACATGCAGCTCAGAGGTTAGTTTCATCTCCTGCGTTTCATTATTTGAGTCTGTAAACCAGTTAAATCAAATCTCATCTGAGGGAGGTGCGGAGGTAACAAATATTTGATGTGTATAATTTGATTCAGTGGCTGAAATCACCTGTCTTATGATTAGATTCAGTGGCTGAAGTCACCTGTCTTATGATTAGATTCAGTGTCATTATTATTGAATCCGTAAACCAGTTAAATCAAATCTCATCTGAGGGAGGTGCGGAGGTAGCAGATATTTGATGTGTATAATTTGATTCAGTGGCTGAAATCACCTGTCTTATGATTAGATTCAGTGGCTGAAATCACCTGTCTTATGATTAGAAACAGTGGCTGAAATCACCTGTCTTATGATTAGATTCAGTGGCTGAAATCACCTGTCTTATGATTAGAAACAGTGGCTGAAATCACATGTCTTATGATTAGATTCAGTGGCTGAAATCACCTGTCTTATGATTAGATTCAGTGGCTGAAATCACCTGTCTTATGATTAGAAACAGTGGCTGAAATCACATGTCTTATGATAAGATTCAGTGGCTGAAGTCACCTGTCTTATGATTAGATTCAGTGTCATTATTATTGAATCCGTAAACCAGTTAAACCGAATCTCATCTAATGGAGGTACTGACATAAGGTAGCAGCTACTTGATGTGTATAACATCCGAGGTATGTTGTCCATGTTCAGGTGAGCAGTAAGGACGAGGACTTCCTGGACCTGTCCGTGGATGTGGAACAGAACACGTCCATCACACACTGTCTGCGTGGCTTCAGTAATACCGAGACGCTGTGTGCCGAACACAAGTATTACTGTGAAGTCTGCTGCAGCAAACAGGAAGCTCAGAAGCGGTAAGCATTCCTACCAAGTATCAGGCTGGACTGCAGTATGTGTAATGTGTGGAGATGCTGTGTGCCTAGAGTATCAGGCTGGACTCCAGTATGTATAATGTGTGGAGATGCTGTGTGCCCAGAGTAACAGAGTGGACTCCAGTATGTATAATGCATGGAGATGCTGTGTGTCTAGAGTATCAGGCTGGACTCTAGTATGTATTATGTGTGGAAATGCTGTGTGCCTAGAGTAACAGGTTGGACTCCAGTATGTATAATGTGTGGAAATGCTGTGTGCCTAGAGTAACAGGGTGGACTCCAGTATGTATTATGTGTGGAAATGCTGTGTGCCTAGAGTAACAGGTTGGACTCCAGTATGTATAATGTGTGGAAATGCTGTGTGCCTAGAGTAACTGGCTGGACTGCAGTATGTGTAATGTGTGGAGATGCTGTGTGCCTAGAGTATCAGGCTGGACTCCAGTATGTATAATGTGTGGAGATGCTGTGTGCCCAGAGTAACAGAGTGGACTCCAGTATGTATAATGCATGGAGATGCTGTGTGTCTAGAGTATCAGGCTGGACTCCAGTATGTATTATGTGTGGAAATGCTGTGTGCCTAGAGTAACAGGTTGGACTCCAGTATGTATAATGTGTGGAAATGCTGTGTGCCTAGAGTAACAGGGTGGACTCCAGTATGTATAATGTGTGGAGATGCTGTGTGCCTAGAGTAACAGGTTGGACTCCAGTATGTATAATGTGTGGAAATGCTGTGTGCTCAGAGTAACGGGGTGGACTCCAGTATGTATAATGTGTGGAGATGCTGTGTGCCTAGAGTAACAGGCTGGACTCCAGTATGTATAATGTGTGGAGATGCTGTGTGCCCAGAGTAACAGGCTGGACTCCAGTATGTATAATGTGTGGAGATGCTGTGTGCCCAGAGTAACAGGCTGGACTCCAGTATGTATAATGTGTGGAGATGTAATAGTACAGCTGATGGTGCTGTGTTGGGTCTGGCGGTCACAGACTGTAATTAGAGTAGTAGTTGGTAGTGATTTTAGAGCTTCAGCTAACTTCAGCTTAATGCTGAGTAAGCAGTTTCAATCTTTGTTTCATTCAGAATGAGAGTGAAGAAGTTACCCCAGATTCTGGCGCTACATTTAAAGAGGTTCAAGTACATGGAGCAGTATAACCGATACATCAAAGTGTCCTACCGGGTCGTCTTTCCACTGGAGCTGCGATTATTTAATACAGTAAGTCATCTTGGTCATTCCGCCATGGTGCCCTTAGTGCAAGCACTGACCCGAACTTGTAAATGTTCCCCGAGGGTCAGTGGTCACCATGTGTTGTAAACATGCTGTGGGGGTCAGTGGTCACCATGTGTTGTAAATATGCTGTGAGGGTCAGTGGTCACCATGTGTTGTAAATGTGCCCTGAGGGTCAGTGGTCACCATGTGTTGTAAACATGCTGTGAGGGTTGGTGGTCACCATGTGTTGTAAACATGCTGTGAGGGTCAGTGGTCACCATGTGTTGTAAACATGCTGTGAGGGTCAGTGGTCACCATGTGTTGTAAACATGCTGTGAGGGTTGGTGGTCACCATGTGTTGTAAACATGCTGTGAGGGTCAGTGGTCACCATGTGTTGTAAACATGCTGTGAGGGTCGGTGGTCACCATGTGTTGTAAACATGCTGTGAGGGTTGGTGGTCACCATGTGTTGTAAACATGCTGTGAAGGTTGGTGGTCACCATGTGTTGTAAACATGCTGTGAGGGTTGGTGGTCACCATGTGTTGTAAACATGCTGTGAGGGTTGGTGGTCACCATGTGTTGTAAACATGCTGTGAGGGTTGGTGGTCACCATGTGTTGTAAACATGCTGTGAGGGTCAGTGGTCACCATGTGTTGTAAACATGCTGTGAGGGTTGGTGGTCACCATGTGTTGTAAACATGCTGTGAGGGTCAGTGGTCACCATGTGTTGTAAACATGCTGTGAGGGTTGGTGGTCACCATGTGTTGTAAACATGCTGTGAGGGTTGGTGGTCACCATGTGTTGTAAACATGCTGTGAAGGTCAGTGGTCACCATGTTTTGTAAATGTGCCCTGAGGGTCAGTGGTCACCATGTGTTGTAAACATGCTGTGAGGGTCAGTGGTCACCATGTGTTGTAAACATGCTGTGAGGGTTGGTGGTCACCATGTGTTGTAAACATGCTGTGAGGGTCAGTGGTCACCATGTGTTGTAAACATGCTGTGAGGGTTGGTGGTCACCATGTGTTGTAAGACCCCCCTAGACTTTTCCTCTTTTTTTTCGGGAAAAACTGCTCACATCCCTGCACCCTGTATGGGTTCTTGTGCACATTGTTTGTTTGTGATGTTATCAAGCACTGCTTCACGTGTCCATGGATGAGTTACAGGCTGTTAGTGAGGGTCGGCATTCACCCTGTATGGGTTCTTGTGCACGTTGTTTTGTGATGTTATCAAGCACTGCTTCGCGTGTCCATGGATGAGTTACAGGCTGTTAGTGAGGGTCGGCGTTCACCCTGTATGGGTTCTTGTGCACGTTGTTTGTTTGTGATGTTATCAAGCACTGCTTCGCTTGTCCATGGATGAGTTACAGGCTTTCAGTGAGGGTCGGCGTTCACCCTGTATGGGTTCTTGTGCCTGTTGTTTGTTTGTGATGTTATCAAGCACTGCTTCACGTGTCCATGGATGAGTTACAGGCTGTTAGTGAGGGTCAGCGTTCACCCTGTATGGGTTCTTGTGCACATTGTTTGTTTGTGATGTTATCAAGCACTGCTTCACGTGTCCATGAATGAGTTACAGGCTGTTAGTGAGGGTCGGCGTTCACCCTGAATGGGTTCTTGTGCCTGTTGTTTGTTTGTGATGTTATCAAGCACTGCTTCTCATGTCCATGGATGAGTTAGATGATGCCATGATTGAGGTGTACATTGCTGACTGCAGTTGAAATAAAACAAAAGTATGTATTAACTAATTTCTCTGTGTGTAGGACATAGTATTATATATGATGAACATATTGTGTTCTTGTATTTCAGTCTGACGATGCCTGTAACCCAGAGAGGATGTACGATTTGGTAGCTGTAGTGGTGCATTGTGGGAGTGGCCCGAACAGGGGACACTACATCAGTATCGTTAAAAGTCATGGGTTCTGGCTGCTATTTGATGATGACATTGTTGATGTGAGTAAAATAGGACATGCACCACACACTGGAAATGACCCAGTAAATGACCAAACATTCATGCTTCCTGTGATTGACATCCAGCTAATGTACCCAGATGCCTAAACAGTATGTTAACAAAATCTTAAATAATGCCTCTAACCTTAATTTGGATGAAAATGTAAATAATAATTTTTTGTGGCCTGAGACATTTGGTTTCATATTAATAGGTGATTGTACCCTCTGTTCATGAGTAACATTTTATCAATATTTCTGTTAATTTCTCTAGAAAATTGATGCCAGTCAGATTGAAGAATTTTATGGAATTCCATCAGACATGCAGAAAAACTCTGAGTCCGGCTACATATTGTTCTACCAGTCCCGAGAGTGATTTTCGGGGATGAAGATTTCCCGGATGTCCAGTATGAAGCACAAACTTGAGCAGTACAGTAGCTGCAAGAAACTTGACAGATATGTGGGGTGTGTTTGGTGCCCTCCCAGGCAGCGAGGGACTTGGCTGTCATTACTGTGTCAGGTGCCTACTGGGTGTACAGGACTTGTCCATCATTATGTACTGCTATGTATCAGCACCTTTCAGACAGGGTCGCTGTATGACCTTGAACCTCCCAGCCAAGGTCATCTGTCACAACCACAGAGAAAACCAGCAGTTTTAGTCCAGGCAAATATTTAATCAGTGTCCAAAACTTTCAAAGTCTGCAACAAGTAACACTGAGATTCTGTTCCAGCTCCAGGTGTTCCTTGTTACGGCTGGCTTGTCTCACGATGGCGGTGTTGAAGTTAGAGATTTAGAAGGTGCCATGGTGCAGATAATAAGGGAGCACACCCATCTAAGGACTCCCCAATACTCCAGCACTGGGACTGCCAATATGGCTACAACTCTTCCATAGTCAAAAGCCTACACTGATAATTAAGTTAAACGTACAGTTATTCATCACTCATACATGAAAGGCACATTGTTGATGCCCGGGACTATAATAAAGTTGGGGGAGAGTTATCTCCCTTTGAGAAACGTTACAGTAGCTTTATCCTCGGGAACATGTTCATGTAGAGAGGATTTTCATAAATGTCATGTTCATGTTGTTTGCATGTTACATTTGAAGCAGCTGCACTTATGCTACTTGATGTGCTTGTCAGCTGCGCACAGTGCGTGTTAGGTGTTAATCATGTCAGACTCCAAGACGCCACAGAGCGTCTTGGTAAAATGTAACCGTTTATGTATTATGGTAAGGTTTAAAACGGACTGGCTTGGACATGTCTGAACACTTGTTGTTTCAGATGTAAGGTACAGCTGAAGGTGAGCGTGGTATTTTCCTGTGTTTAACAGTCACTGTCATTGGTGGGCAGGGCTGGTGGAATTGGAACACTAATACTTGTTTAAAGCCTTAGCAGACATTGAATATTCATTCCCTCAAAACGGTGAAAATCTTTTCTTGATTACTATATTTTTTTATACTGAGTGAGTACGCTACTGTAAGTTTGAGTATCTGCACGCAGCAGTGCTAACTCTGGCTTGTCACTGAGTCCCAGCACAGTGATGGAGCAAGTTATTGTTGCTGTGTGCGTGTACAGGCTGCATGCTGTTGTTTATGTGGAAGTGTACGTAGGTTAGACAGTGCACCCAGGCGGGGAAACTCCCATCTTCCTGAGGCAGGGGCGTTACCTGACTAAGTCCAGTTTCCACCCTTGCCGAACTATGCTGGAATTATGGAGTTATATTTTGGCTGGTCTTACGAGTCTTTACATAATCCATTCAAACTCGCGTAAGAAAATCGACATCCGATTAGTAAACTGCCATGCACATTTCAGTTGATTGCAGGATTTGCAAAGCATGTGTACTGCTGACTGAGCACCAACAGATATTTTCCAAATCCTTTCATGTTTTTAATCATCGTGCTCACGTGATTTGATGCACTTCGCAAGACCCATTTTATCACAATATAGATTTTGATTATTGATTAGATTGTCTTGTCTGGGCCAGCCATTTTGTACGAAGCAAATGCAAGTGATATGAGAGATGGAATCTGATTGGTCAGAAGGAGGGACATAGAAGGGACATAACTCATAATAGCCACTGGCGGTGCTACGATTGAGCCCAGAAGTTCAGCAAGTTTTACAGTCGGTTATCTCCCTTACCTCGTTGAGATGGAAAACCCCAAAATGAGATTCACCTTGAGTAAAGATGGATATAAGTATTGGTTACCATGGTTACCTCTCTCAAGAAGGAAGCACCTGTTATGTTGTTATTGTGAATGTTGAGTCTCTGTGATGTTGTTAGTGCGGGGTTTTAACAAGTTATAAAATAATGTGATAAGGAAATGACTAGGAGGTCTGGGAAGTTGAGTTTCCATGTCTGTCAACTATAGGAGTCCTTGTGTCCTCCAGTTGAACATGTACATAACGTGTGGTGCAGCTTGCCCATCCAGGTGGGTGTCTGGATGGGGTTGAGGTGGGTGTCTGGGTGGGGTTGAGGTGGGTGTCTGGGTGGGGTTGAGGTGGGTGTCAGAATGGGGTTGAGGTTGGTGTCTGGGTGGGGTTGAGGTGGGTGTCTGGGTGGGGTTGAGGTTGATGTGGGTGTCTGGATGGGGTTGAGGTGGGTGTCAGGATGGGGTTGAGGTGGGTGTCTGGTTTGGGTTGAGGTGGGTGTCTGGGTGGGGTTGAGGTTGGTGTCTGGGTGGGGTTGAGGTGGGTGTCTGGATGAGGTTGAGGTGGATGCCTGGGTGGGGTTGAGGTGGGTGTCTGGATGAGGTTGAGGTTGGTGTCTGGGTGGGGTTGAGGTGGGTGTCTGGGTGGGGTTGAGGTGGATGCCTGGGTGGGGTTGAGGTGGATGCCTGGGTGGGGTTGAGGTGGGTGTCTGGATGAGGTTGAGGTTGGTGTCTGGGTGGGGTTGAGGTGGATGCCTGGGTGGGGTTGAGGTGGGTGTCTGGGTGGGGTTGAGGTTGGTGTCTGGGTGGGGTTGAGGTGGGTGTCTGGGTGGGGTTGAGGTTGGTGTCTGGATGGGGTTGAGGTGGGTGTCTGGGTTGGGTTGAGGTGGGTGTCTGGGTTGGGTTGAGGTTGGTGTCTGGATGGGGTTGAGGTTGGTGTCTGTCCAGCTGTGTCGCTGTAGTCTCCTACTGCCATACAAGCCTATCTCCGACTCTGTGGCAGGGCAACTGACAACCTTCAGCCTTATAGCTACTCCCAGTGATCTATGCTGAAGTATTATGTGATGTTGTTGATAAGGGTTGACTTTCGGTTTGTTCATTAATTGTTTGTGTGAAGACAAGAGCCAACGCTATGCGAGTATCCCCATGACAAGGAACACCACCCAATCTGCTGCATGTTGTGTACATGGATCTTCTTCACGGGTGTAGATCCCCTGGACTGTTTTGTCAATGGTTGTGCCATATTGGTAGGAAGTATCGCTGTACAGAGAGCCAGTATCTATATGGAATTATTGCCTCCAGGATGAGTCTGATGGGTGTGAGTGGTACGATTGTCAGATGAGCTGCAATCTCATTTAAATCAGACCTTAGTTCTCGCTACCGCTAAAGATCTAAGGACATTCCAGTAGGGGTCACGTCAGAACGACTTTTCATCCGACCAATCAGAGTGTCGCTTACCAGATCGTGAATGTGACAGTCGGAATGTGATTTCTAATCATGCATTTTCGAAACTTTAACATGGGTATTCCGAATGATAGTTACGGGTTTAACGACTGAATCCATACAATCTAGACCATTTATTACCCATTCCAGAAGGTTCTTTTGTTCAGGTTTCAAATGTTTAATCAAGAATTTGTCAAAATATGTTTCGAAGCGTAGTCGCCAATTTGAAATTAGTGCCATAAAGCACGAAAAAGCTGCCTTCTGATTGGTCATTGGATGGGTTGGTCAAAGTTCGCGCAAGGTCGCCCTGACGTGACCCATAATAAGATGTCCTCAGATCTTTGTTTAGCGATAGCGAGGACTGAGATCTGATTTTAATGAGATTGGATGAGCTGCAGAAACAGAGTATAGCTCACCCTGTCTGGCGGAGTGTCATACTGGCTGTGGCTGCTTTACCAGGGACCACCATAGCAAACACTAGGATCACATGTTATAACATCTTGTCAGGATCATTAACCTAGCACAAATAATCATATTCTAATGTGATAACATTTCCTTAAAATTTGCGAGGACTGATTCACATTTGATTGTTACCATGGTTACCATGTTTTAGAGATTGCATATGTTGTGTGTGGGAGGTCTGGGACATGTTGATCTGTTGCATGGACTGTCTCCATGTAAGTTCATACACAATATTTATCATAATATATTTAGGAGAACGCAAGAGTAATGTGAGTGACATGTCGATGCGATGTTGTGTTACTGAGTCTAACTTAGATCTGTGTACGCTGATCAAATCTTTCTTAGATCCGTGTTCATCGGGTGAGTTTTACTTAGATCTGTGTACACTGAGAGAGTCTGACTTAGACCTGTTTCACACCGAGTGAATCTTGCTCAGATCTGTGTACGCCAATCAAGTCTTACTTAGATTCATGTACATCGAGTGTGTGACACTTAGATCTGCGTACACTGAGAGAGTCTGACTTAGACCTGTTTCACACCGAGTGAATCTTGCTCAGATCTGTGTACACCAATCAAGTCTTACTTAGATCCATGTACATTGAGTAAGTTTCACTTAGATCTGTGTACACTGAGAGGGTCTGACTAAGATCTGTTTCACTTTGTGTGAGTCTTGCTTAGATTTTTGAGTGAATGAGTGAGTGAGTGAATGATGTGCTTTGTTTGTTTGCCTTGAACCTATCAGTTCATCTGTTTTTTAGGTGATTCCATATTTTTAGATTTGCCTAAATGAGTGTTGAGTTTTGTACCAGTGTATTTTGTTTCGTATGCACATATTTATTGTCAGTCACTACAGCACCAAGTGTCATTTCCATCTGACCAAACTTGTATTATTTGTAGGGCATTGATTTCTGAAGAACATTTAGTGATTTAACATGATGTAGAGAACCAGAAAGTGTGCAGGGGATTCACAGTCAGGGATAAGCAACATGATTGTCAATACAGAAAGCCTGGAGTGAAACAGAACCTGCCATCACCTCAAGCCATGAAGTGAGACAGGTGACATCGCCATCAGATCATGGCATGAAGTAAGACAGGTGACATTGCCATCAGATCATGACATGAAGTAAGACAGGTGACATCGCCATCAGATCATGGCATGAAGTAAGACAGGTGACATCGCCATCACCTCAAGCCATGAAGTAAGACAGGTGACATCGCCATCAGATCATGGCATGAAGTGAGACAGGTGACATCGCCATCAGATCATGGCATGAAGTGAGACAGGTGACATCGCCATCAGATCATGAAGTAAGACAGGTGACATCGCCATCAGATCATGAAGTAAGACAGGTGACATCGCCATCAGATCATGGCATGAAGTAAGACAGGTGACATCGCCATCAGATCATGACATGAAGTAAGACAGGTGACATCGCCATCAGATCATGAAGTAAGACAGGTGACATCGCCATCAGATCATGGCATGATGTAAGACAGGTGACATCGCCATCAGATCATGGCATGAAGTAAAACAGGTGACATTGCCATCAGATCATGGCATGAAGTAAGACAGGTGACATCGCCATCAGATCATGGCATGAAGTGAGACAGGTGACATCGCCATCAGATCATGAAGTAAGACAGGTGACATCGCCATCAGATCATGGTATGAAGTAAGACAGGTGACATTGCCATCAGATCATGGCATGAAGTAAGACAGGTGACATCGCCATCACCTCAAGCCATGAAGTGAGACAGGTGACATCGCCATCAGATCATGGCATGAAGTAAGACAGGTGACATCGCCATCAGATCATGGCATGAAGTAAGACAGGTGACATCGCCATCACCTCAAGCCATGAAGTGAGACAGGTGACATCGCCATCAGATCATGGCATGAAGTAAGACAGGTGACATCGCCATCAGATCATGGCATGAAGTAAGACAGGTGACATCGCCATCAGATCATGGCATGAAGTAAGACAGGTGACATCGCCATCAGATCATGACATGAAGTAAGACAGGTGACATCGCCATCAGATCATGAAGTAAGACAGGTGACATCGCCATCAGATCATGGCATGATGTAAGACAGGTGACATCGCCATCAGATCATGGCATGAAGTAAAACAGGTGACATTGCCATCAGATCATGGCATGAAGTAAGACAGGTGACATCGCCATCAGATCATGGCATGAAGTGAGACAGGTGACATCGCCATCAGATCATGAAGTAAGACAGGTGACATCGCCATCAGATCATGGTATGAAGTAAGACAGGTGACATTGCCATCAGATCATGGCATGAAGTAAGACAGGTGACATCGCCATCAGATCATGGCATGAAGTGAGACAGGTGACATCGCCATCAGATCATGAAGTAAGACAGGTGACATCGCCATCAGATCATGGCATGAAGTAAGACAGGTGACATTGCCATCAGATCAAGGCATGAAGTAAGACAGGTGACATCGCCATCAGATCATGAAATAAGACAGGTGGCATCGCCATCAGATCATGAAGTGAGACAGGTGACATCGCCATCAGATCATGGCATGAAGTAAGACAGGTGACATCCCCATCAGATCATGAAGTAAGACAGGTGACATCGCCATCAGATCATGAAGTGAGACAGGTGACATCGCCATCAGATCATGGCATGAAGTAAGACCGGTGACATCGCCATCAGATCATGACATGAAGTAAGACAGGTGACATCGCCATCAGACCATGGCATGAAGTAAGACAGGTGACATCGCCATCAGATCATGGCATGAAGTAAGACAGGTGACATCGCCATCAGATCATGAAGTAAGACAGGTGACATCGCCATCAGATCATGGCATGAAGTAAGACAGGTGTCATCGCCATCAGATCATGGCATGAAGTAAGACAGGTGACATCGCCATCAGATCATGACATGAAGTAAGACAGGTGACATCGCCATCAGATCATGAAGTAAGACAGGTGTCATCGCCATCAGATCATGGCATGAAGTAAGACAGGTGACATCGCCATCAGATCATGGCATGAAGTAAGACAGGTGACATCGCCATCAGATCATGGCATGAAGTAAGACAGGTGACATCGCCATCAGATCATGAAGTAAGACAGGTGACATCGCCATCAGATCATGGCATGAAGTAAGACAGGTGACATCGCCATCAGATCATGAAGTAAGACAGGTGACATTGCCATCAGATCATGGCATGAAGTAAGACAGGTGACATCGCCATCAGATCATGGCATGAAGTAAGACAGGTGACATCGCCATCAGATCATGAAGTGAGACAGGTGACATCGCCATCAGATCATGAAGTAAGACAGGTGACATCGCCATCAGATCATGGCATGAAGTAAGACCGGTGACATCGCCATCAGATCATGACATGAAGTAAGACAGGTGACATCGCCATCAGATCATGGCATGAAGTAAGACAGGTGACATCGCCATCAGATCATGAAGTAAGACAGGTGTCATCGCCATCAGATCATGGCATGAAGTAAGACAGGTGACATCGCCATCAGATCATGGCATGAAGTAAGACAGGTGACATCGCCATCAGATCATGGCATGATGTTGAATATCCAGGACAGACCTCTTGAGGTACTCGTGTACTTGGATGCACAGAGGAAGTCCTGCCGAGTCCAATGTACTGTTGTCCATATAAACTATGAAGAGATGTCCTTTGTTATTGCCTTGTTGTCACTGTCCAGACTTGGCTGATGACTGAAACAAGTATGGAATACAGTTTCTTGAATGTTGCTCCAATGTAACAGAGGTAGTGTTTCAGGTGAGTTTTCAGTCTGAATGAACCAATTGGTTTGTCGTTACAAGTAGTTTTAACAATAACATGTTTTTATGTTCATGGTTTGTACCACTGCAGTGAATAAGCTGTGCAACAAATAACAGCTTATTGCAATCTTCAAACTTGTTCAGAGATTGAGTGTGTGGACAGTGATCCTCCAGAAGCTATTTCCTATTCGACTATTTCAAGACCTGATCATGTATTGATATATGAGACTGTGAATCTGCTTTTATAACTACAGTAAACTACAGTTATAATGAACACAAAGAAACCACTAATTTTAGTTTGTTATAACCGTAGTCTGTATATATTCATATATACAGCATACAGTATGCATATATACAGCATACCAACAGCAAATGGACGGGACCCAGAAAAGGTTTGTTGTAAGCGTGTTCGTTATAAATGTAGTTTACTGTACATATATCACTAAAAATGTCAAGGATAGTGCCATGCTAATCCCCTCATGTTAAGATTGTTTTTAAGTACTGTTCAACTTTTATGGAAATTGTCTGAGTGTCCAGATAATGACAATGTGATTGATTGCTGAAAGATGTTGTCATGCAAGTAGTATTCAATATTATCATGGAAGTGCCACATTTCCAGCTTTAATGAAGGTAATCAGAAATGCATGTTTATTGTAGCTGTTAAAGGGCAAGTATACTGAAAAAAATTAGTTTGATTTTCCTAGATAAGTCAATTTCCAGGAGAGAAAACTTCAGAATATTCAGAGAAGGTATTTAGATGTCCATGTGAAAGTGCTGAAATGACTGACACACTCTGTAATCAGCTTCCAAAACAAAGCTAATTAGGGCGTGGCCCAAAGCTACAGATGCAGCGGTGCATGTTTTCATTGGCGTATATGTAGACTAGTTTGCTGTCTTTATCTATCTTGTGATTCTTAGCAGCTGTACATATACTGTTTCTGCTATTCCGTTAATCCTACAAAAATAATAATATTGCAAACATGGTTGAATGTGTGAAACGTCCCCTTTGATCCTGACATTTTGAATAATTTAAATAACAATTAACAATCTGTAAGTAGTATTTTATGACTAACATCCTGTTCAGGTAGCATAAACAACCTGCTGGCCTCGGTCCTGTTCCACACAATGAATGCCTGTCAGGGCAGGTTCATCCTCTGTGTAGGCAACCGAAGGATTCTTCAGTGTTCTTACTAATAAGTTGACACAAGGTGTTAACACATTGATCAGACAAATGACCAGACAGATTAAGCCCTGCATTGCGATTAAAGGTGGAAGCAGGCAAACTGGGCAGGAACCCGTTTTAACTATTTCCGTTTTTTCAAACTGAATTTTGGTCAAGATTTTTGTGATAAAGTCTGCCCTGAAGTATTAAGATCTTTAAAGTTGGTATGTTGAGTTTACTTGCCCCTTAATGCTTGGTGCTTTTATTTAATAGTGCAGTATTGCTTGAAAAGGTTGAGTTGTATGAGTTGTGTATAGGGTTGATACAGCAGTAGTCTGTGGGTGTCCTACAGGGGAACACCGATGCAGAACGCTGATGTGGATATTTCTTCTGAATGTATATTAATCTGTGTTGCCTAGAAGCGTGTTATTTATTCCAGTGTAGCCATCAGTGAAATGATGCTTATTTTGTACACCAATCTGAACAAACAATATTATGTACAGTGTAAATTTGTTAATAGTTCCACACAACATGAGTGTTTGCCCCTCCTGTGGTATCTCTATAAACACTCAGTAACCTGACTTGATGGTAACTATGTACTGACTTGACGGTAACCCAGTACTGACTTGATGGTTACCTAGTACTGACTTGATGGTAACTATGTACTGACTTGATGGTATTCTAGTACTGACTTGATGGTAACTATGTACTGACTTCACAGTAACCCAGTACTGACTTCACGGTATTCTAGTACTGACTTGATGGTATTCTAGTACTGACTTGATGGTAACTATGTACTGACTTGATGGTAACTATGTACTGACTTCACAGTAACCCAGTACTGACTTGATGGTAACTATGTACTGACTTCACGGTAACCCAGTACTGACTTGATGGTTACCTAGTACTGACTTCACGGTAACCCAGTACTGAATTGATGGTTACCCAGTATTGACTTGATGGTTACCTAGTACTTCCAGGCAGTAGGTCATACTGTTGAGCTCTTTGCATTTGCTTAACCCTATTTGTATTATTCATCATTTTCTTCTTTGTAAACTGCTTTTATTTCAAACCACTGACTGAATCCAAGAGATTGCAACACATCACATTAGTTTGTACCCAATTACATATTCATTGTCTTGTCATTTCTTGAAAAATTTCAGTCACCATTATGTGGGGTTATTCAGTGTCTATAAAATGTCTACAAATCAAGACATCTTTGTTCTTTGTTGAATTCTCAAAAGTGACTGAGTGTGTGAGTAAAGGGGCAGTGTCTTGCAACTGAGAGAGTGAGGGAGATAGAGAGAGGGAGAGGGAGGGTAGCATTCAAACATCAAAGTTTGGAAATACTCAGTTAATTTTCATAGTTTTTTCTGGTTCCATATAAACATTTACATTTTGACATTATTAGATGTGAGAGGTATGACTGCCTATACCAGTGTCCCCTCACAAGATGTGAGAGGTATGACTGCCTATACCAGTGTCCCCTATACTCCCTATGACTGTTTGTTGTTTAACGCTGCACTCAGCAATATTCCAGTTATATGACAGCGGTCTGTAAATAATCGAATCTGGCCAGACAATCTAGTGATTGATATGATGAACTTCGATCCATGCAACTTGGATATGATGCCTTCACTACAAAAAGATATTTCCCAAAATATTCATGATCCCTAATTTGTTTTGTTCATTATATTTATTACGTTTAGTTTAGATTCCCTTGTAGCAATACCCCAGTTAAATGTAGATTTTAAATTTCAAATAAATATTGCATACCATCACTGAATGCATAATTAATATTGGTACATTGATTGAAATTCCATTGTAACTAAAAAGGAACACCAGAATGACCACAAAAAAGAATATGTTCTTAAAATTTATTTTAAAGATCTTTTTCTTGTCAAAATGGGTTTTTTTTAATACAGAACTAATTACATAATATATACGCATTTCTTTAATTCTTACTTAAAAAATCACAGCTCTAACTGTAGCCCCCAAACAAAATACATACACAACATTCACAACATGGATGGTGCTCAACGACCTCCATTATTCCACCAACAGTCAACACCAAGGCACTATCAGCCACACCAACACCAGGTGTAGATGACTAACACAAACACCCAACACACACACACACCCAACACACACACACACCCAAATTCCTACGTCACATACTTAGAACAATGATTGTAGCAACAAAACAATGAACTTACATTCTTCACAAATACATGGTTCTAAATCTTGTATCTAAATCCTAGTGTACATTAATAATGAAAGCCCCATTTACCCGATCTGCCAGGAGAATCTTGTGCTGGTCTGTCCCTGGTGTCTTGAATGCACAAGCTGTTACCTGATAGATGCGCTCCAAATATCAGTGTCATTAAACAATATCATCCTTAAATATTCTCTTTCACTCACCACAAACAAAGGTTTAACATCAATGGATCTTCAATCATCATAACAGTTTCATTGAGTGAATTAATAGACAGCACATACACACACTCTCCCTGCAAGAAGTGACATACATATGTCATAGAGTCACCAGCTACGTCTAACTAGGATGTACACAAGTGTTCACAATTAAGGAAGCAGTGGGGTCTTGAGGGTTGCTCCCATAGCAACGTAGAGAATTCCAATCTGGGGACCCCAATGTATGGGGACCCCAACTTTGACAATCTCATTAAAATCAGATCTTAGTTCTCGCTAACGCTAAACAAAGATCTGAGGACATCCTATTACGGGTCATGTCAGAACGACCTTTCTCGAATTTTGACCGACCAATGGATTGATGACAAGAAATCGACATTAGCCAATCAGAAGGCAGCTTTCTCGAGCTTTACGACACTAGTTTCAAACTGGCGACTACGCTTTGAAACATATTTTTACGTATTCTCGATTAAAAAAATTAAAACTGATAAGAAGAACACTCTGGAATGGCTTATAGATGGCCTAGATTGTATGGATATAATCATAAAACCCGTAACTGTCGTTTCGGAATACCCCGTGTCAAATATTTCGTGGTTGCGTGATTAGAAAACACGTTCCGACTGTCACTTTCATGATCTGGTAAGAGACGCTCTGATTGGTCGGATGAAAGGTCGTTCTGACGTGACCCTTAATGGGATGTCCTCAGATCTTTGTTTAGCAGTAGCGAGTACAAAGATTTGATTTTAATGAGATTGGTAACTTTGAGAGTCGGTGTTGTGACACAAGACCTCGACATTCAGGACTTAATTGTGAACACTGGAACATATTCTCTACATTGTCTCGGAGATTTTGAAACACTAAAACAGAGCAACATCATATACACTGATATACAAGAGTGATGGATCAAGATGAAAGTGAATCTGATGGACCATGATACACAGACAGTAGCTCGCAGTGATATTTGTTGAAAATGAAAACTTTATTAACAGCTGTTTATTAATAGATTCCATGAACTTATTCCTAGCTCAGTGTAACTTATTCCTTACTCTACTGAACCTATTTCTACCTGAATGTAACTTATTCATAACTGAACATAACCTACTCTGAACTGAACCTATTTCTAACTGGCTTTAACATGTTCCTAACTGGCTTTAACATATTCCTAACTGGACATAACCTATTTCTAAATGGATTTAACATATTCCTAACTGGCTTTAACATATTCCTAACCGGACATAACATATTCCTAACTGGATGTAACCTACATGTATTTCTTAATGGATTTAACATATTCCTAACTGGACATAACATATTCCTAACTGGACGTAACCTACATGTATTTCTTAATGGATTTAACATATTCCTAACTGGACATAACCTACATGTATTTCTAAATGGATTTAATATATTCCTAACTGGACGTAACCTACATGTATTTCCAACTGGCTTTAACATATTCCTAACCGGACATAACATATTCCTAACTGGATGTAACCTACATGTATTTCTTAATGGATTTAACATATTCCTAACCGGACATAACATATTCCTAACTGGATGTAACCTACATGTATTTCTTAATGGATTTAACATATTCCTAACTGGACATAACATATTCCTAACTGGACGTAACCTACATGTATTTCTTAATGGATTTAACATATTCCTAACTGGACGTAACCTACATGTATTTCTAAATGGATTTAATATATTCCTAACTGGACGTAACCTACATGTATTTCTAAATGGATTTAATATAGTCCTAACTGGACGTAACATATTCCTAACTGGACGCAATCTACATGTATTTCTAAATGGATTTAATATATTCCTAACTGGACGTAACCTACATGTATTTCTAAATGGATTTAATATATTCCTAACTGGACGTTACCTATTCCTAACTGGACGTAACCTATTTCTAACTGGATTTAACATATTCCTCACTGGACGTAACATATTTATAACTGAACGTCACTTATTCGAAACTGAAACTCGTAGACCTGCTCAACTTGTTTCCTTGTTTTACAGGTTTAATGTTCCCTGTTTTCCTTAAAGGTTAACTTTCGAAACATAAAACCTCAAATATACAAAAACACAACATTTCAAAAATACAAATTCGAAACAAACCAAAGCATTTAAAAAAGAAATTTACTTCCACAAAAGTTACGTCTGACTCAAAACTAAACTGGTCAGCTGTTATCTGGGTGAGCAATTATCAACAAATAAACAGGAGAAACTGTGAAAAGTATGACCAAGGAGGGGAATGATGAAGTAATGAAGCAGTACAGAACAACTCCTCGCTTCCTACAGGTGTGAGCTGGTGGGAGTCGGGGCTAGAAGCGGCCTGCACTGTACTGGTCAGGGAAGGTAAAGGAATGGCTGCCGTCTCCCATCACCTTGGGCAGGGTCCCAGCATTGGGAATCACGTTCCAGGATAACGTCATGGTCACATTCTTGTTGCCCCTGGTGACGAAATGCATAAAATGAGTCCTAGCTAATCATGTGAGAACTGACTTTACAGCAAGGTCACGATATGATACGTATCACGATACATGGGAGACGACATGATACGTATCACGATACACATACTTACTATTGACGACCGCCACCATGGCCTAGTGAACAGAGCATCTGCCCAAAGAGCAGAAGGTTGAGGGTTCGATCTCTGGCTGTTTCATGCCAAAAGACGTTAAAAATGGTACTTGTTATCCTGCCTGGTGCTCAGCATCAAGGGGATACAACAAGGATTGGTCGGCTTGGAGTCAGTAAACTGAGTCTGAGTGAGGTATCCATGTTAAACTCACAGGAACTCGATGATAGCGTGTATAACATAATGTATTCGTATAGAAAAAAATCACACCCCTCTATATACATAGAGACGTCTCTATGTTATAGAGGGGTTTGATTTTTTTCTATACGAATATATTATGTTATACACGCTATCATCGAGTTCCTGTGGTTAAACTGGCATGGTATCTCAGTGGGCTAGCATTATAAAAGCAGCATTAGTCCAGACTGGTACCAGCAGCCACAGAAACACACATGTGCATGCACATCACTACATAAGAGCAACAATCTTGAACGAATGTTAAACCCATTCTTACCTCACCTTACCACTAACTATTAACACAATAGACCAGGACCCACTTGCACAAAGCGATCTTAGCGCTACAACTATTGTAAGCCTATGTTAAAGCATGGGAGTTACGATCACCTTAGCGCTACGATCGCTTTGTGGAACGGGGCCCTGGAGTTTGTGAGTTGGGCATATCCCTGCTGCTTTATGGCAAATTATTTTATAGTGTGTCACATAAGAGAGAGCACACAGTGATGCCGTAGACCTATGAGCGTTGTTAAGGTTCGGACAAACCAAAAATCAGGGTAGATTTGGGATTCAAACTGACGAACATTGGATGCCACACTCCAGATTTCAGTTGACAACTACAATTATCGAGCGATGACCAGTGATTGATACCATGAGCAACATCACATGCTGTTGTGGGTCAATGACAGGCAATCAATCATTATCAAGTCATTCTGTCACTTCTTACAACAAATATAGATTACTGTGGACTCATTCTAACCCAGAGGCCCATGGAGTGCTTAATGTGTAGATGAGACTTGGTTTAGCTGGGAAGGTGATGACAACTTACTTCAGCCCATTGCCATAGTCCCAGAAGTAGTATTTGGTGTTGGAACTCTTCAAGTCGATGATGGCGTTGTCTCCGCGCTGGATAATCTTGTCCCACAGCACGACCTGATTCAGCTTCTGCACACACAAAGATGACATTGTTTACACATCCTATACACAGGACCCCATGGTTTGTGTTGGCTTGGTTTTTTTAAAATGGCCCCACAACTTGTCAACTAGAGAGAACTCTGCAGAGTGAAACAAGCAGAAAAGTAATGAACAAAATTAACATTTTCAAAACTGATTAAATCTTAACATCACCAGCACTAGTTAAAGACTATCCTTCTAAACACCAACAAGATAAAGTGAGTGAGTGAGTATGGTTTTACGCCGCTTTTAGCAATATTCCAGCAATATCACGGCAGGGGACACCAGAAATGGGCTTCACACATTGTACCTATGTCGGGAATCGAACCCGTGTCTTCGGCATGACGAGCGAACGCTTTAACCACTAGGCTACCCGACCGCCCCAACAAGATAAAGTAAAATGATGCATGTGAAAGCGAGGACTGGAAATGAAACAACAGGGGATGGAAACTGAATACTGCCGTATCTATGGACGGCCATTTGGCTATGACTGCATATAGTTGACCTTTATTTCAATTGATGTGTGTTTTACTGAATGACCATACATTCGTATCATGTTTCAGGGTACAAGTGACATTAACACAGATCCAAAGATTAAGAATTTACCTTACGCTGTTTTGCGACTCACCACAACACCTGCTGGCCTTGCATACCATCCTACTTGACTGTGTAAGACTTTTAGATCCAGGAACCCTTGCAACGTGCCATGCCATTGTGCCAAATTTGTGTTATTATTCTTCAGTGTCTGCTATTCTGTGTTTAACTATTATGTATAAGTGGGTAGGATAGAATAAAGGTAGTTCATGTGTCCTATAACATACCCAAGTCATGACGTGCTTAACTGATTGGCCAAGCTAACCCTCTTAGTTAAACCCTTTGTCTCACTACATGTACTCAGTCTGCAAACACTCTCAGCATCCCCCAGATGAAATCCTTACCTTGTCTACTTGCATCCCACAGATGAAATCCTTACCTTGTCTGCTTGCATCTCACAGATGAAATCCTTACCTTGTCTACTTGCATCCCACAGATGAAATCCTTACCTTGTCGGCTTGCATCCCACAGATGAAATCCTTACCTTGTCTGCTTGCATCTCACAGATGAAATCCTTACCTTGTCTACTTGCATCCCACAGATGAAATCCTTACCTTGTCTACTTGCATCCCACAGATGAAATCCTTACCTTGTCTGCTTGCATCCGACAGATGAAATCCTTACCTTGTCTACTTGCATCCCACAGATGAAATCCTTACCTTGTCTGCTTGCATCCCACAGATGAAATCCTTACCTTGTCCGCTTGCATCCCACAGATGAAATCCTTACCTTGTCTACTTGCATCCCACAGATGAAATCCTTACCTTGTCTGCTTGCATCCCACAGATGAAATCCTTACCTTGTCTACTTGCATCCCACAGATGAAATCCTTACCTTGTCTGCTTGCATCCCACAGATGAAATCCTTACCTTGTCCGCTTGCATCCCACAGATGAAATCCTTACCTTGTCTACTTGCATCCCACAGATGAAATCCTTACCTTGTCTGCTTGCATCCCACAGATGAAATCCTTACCTTGTCTACTTGCATCCCACAGATGAAATCCTTACCTTTTCTGCTTGCATCCCACAGATGAAATCCTTACCTTGTCCGCTTGCATCCCACAGATGAACTCCTTACCTTGTCTGCTTGCATCCCACAGATGAAATCCTTACCTTATCTGCTTGCATCCCACAGATGAACTCCTTACCTTGTCTACTTGCATCCCACAGATGAACTCCTTACCTTGTCTACTTGCATCCCTACAGATGAACTCCTTACCTTGTCTACTTGCATCCCACAGATGAACTCCTTACCTTGTCTACTTGCATCCCTACAGATGAACTCCTTACCTCGTCTACTTGCATCCCACAGATGAACTCCTTACCTTGTCTACTCGCATCCCACAGATGAACTCCTTACCTTGTCTGCTTGCATCCCACAGATGAAATCTTTACCTTGTCTACTTGCATCCCACAGATGAAATCCTTACCTTGTCTACTTGCATCCCACAGATGAAATCCTTACCTTGTCTACTTGCATCCCACAGATGAACTCCTTACCTTATCTGCTTGCATCCCACAGATGAAATCTTTACCTCGTCTACTTGCTGACAGGGTGAACCACGTTGGTAATGTGGACAAATCCCATCCCAGGACTCAGACATCTTATAGCTACTACACCATCATTTTACTTCACTTACGTAATCTGGTGTTTGGTATTCAGCTGTGAGGTAGAGGAATAGCTGTTTGACATTCCAGTTGAACAGAGGCTGGAGATGTGAGACAGTTAAGGGCAAGTGATTACAATTCTTCAGTATGGACAATCTTAATAATAGCATAACTACTTTTCTTCTGAACACACAATGCCATTTAGAAAGTGGTCAAAAGTAACAAATGTTAATTTGGGATAACACTCTCTTGGTAAAGTACAGATTCTCGTACTTTTTTGGGTAGAGTCCTGTGCGGGATTCGAACCCACCACGCCAGAATTATGCACCTAATCGCCAGCACATAAAGTCAGCGATCTAACCCACTCAGTATGTGATCTAGACTACCAGTTGTCAGACTTTCATTTCGTGGAAGCCTCGGTAGCTGAGTGGGTTACATTGCTGACTTTGTGTGCTGGCGAGTACGTGCCTGACTCTAGCGGAATCCTGCACGGGACACAACCCAAAAAAGTATGAGAATCTCTCTTTACCAAGAGAGTGTTATCCAAAATATAACATTTGTTACTTTTCTTCTGATGGGGTCATTTCATATCTTGGTAGTTTTGTGGCCCAGTAATTTTGTATACCTTGCATCATTTTGCAACCTTGTAGTCTATTATCCCTTTGGTCATTATGTAACTAGGTTGCTCAGCATAAAGCCTTTACAAGGACAAGAATATTTGTTATCACCTGACAATGAAGGAACATCTTTAGAATACAGTACCACAACTTCTCGTGAGGACGATCTCTGCCGTAGGTGACATGTCTCAAAGACAAGCAACCTGTTTTTGAGAATCCGTAGGTTTGCGAACTCGAGGCCTTCGGATTGTTAGCCCGACAGCTAACCAACTGAGCTACATCCACACTGTGAAACAAAGTGCAAATGTACCTAGTCATGCCTATGACGTTACGGAACTGAACGAAAAGGGTCGAATAGCGGACGGACACTTACGAAGGTTACGAGTAGTCATGGTGTCTCGTTACTTTAGTCTACGGACATTTGAATGATCCCGATGCCATTTGGCACACTCGTCCCATTCCGTAATCTACATGATACCGAGTGGTGAGGAATGAGCAGATATGGCACGAACTGAAAACGGCTCCATGCGTCAGACGTTGAACTCGCGAGTACGCATGAATGAGGTGAGGTGAAATTGGGTTTAACGTTGCGTCCAAGATTATTGCACTTATATAGCGACGTGCATGCATGTGTGTGTGTGGCTGCTTGTACTAGTCCGGACTGATGCCGATTTATAGTGCTAGCTCACTGAGATACCATGCCACAGTTTAATATGAATACCCCACTCAGACACAGTATACTGACTCCGAGCCGACCAGTCCTTGTTTTAGCCCCTTAATGCCGAGCGGCAGACAGGGTAACAACAAGTTCCGCATTTTAACGTCTTTTGATATGATGCGGCCGGGGATCGAACCCCGGACCTTCCGCTCTCCGGGCGGATGCGTACGCATGAATGATATGGTATTTAATAATTCACTTTAATTCACACTGTAAGGATGATGTGGATAATAGTAAGGAACGAGGGAGGCATGAGCAACGGTGACGACACAACGGTGAGTTTGCTTTTGAATCAGTACTGAAAAAATGTAGCGGGTAAAAGTGGCTTGTGTGAATGTTCCAGGACAGTTTCCAGTAGCCAAAATAGTCCAAACAAAACCATTGCATCCTTTATACTTGACGTATTTGGGTGAAGAATATTAGAAGCCTCTATAGAATCTAAAAGGCCACTATACAAGTACCTAACCCTAATGATCGTAAAGGGGATCCAAGGGCTAAGGATAGAGTTCAGGGTAATCTAATAGCCACTAAACGGGAACCTAACCCTAATGATCGTATAAAGGGGTGATTGATCGTAAAGGGGATCCAAGGGCTAAGGATAGAGTTCGGGGTAACCTACCCTAACACTGGTGACATTTGGATGTGTTCAGCCAAATCCCTAATAAACTGCATTCTTGTGCATAATAATGAAAATTAATGAACCGGAAAAATAACATAGGTACATTAGTTCCCATTTATAACCATTTTAATTTTTAGCTACTTGAATTACGAGAAATACGAATAAAAACATATATAAAAAATAAAACAGCTTTCATAATCTAGCGCTTGTTCTAAAATGCGCCGCTGCAGGCTATATTTAGTAAACAAATATTCAAAACTCTCAACACCGCTGGGGGTATTCAATGACATTGCGTGTAGAGATGATAGATCACTGGGAGGAGCTTATGCACACTCAATGACTCCTGATGTCACAGGGCATTGTTTCGCCGGTGTGACTGGCAACAAAATACTACAAATTACTTCATAGGGTATTGTCATGTGTTTGAAAAGTTTGTGGTACTGTATTCTAAAGGTAGGCCACAATGAATGTTGACTTGGCTATTAAGTAGAAATTACCAAGTGGTTCACATAAACATCACAATAGTAACGTTAAACATATGCCAAAAAAGAAACAGTGCCTATCATATGTGGAAATATTGAACTTGGCTCCAATCTTATTAATACCATATGTTACGAAAAACTACTGAGATGGATTCCACAGTCTTTTACATATGCTAGCGTTAAAATTAATCCTATAAATTAGCACACACACACACACCAACACACATCACTCATAAGGTTGTTTTCCAACTTGTTTTTTCATGCATCGTCACAAAATGTTAGGTACAGTATATTTTTTCGTGTAAAGACTTTCAACGGCAAAAGCGCAAAAGGATATCAGCTTGCAGGTCGAAGGTAACGAATCCAAGATCACTCTTTTCCCTATCGGCTGAGTAGTCGGGGACGTTCTTGCTGAAAGTAAAGAAAACGAATTTGATGGACATTGGTCTAATAAAAGAAATCAATGAAATAATCTGAAAAACTCTACAAATTTATACATTATGACCAATGCTTAAAAGACACGTCAGTGTGCCGGCTGGGCAAAGCATATGGTAACAGGCTGCACTCACACGGACACTTTTCCTGCAGATACGGTCAGCGGTTGTTTATGGAGATTAAACGCTGTTGTGAGAAAACAACAAAATGTCAAAGCTGCCATTACACTAAGTGTAAAGGCAAATATGGTGTTCAATCTTGACAGAAATGTGTTCATTTTCGCCGACAACTTCCAGACAAAACTATGAAACCGGAAACAGGACCGAGTTCTTTCCCTTTGGTAATACTATCAATAAACTCCTTGCAGCGACGCCTTGGTGTGTAGTGAATATGATATGACGGCGCTGTAGAGGAGTTACATATTGGATTTACAAACCACGTGATAATCACGAGGTCGTAATCAAAATGGCGACGAATAATACCGTGTTTTTACTATTTTGTTGGATTTCATTTGCTGTGGCGTGGTCTCCTCGGTTGTTGTCACCGCGTCGCGATAACACGAACACTTCATTACCCAACGAATATTCTTATGAAACATTCTATTTGGATCAACAAGTATGTATATCAATGCATGCGTCTGGCATTTAGCTTCCTGTACAGAACACTTCCAGGTTCGGCACACCCCGTAAATGGGCAAAGTCAGTCCAACTAATCGAATATCTCCCAACTGGGCGAACGAAATCACGTCATGACTGCAACGACCAATAACGAGTTCCTGTGCTACAGTTTATGCGTTAATAGTGCTGAACTCTGTTGGTATCCCCTAGTCGACCAAGCGGCGTTACGGTTAGTTAGGGCACAGGACCATATGTAACTAATTATAACAATAAAAAAATTAAAAAGTCGCAAAAAAATCTGACGTGACCCGTAATGGGCTGTCCTCAGATCTTTGTTTAGCGGTAGCGAGAACTAAGATCTGATTTTAATGAGATTGATTCGAGATATTGCATGTTTTTCTCCTAGATTTTTTTCCACCTATTTCTCTTTAGCTTTCTAAACATGTTTGTAACAAAATAAGGTTCAAATGTCATAAGAAAATATCTTCCAAAATCAGGAGAGCTACAGAGCTGCGTGGCTCTAGTCCCGTGTGTGGTGAATGATTGTGGTTTGCATGATTCACGCCACAACATTAAAAGCCACAACATAATGATGTACTATGCAGAATGATGATTATCTAGAACTATTAAGCATCTTCTCCACCGCTCAGGCTTCTGTTTAATGGTACTATTCAACTGACACTGCAGCTGCTTATGGAGGTCTGAACATCGCCTGATATTAAATAAATGTAACACCACGTTTTGTGAACAAATAACAGGATACTATATGACCCAGGAATACAAAACTACCCGGTTACGAACTGACACGTGAGATGCACACCTACAGGGTGATGAAGCCCCCATGATCCCATGTGCTGGTCAACCCTTGATTACAAACTGACTCTTGTTCCAGGTGGATCACTTTGGCTTCAACAACGGGGACACATTCAAGCAGCGCTATCTCATAGCTTCTCAGTTCTGGAACCATCATGGCGGACCAATTTTCTTCTACACTGGCAACGAAGGGGACATCACCTGGTTCTGTAACAACACTGTAAGCTTGCATCACCAGCGGTAGAAACTAACTGTTTTACTCTACTTGTCCTAATAATGATAACATATAGTAAAACCCCTAAAAATGGCAAATATCTACTAGTCCTTACATGATACCTTAACGGGTGCAGGCTAAAACGGCACCTCAGCAAAACGTCACCGATTTCTCTGGCGAAACAGCACCGCATTTGGCGAAAACGGCTACTATGTGTCGGGCGAAAACGGCACCTCTATTTTTAATAGCGATAAGAATGATTTTGTAGTAATATATAGGGTCCACTGGGTCCACTGGTCACAGTTATCACATGATACAGCATTTTGATTTCTTCTGACATTCTTCTCGCATGCTACACATCGAAAGGCCATATAAATAATTGTGATCTGACAGCATCATGTTTGGCCTCTTAAATACAGTTTCAGCTTAAATTGAGTAAAGGTACTTAAAACTTCAATGCGTATAGTGATTTCACAATAAGTTAACTACGCCTCCCAATCGGAGTCGGTGAGTAAATTGGAGTAGGGGGCTAATTTCTTATTTGTGTTATTTCACAATTAGTTGTGTTTGTAAGAGACAATGTGAGTTTAATTTCTATTATTTTTCTTCAAAGCATGTTATGTTTTCTCAATAAGTTGAGTTGCGTATAAGCTAAGTTGGATTATAGTTGGAGTAGAGGCTAATTTCTAATGTAAACTTGTTTTAGCATCTCACAATTATTGGTGCTTGCAAGTTACAATGTAAGTTTAATATCATTTATTTGACCAAGGTAAAACAAAAAAATAAGGTGCCGTTTTCGCTCGACTCGAGGTGCCGTTTTTGCTCGAGTCGAGTTGCCGTTTTCGCCAATCGGTGCCGTTTTCTCCCGGTGACGTTTTGCTGAGTTGCCGTTTTCGCTATAACCCTACCTTAACTATTCGGCAGTTTGGCAGGGACTATAGGACTAGTGCCAATTTCTAACACAGATCACATACACAGAGCATCCATTCATCACATACACAAAGCCTCTATTCCTCCCACACACACAGCTTCCATTCCTCACACACACACACAGCCTCCATTCCTCACACACACAGCCTCAATTCCTCACACACACAGCCTCCATTCCTCACACACACAGCCTCCATTCCTCACACACACACAGCCTCCATTCCTCACATACACAGCCTCCATTCCTCACACACACAGCCTCCATTCTTCACACACACAGCCTCCATTCCTTACATACACAGCCTCCATTCCTCACACACACAGCCTCCATTCTTCATACTCACACACAGCCTCCATTCCTCACACACACAGCCTCCATTCATCACACACACAGCCTCCATTCCTCACACACACACAGCCTCCATTCCTCACATACACACAGCCTCCATTCCTCACACACACATCCTCCATTCCTCACATACACACAGCCTCCATTCCTCACACACACAGCCTCCATTCTTCACATACACACAGCCTCCATTCCTCACACAAACAGCTTCCATTCTTCATACTCACACACAGCCTCCATTCCTCACACACACAGCCTCCATTCTTCACATACACACAGCCTCCATTCCTCACACACACACAGCCTCCATTCCTCACACACACACAACCTCCATTACTCACACACACAGCCTCCATTCCTCACACATACACAACCTCCATTCCTAACATACACACCACTTCCATTCCTCACATACACACAGCCTCCATTCTTCACATACACACAGCCTCCATTCCTCACATACACACAGCCTTCATTCCTCACACACACAGCCTCCATTCCTCACACACACACAGCCTCCATTCCTCACACACACACAACCTCCATTCATCACACACACAGCCTCCATTCCTCACATACACACCACTTCCATTCCTCACATACACACAGCCTCCATTCCTCACACACACAGCCTCCATTCTTCATACTCACACACAGCCTCCATTCCTCACATACACAGCCTCCATTCCTCACACACACAGCCTCCATTCCTCACACACACAACCTCCATTCCTCTCACACACAGCCTCCATTCCTCACATACACACATCCTTCATTCCTCACACACACAGCCTCCATTCCTCACACACACAGCCTCCATTCCTCACACACACAGCCTCCATTCCTCACATACACAACCTCCATTACTCACACACACAGCCTCCATTCCTCACATACACAACCTCCATTCTTCACATACACACAGCCTTCATTCCTCACACACACAGCCTCCATTCCTCACATACACACAGCCTCCATTCCTCACTCACACAGCCTCCATTCCTCACACATACACAACCTCCATTCCTCACATACACACCACTTCCATTCCTCACATACACACAGCCTCCATTCCTCACACACACAGCCTCCATTCTTCATACTCACACACAGCCTCCATTCCTCACACACAGCCTCCATTCCTCACACACACAGCCTCCATTCCTCACATACACACAGCCTCCATTCCTCACATACACAGCCTCCATTCCTCACACACACAGCCTCCATTCCTCACACACACACAGCCTCCATTCCTCACATACACACAGCCTCCATTCCTCACACACACACAGCCTCCATTCCTCACACACAGCCTCCATTCCTCACATACACAGCCTCCAGTCCTCACACACAGCCTCCATTCCTCACACATACACAGCCTCCATTCCTCACATACACACAGCCTCCATTCCTCACATACACACAGCCTCCATTCCTCACACATACACAGCCTCCATTCCTCACACACAGCCTCCATTCCTCACATACACAGCCTCCATTCCTTACACACACAGCCTCCATTCCTCACACACACAGCCTCCATTCCTCACACACACAGCCTCCATTCCTCACATACACACAGCCTCCATTCCTCACACATACACAGCCTCCATTCCTCACACATACACAGCCTCCATTCCTCACATACACAGCCTCCATTCCTCACATACACACAGCCTCCATTCCTCACACACACAGCCTCCATTCCTCACATACAGCCTCCATTCCTCACATACACAGCCTCCATTCCTCACATACACACAGCCTCCATTCCTCACAAACACACAGCCTCCATTTCTCACACACACAGCCTCCATTCCTCACACACAGCCTCCATTCCTCAAACACACAACCTCTATTCCTCACATACACAGCCTCCATTCCTCACACACACACAGCCTCCATTCCTCACACACACAGCCTCCATTCTTCACACACACAACCTCCATTCCTCACATACACAGCCTCCATTCCTCACATACACACATCCTCCATTCCTCACACACACACAGCCTCCATTCCTCACACACACACAACCTCCATCCTCACACACACAGCCTCCATTCCTCACACACACAGCCTCCATTCCTCACACGCACACAGCCTCCATTCCTCACACACACAGCCTCCATTCCTCACACACACAGCCTCCATTCTTCACACACACAGCCTCCATTCCTTACACACACAGCCTCCATTCCTCACACACACAGCCTCCATTCTTCACACACACAGCCTCCATTCCTCACACACACACAGCCTCCATTCCTCACACACACAGCCTCCATTCTTCACATACACAACCTCCATTCCTCACACACACACAACCTCCATTCCTCACACACACACAACCTCCATTCCTCACACACACAGCCTCCATTCCTCACACACAGCCTCCATTCCTCACACACAGCCTCCATTCCTCACACACACACACAGCCTCCATTCCTCACACACACACAGCCTTCATTCCTCACACACACACAGCCTCCATTCCTCACATACACACAGCTTCCATTCCTCACACATACACAGCCTCCATTCTTCACACACACAACCTCCATTCCTCACATACACAGCCTCCATTCCTCACATACACACAGCCTCCATTCCTCACACACACAGCCTCCATTCCTCACACACACAACCTCCATCCTCACATACACACAGCCTCCATTCATCACACACACAGCCTCCATTCTTCACACACACAGCCTCCATTCCTCACATACACAGCCTCCATTCCTCACATACACAGCCTCCATTCTTCACACACACAGCCTCCATTCCTCACACACACACAGCCTCCATTCCTCACACACACAGCCTCCATTCTTCACATACACAACATCCATTCCTCACACACACAGCCTCCATTCTTCACACACACAGCCTCCATTCCTCACATACACAGCCTCCATTCCTCACATACACACAGCCTCCATTCCTCACACACACACAGCCTCCATTCCTCACACACACAGCCTCCATTCCTCACACACAGCCTCCATTCCTCACATACACACAGCCTCCATTCCTCACACACACAGCCTCCATTCCTCACACACAGCCTCCATTCCTCACACACACACACACAGCCTCCATTCCTCACATACACACAGCCTCCATTCCTCAAACACACACACAGCCTCCATTCTTCACACACACAGCCTCCATTCTTCACATACACAGCCTCCATTCCTCACATACACAGCCTCCATTCCTTACACACAGCCTTCATTTCACACACACACAGTCACACACATGCACGCATGCACACACATGCACGCATGCACACACACACACACACACACACACACACACACACACACACACACACACACACACACACACACACAGCCTCCATTCCTCACATACACACAGCCAGAATTCCTCACACACACAGCCTCCATTCCTCACATACACACAGCCTCCATTCCTCACTCACACAGCCTCCATTCCTCACACATACACAACCTCCATTCCTCACACACACAGCCTCCATTCCTCACACGCACACAGCCTCCATTCCTCACACACACAGCCTCCATTCCTCACACACACAGCCTCCATTCTTCACACACACAGCCTCCATTCCTTACACACACAGCCTCCATTCCTCACACACACAGCCTCCATTCTTCACACACACAGCCTCCATTCCTCACACACACACAGCCTCCATTCCTCACACACACAGCCTCCATTCTTCACATACACAACC